CCGGTTTCGTCTTTCAGCTTCGTCAGCTCTAGAGCTAACAGGATAAGCTAATAAACTGATGAGTTAGTCGATACAGAAATACATCCAAAGCACATTTGACATCCCCTCTATCTTGTCAGAGAATCGGACGATCATGAATTGGTCTTACATTTCAACCTTTCCAAGTTTTTTCAGTGATAGTGAAGTAAATATGTTGTGAGTTGTGAATTGTTGGTGGGACAAAACAAGACATTTCAATATGTTTGGCATTTCATTTGATTGAATTCCCCAAATATCAGCCTTATCTACAAAGGTCAAAGGGTCATGCAAGGCAGATCAAAAAGGCTCCTAAAAACATTTTCAGGTGTCAACACAAGAAATATTAAAGGTTACGTTTAATGGTTAAAAGTTCACACACACCCCCCTTTCTTCCCTCTCCTTGCTGTTTGGCTTCAATCCACTCTGTGTGTTGTGTTATTTAAAAAGGTTCAGAAATCATAGCACAATTCTATGATCGTCACACTGCAGTTCAAAAAATGCGGCAATTTGGCGCATAGAGATGATGCAACTAGTAGACAACCACTAGTAGGGGTATTCCTGTTACCAGGGCCTTGCATCTCCACGACTTCATTCTCAATATATCTCAACACTGCATGCAAAACAGAATCATTGCTCAGTGTGTGTGTGTGTGTGTGTGTGTGTGTGCGTGTGTGTGTGTGTGTGTGTGTGTGTGTGTGTGTGTAGGAATGAGTGTTTAACAGGAGCCTGCTCAGAGAGCTCCAAAATAAGCCCGAAGGTCCTCAGAGGGCTACCACGAGCACCTGACAAAAAAAAGCTGAGTGATTATTGATACAGAAAAGCGGCTTTGTAATAGTAGTGTTTAAACTCATTCTAGGACAGAGGAATGGATCAGTCATTTGAGACACTTCATCTGAATGTAAACGCGTTTCCATTTCCTGATCCCTTTAACGTGTTGTGTGTGTGGCAATAGGGTTTATCTGGGTTTCATTTTTCGGCTCTCAGTACGGTAACGTAAATAAGGAGTGGAGACACTTGTGGAGTGAGAGTGAGTGTAAACACACACACAGTCAAAACAACACAAGGACACACTCACACAGAAGCAGGAAAAACAGTGGAGCACAGCAATGATTATGCACCAGATCTGCTTACACCATATTTCATCATTACTGTGGAGAAAAAACACTCGACTATTGATCTGCCTCACTGCTTCCTTTACTCTCTGCCTCCCTCCCTCCCCCTCCCTCACCCACTCTGTCGTTTGTTCCCGCTTTTACTTATCTCTCTCTCTTTGCTTCTCTCCCACTCTCGGACTAGTGCAAACATAACAAGACTTTTTCTGAAGTGGATCCCAGTAGTAAACAAGATCACACACACACACACACACACACACACACACACACACACACACACACACACACACACACACACACACACACACCACACACACACACACACACACACACACACACACACACACACACACACACACACACACACACACACACACACACACACACACACACACACACACACACACAACACACACACACACACACACACACACACACACACACACACACACACACACACACACACACACACACACACACACACACACACACACACAGCAATAAAGGGCGGCTTCCTGTGGACTTTTTCTTGAATGATTTCCCAGTGGAGGATTGACAGCAGAACGACCCGAACACCTTACGATATAATGCTTTCTATTTCAGACCAAAACCATATAAACTACCTCAAATGATACCGCGTAGGAAAAACTGCTGGAATATTTGTTTATTTGCTCAATTTTCCTGGGAGCCGTTAAGATGTGTCCTAATTGAAGACAGTGATTTCAATGTTGTGCAGCTGCTCCGTGCAAAGACAACATTAGACTTTCATGCTTTTCAGATGTTTACCCTTTTTTTTTTTTTTTACAGTTTGCAGATTTGAATTTTATTTAAAGCAAGCTATCAAATAAAATCTTGTTTGGTGAATGCATCAGTAGGTACAATAGGTACAAGGCGTTGCTCAGCTACATAACAAGGTTAACATTATTAGCTTCACTCAAGGGTAACATTTACACTAAGGCTTTACTGCATGTTGTAAGTGTTCATTCCTTATAAACTCCTTCTCAAACTAGAGCTGAGACAATTCATCAATTCATCAGTCAGTCATTTCTGTTTCCAGTTTCTCAAATGAGAATATTTGCTGTTTTTTTGTTATATATGATTGTAAACCAAATACTTAGACTTTAGGGGGATTTGTGGTTAAACAAAACAAGACTTTTCAGTGACTGCCTTTGATGATTTTCATTTTTGTTGGGCAAACCATTAATCAAGTAATCAAAAGAAATCGTCAGATTCATTCAAATAATGATGAAAAACAGACAATCAGGTATTATTCCAACCCGTGTCTTTGGCATACTGCTTTACTATGAATGCCCAAATAAGCTTTAAAGAAGAGGGGAAGAATTGATTGTCCTATCAAATGTCTAAAACATTACAAAATAAAACATGAGCTTATTTAAACGTAAAACATATTCAGTTCACTATAATAAGAGAGTAAGCACATATTCACGTTTAAATAAATGACATTCAAGCATGTTTTGCTAAAAGAAATAAAAATGGATTTACAATGTCTGCCTATTATTTATCTTATTGATTAACCAACTAACTGTTTCAGCTCTCTGCACACGTGCATCACTTCCTCTCAGTGGGATACAATGATCAGACGCTGCTGTCCCATCCTTCCTTCCTCACACACCTAGAGGAGGTTTTACACAGTGTTACATCAACTTGAACCCTGCACAGTTTATAAGGACTCGCACACAAACACACTGGTAAAACCGAGATGTTGCACTCATTACTTATAGGACTTCCTCCTGAAGAGAGAGGCTTCAAGTCAGACTTTGTTGAAAAGGATGAAAAGGAATCAAGTGCAAAGTGTTGTAAGAGCCAACTGATAGGATCACTTCTCATACATCTTCGTTCTACATCTTGCAAATGCAGCTCTCTCAAACACACACTGTTGTTAACCTTGGTGCACACACGGCCCCTTAAGCAGACATCAGCGTCTTATAGGTGTGTTAAACCTCCTGCTCTCTCTCTCTCTCACACACACATGGCAAGGCAAAGAAACTAGCTGTGGTAAGTAACAAGTGAAAACGCCATCTGTCAAGCGAGAGCGCATTTGCTTCGCCTCAGCATTTTCAGGGGAATGCCTTGAAGACAAAAAGGTCCTTGTTCTCAATCTCTCCGCAAATCCCATCTCTCATTCTTCCTCCCTCTCGCTTCATCCCCACTTGCTCTGCGCGCCATGCCGCTCCGCCACCATCAGCAAAGTTGCACACATAAGCATTGGTCAGCGTTCAATTACCGTGAACACCAGGGAAGGATGGGGAAAGTACTTGACAGAGAAATGCACTTCAAGCACTGATTAAATACTGATACCAAGTATAACAGAAGTTTAGCCCCTTGGTTGTGTGTGTGTGTGTGTGTGTGTGTGTGTGTGTGTGTGTGTGTGTGTGTGTGTGTGTGTGTGTGTGTGTGTGTGTGTGTGTGTGTGTGTGTGTGCATGAAATGAAAAAAAGAAAAAGGGGAAACATGTGTGTGTGTGAGAAGGGGGGGGGTTGCTCTTCTCTTCAATACAACTGTTTCATCATTATGACCCTCTATTACAGTACTTGCCAACTTGCTTACTACATACTTTTGATACACTCCAGAGTGCTGACTCGAACTAAAGCTGCTGAAATGGAGTCATTAGGGGGGGAAGTTTCTGTTTTTCTTGGGCCCACAGAGCTTCCCGATTACTCTTCAGTGTTTAATAGTTGCAATGCTCATCGGTTGCTACGAGGCAGCAGATAATGGCCCATCTTCAAGAGATCAATCACAGGATATTCTGTTGCAGGGCATTAGAGTTCAATGAGGTGCTTTCTTTTTTTAGCCACAGTATGTGCAGTCAATGTACAACATTAACTCACGATTGCCTTCAAGCTGGCATTTGTTTTTGTCCAAATGTATTTTTTGTATATATACAACACTAATTTTAGATTTGTATAATTTCCTTTAAAAGATAAGGGAGTTCACTGCAAGGACGGAAAGTATCTTTGTTTGACTGAAGAAATGTTTGAAATACCAAAAGTAAAAACTGGTTAATAAAGCATTTACATCGTGTTGAACAAACTGTAAAGTCCACTGAGACAAATGTAACATTTGTGATATTGGGCTATATAAATAAACATTGATTGATTGTTTATCTGCAAATTATTTCTATTTGCCTTATATCCACTTTGACTGTAAATGTGTTTGAAACCCACTCAATAACCAAACCACACTGAAAAAGAACACATTTAGCACATTTTAAACAAATATTCCGCAGCCCACTCAGGCTGTAATTATCCCATTAACACGGCAACATCCTCCATGACCGGGCCTATTTATTTCACAGCCAACCCCCCAATATAAACCGAGCGCTTCCTTCCCTCGCGCCAGACCTTTGTCCGCCCGCGCGCCTGCCGCCGGTGCCATGTTGCCATGGCTCCCTCATGCCTCCGCTCAGCTCGCTCAAACGTTGAGAAATCAACGTTGTGATGAGTCAGCATCTCTGTCGCGAGCTCAGTCGGTGTATAACCGGTCACGCCAGGAGACAGACCGACAGCACAAGACACGTAAACGTGTAAAATATGATGTTAATGGAGACATGAGCAGCAGGCCTGTCGTGTAGAGCAGCGTCTGACACAAAGCAAATGTCAAAACAGTCTCTGGAGCAGCGCTATCACTAGCGGCTACACCGTGTAGCTAACCTCCGGACGACTGACAGCTATAAATACGATGACAGCAGCCGGGTGTCTATTGTTGTCTTACACATTTCACTTCTGTCGCCAACTTAGCAAAGCAAAGAGTCAACCAAAACGTAACCGCGAGAGTCCGCAAAACCGCTCGCAAAACAAACTATAACCTAGCACACTTACATTTAAAATGACTGCACATCTTACATCTTACCTGCAAAGAAGCAACAGACGTGTCCGCGTGTGAAGCGACAGCAGCGGGAGGCTCCAGCTTGTGTCCGCCGCTGCCGCTTCAGCACCCCGAAGAGAGGACAGTCGCACAAGCTAATCTTCGAGGGTTCACTCACTGCTTAAATTGTAACACTACATTAAGATGTTTTCCCCTAGCTCTATATTTGTTCACCTTTCTAAATATTTTTGGCATTTAGTAGACACAAAACAAGGGAATCCCCAGACTAACCATCGGCACAGAAAAAGCCGAGCTGCTCTCAAACTCCCCGCAGGAGCTCTAATTCCGACACATGGCTCCTGTTTAAGCTTGACAGCCGCACGCGGCTTACACCCTTTGTCTGTGTTATTGTGATATCGCCGGTCGGTGGTGTCGCGGGGGCTGTTCACTCGACCCGACCTCGGAACAGCATGTGCGGGTCTGGATGACGCCTGGGTCGTGATGATTCAGCACTACCAGACCGCTGCTGCCCTTTAAACAGCAGCTGCTGTGAGATCGGCTGAGTGAAGCGGCAGCGGCGAACACCGGGACGAGCGGCAACACAAGCGCAGCGAACACCATACGGCAGCTGCGGCGGCCGTGCACACTCAGCAAAACAACACCGCTATATTCAGCACTTTTTAAGGAATTTCATTTTCGACAAAGCTGACTCACCAGAAGTCAAACTGGCGCCTTTCGCCCACCGCACCTTCGAGGGTTGGGGTTCGCCGATGGCTCGTCGACCCGGTGTGGAGAGAGACAGTTGGAGAAATGTTTTTTCCGCTCACGCCTTCTCGCAGGTCTACATATATCCACTCCTTCCTCGCTTGTTTTAGTCTATGGTCGGAGGCGCCAGACGTCAAATGATGTTTGGATCACATGGTTTCATTCATGAAGGATCTACGCAACCCGCATATTTAAAGAGACATGAGACACTACTACTGTGTGATGGACTGTTGTTAGTGTGGAAAGAGTGACACGACAGCCCCACCTCTGTGCATATTTCTAAACTTAGAGCTAACATTTGAAGTAGCCTACTGAGTGGCTCCAATAGTACAGAGTCATGGAATAAAAAAAAAAAACACATTTTTAAATTAAAAAGGTGTTGAGACTTTTTCAATTGTTTGAGTTACAAATAAAACCAGAGTTGAAGATACAGCTAATTTTTACCTTTTTACCGGACATTTTTATAAATAAAAAAAGCTATCTAATCGGATGAAATGCCACAACTGAAATACATCGAGGCATATTATCAACACAGAAATATAGTATTGAGAAATATATCATATTTACATGTTTTTTAGCCGATGACTGGCCACTAGTTAAAGACAACATCTAACTGGCATGGAGATTCATATCACTCTGCATACTTCCTTTTAAAAAAGTACATTACATGGGAGTTAAAAAAATGATGAGTTAAGTAAAGAGAACACATATTTTACCTTCACAAAAAATGTACAATGGATGTTTACCATTTATGTTGAGGCTACGATGTAAACAAACCCACGTTTCCGATCTCTCTTTGGTTCAGAAGCAAACTGAAAACCTCTATAAAAGAGATCATACTTCATTTACAGTGCAATTTAAAAGCAACACTATTAGGACTGATGTAAATCAGTTTATCAATAATCCATTTCCATTTCTGAGGAACTAATGACTTTCAATGCAAGACAAGAAAGCACTCAACTAATATCAGCAGCCTATTTCTGGATAATGCATCTGAGTTTATGAAAAACAGCCTGTATTACATATTCAATGACTGGTATCTCCACTCTGTCTTTGCAGAGTAAATCTCCGCCAGGATGATACAACTGACGCTACATTTTCAAATACAACTCGCATTTGGTGGGGGGGTTTTCTCCCCAAAAGCCTATATTTAGCCCAAATGTAATCATATTAGAGTGAGCTTGGAATTTGGAAATTCCAGGATTAGCAGTTTTAATTGAAAAGAGCCCCAGTCTTTTAAAAGCAAGGTTCAGATTGTAAATACAAATATTGTGACAAATGTATTATTATGGATTAGGCTACCCAATTGTAAATAAAGCAGTGAGAGTTAACCACACATTTACCTGCTTACAAATGAATGCATCAATCATTCTGCATAATGAGCATTTTCAACCTAGTCCGTCACAGAAGCCTCACCCACTGAAAGACTCTTGATGTGTCAAACTGTCACAAACACACACATTGGTGGAAAGTAATATGTACATTTTTGAAGTACTTTTGAGTATGTTGGGCACTAAATTATGGTTGTACTTATTGTAATTTTACTCAACAGCATCAAAGTAATAATATATATTAATTTTTATAAAACATGACTTGCCCAACGAATATGTGAAAGGTGGATCACTTTGACTAGATGCAACAATAAAATGCTTTCTTTTATGTAAATAGATCAGTGATAATAATCCAATATTATTTTAAAATAGGTTATCAATAAGATATTACAAGTAAAGCTACTTATATTGATGCATTCACCTAAGTAAAAGATCTGAATATGAGAGGTACAATATTGACCCACTCACTCCTACACAGTGCATGTCTGACTCCTGGATAAGCATTAGGACCGTACTGTGTGTCCTCTGTGATGTCGCCCACACTGCACGTTGGCATGAGGGGAAGCCCATACTGCACATTCACCCACCGTGTGGTAACGTTCAGAGCTTCCTCTTTCTGTGACCGTTTCACCTGACAGCTGCACAAAGCTGATAGCCTACTTTATCAGCCCGGAAATCTTATCTGTGCTTGACACACACACACACACACACACACACACACACACACACACACACACACACACACACACACACACACACACACACACACACACACACACACACACAACACACACACACACACACACACACACACACACACACACACACACACACACACACACACACACACACACACACACACACACACACACACACACACCACAACACACTAAATCTCTTTCTTAGCCGGTCTCTTAGTTTTTGAGGGGATTAATGGAGATGGAGGAGAAAAAAAAGAAAAAACATTCCTTCCATCTTTTCACTCATCTTGCTTTTTGGTGCTCCCCCTGGCCTCGATGCGATATCCAAACAACCATGTTACTGCAAAGGTCAGCGGGTACATTGATTGAATGGAGATGACAGGTAGCATCTGGTCTACCTGTGGCTAGAAACCCCATGGTGGGTTGGAGCACACACACATACAGACACACACATACAGTCCACGCTTTCCACTCAGGATTATCTGCCATTGAACTGCCATTTTAGACCCTCTGCCGCTGTTGGGATGATTGACACGGAGCACATCCTCTTCACCTAAGGCGGGGGAGAGTTGTTCAAAGCTGCCGGACCGACAGAAGGTAACAGAAGTCTAATAATGAGAGGCAAATGGAAGTCTCTCCAGGAATGGCTAATCTTAACGGACAGAGGCAGGAGCAGGCGGGGAATAACCTTTCACAATAAAAGGGGGATTACCGAGACACTTCAGTGGCGGAGGAAAAACCTTTGCACGCACAAATAAACATCCGAGTGCGGTAAGCGCATGCGGGGCGCAATTTAATCAAAGGACACTGGTGTGTGTAGTTAAAAGGAAAATAAACGTAATCCTACAACAGCTACAAATTGTTCAATTATAATGGAGGACAAGGCTCTCCACAAGCCTCCACTTTTCTTCCATCATTTTAACTCCGCCATTATGCACCTGTGTGCTGCCTGAATAGACCAACAGGCCTATCTCCTTCAGACACAAAGTGGCATCTGTTAATCCATAGCAGCCCGGAGTGAAGGAAAGAGCCCAAATATCTGAACGGGAGTCTTCACAGACTTCCAAGTCGGCTGCAGCAACTGATATCTCACAACATACCCACATGTAACTACACTTCAGTCCTCTACTGTCACACCAATTCAAACTCATGATATTACGTTTCTAAGGTCGCAGCATCCATTGGTGGAGAGTCACATTTATTCATGTACTGTACTTAAGCACTTTAATAATCTTTTTCTGATTAAGATTATAAACAGTGGTTCCAAATGTTTCTGACTTGTGACATTTTAGTTAGGATTCTTCTTTAGTGGAACTGCTAAAGCTGCTTAAACTTCTAGAATCAACCCTTTGAAGTGCAAAACATTTACATTAAAACTGGTCTACTCTACTGTTCAATCTACACCTCTCCGATTTATATAGTGACCCTTCTGAGCGGTCCGACTCCTAGATTCAGAACCACTGGGCTAAACTACAAAACTGTAAATAAACAAGTTGAAATTCTAACTCAAGCACGTACATTTTCAAATGCTGTGGGTCCCAGGGTCAATGTGTTACTTAGGGATTTCCCCTCCAAAACACTCCCCGACACCCGAAATCATATTAGGTCCCTTTTAAGTACGACATTTTTGTAATGGTTTAATTTTAAATACTTTTATAAAAATTCTCCTTCCACCAACAACAGCCCCCCACGGATTTGTTAAATAGCAATTATGTGTACGCCAATGAAAGAGAAGAACTGCAGAGTAATCCATGATCCCACTCACTGGTCAAATGTCCTGCTCACAAGCTTCTAAAATTGGACTGTGTTCACAATCACAATGCATCTACAGGCCAGTAAGAAAAAACAACAACATTTGACCCTTTGTTTTTTACAGCATGTAGAGGAAGCTGATTGGGAACAGCCTCAGGAGGCAGTGACGCATGGAGGAGAGACAATACGCTTGTTGGAGAGTTTTGGAAGAGGAGTGGGTGTAACTGCGCAGTACAGCCAATGCCATTTACCGATAAGTGAGGTGGTGTGGTTATATTTGATGTTGGTCCTGGGTCAATTTTAAGTCGTTCTCCACCAGCAGCTAAGTAAAGTAGGTAACGTGATCTTTGTAGACAAGTACAATTGGGTCATTTGGCGCCATCTGCAGGCCAGGGTGGATCTTAATGACTCACAGATGAGTGGGCTGAGGGAAACCTCCAAACTAAAACAAACAGACAATAAGATGGGGAAAACAAATGAGAAAATAGGAGCCACACAACTGAGTCGAGTCAGTGCAGAGTATGGAGTCAAACCAGACTGATAATGAATACAGAACAAACTGACTTTGGAAGACAAATATTCAATTCTGCTTATTTAATATCGACACCAACTTTCTGGTTGATATGCCAAACAAAGAAAAATACATAACGTTTCAAATAATGGGGATCGAATAACAAAATTAGGACGGACTACATCTATACGAATACATCTTCATATAATCTTGATTCTTTGTGTAGATGCATTTCTTTTAGGACTTTCCCTTTACAAGAGAACATGTAAAAAGTGGCTTTATATTATAAAACATCAGGAGGTTCAAGATAACAGTTCACGTTGGGGTTCAGACCCACCATTTCCATAACAAACAGGAAACAAAGGGATTTGAGAAAGATGAGGACATCAGAGAAGATTTAAAGCTTGGAATGACCTTTATATGCAAGAGAAACATATGTTATGGGTGCCAGGGTCCAAGGCACCAAGTTCCTAATGTGCTAGAAAGGTTGTTGTAACAGGGAAGTTATTTTGTCAGTCAAGTCCGTAGTTTTTGTATATGAAAATCAAAACAAGCAAAAGAGAAAATCCATACTCAGTCTTTGTTACCATAATACTGTTGTTGGTATAAAAAAAAAAAGGGAACAGAATGATTGACATTGTGGCTTCATCTCTGTTTAAAAGGACATTAAAGACAAACATTAAGAGCTTGATGGTATCCCAGCAACCATCTGTGCAGCAGCATCCCATGATGGCCCACTGGGTCATTACCGTTAAACACATACCGACAGCAGATTGTAAATGCACTTTTGCTCTTCGGTGTGCCTGTGTAGACATCAACCCTGCAACACACCCAGAATGCACCTGCGCTTGTTTGTAGTGTAACAGGTCTTCAGTCTTTATGTAACTCAAGTATGTATAAATATTTTGCCATTTTTGTAAAGTAATTTGGATGTGTGTGACCAGTCCACCTGCCTGAGTGGCAATGTGTGTATAAACCTGTGAGATGTGAGTGTGAGCCTGCCTCTGTGTTCTCAGTTATTCTTCTTGACGTTGGGGCCGCGGTTGTTGAACAGGTTGAGCCCCGTTCTGCCGTTCGCTGATCCGCTGACCGTGACTCCGGGCTGCTGCAGCACCTTGTCCAGGGTGGTTTTCTTTATGGCTGCTGAGGAGATGCTCTCCTGGTCGGCCAGGTACTGCAGCTCCCTGTGAGGGGAAGGGATAATCTAGCGTTTAGATAGAGGTCTGTGTGTGTGTGTGTGTGTGTGTGTGTGTGTGTGTGTGTGTGTGTGTGTGTGTGTGTGTGTGTGTGTGTGTGTGTGTGTGTGTGTGTGTGTGTTACAGTGGAGACAGCGACAGACATTTAAGTTATATGCCATCATCATCTCAATGTTGGAGTTAGGAACCCCAGTGGGGTTACTTTCCATACCAACAGGGTCAAGAGGCAATTGAATGCCCAAAATATTAAAATGTTTTTTGTCAGAAAGAATTGTTTTACGAATGCATGATATTAGATTTTGAATAATATTCAATTTGTTGATATACGCACATATTGTTTTTCCCCTTAATGCAGAGAGTAAAGTCTATCCTGTAGTGGACATCATATTATGCCTTCTCCAAATCAGCACATATGCTATGCATTTCCGTTTCTTGAAATCAATATTTGTTTTACTCAATTAAAAAATAGTAGCCCATTAGGTTGCTATGCAATCCTGAAGTTCAAACAAGTCTCAATATAAATAAAATGTGCCTAAGTGCACACTATTAGAAATGTAAAGACTGAAGTACAAATATTTTAACAAATAAAACTGAACCTCTCATATGCAGCACAATTGTTGCACCTGCTTAGTTGATTGTTTGCATTGCGTGCGCACAATTATAACGCATCTAAGTGGCCCCTTAATCACCCCTATATCACTCCTTTGTAGCAGCGAACCATTTCCTTGAAGTTGATCACAACAAGAAAGCATTTGTGTGCCAAAAGTGTCTTGGATTGATCATTGAGTTGCAAGAAAGTTCATCATTAATGCAGCATTTATCCAGCCAATTCCCAAAGCTAGTTTTCGAGCTTCTAATATTTTGGTTACCAGAATAACTTTCACTCTAGGATTCAACAATGGACAATTGTCATAATTCTGACATTTTATAGAAAAATAAATGAACCAAAGAACATAAAGCAGATGAATAAGTAACAGAAGTAATCCGCAGTATCTTGAGAACTGTAATAGCTGTGAAACCTTGCTGATAGTGTAGATATGGGATGTGCAGGTGCGACTTTCTCACCGCGTCCTGATGCATGACGCCTCCACAGCGTTGATCAGGAGGCTGCGGAAGCCGCCGCTCTCCATGACGTGCAGGGCGTGGATGGTGGCGCCCCCTGGGGAGCACACGTTGTCCTTCAGCTGGCCGGGGTGCTGCTCCGAGTCCAGCAGCATCTTAGCTGCTCCCTGAGGAGAAACAGGAACACGGCAAATCATTTAATAAAGTGGAAGGAGTTGAGGAGTTATCTGAAGGACACTGTATTGTTTACTTCTTCAAAGCCATTGGGTGCTGATACATGGTGCAGCCTCAGCAACAGAAGTCCTTATGTCATCATTATACTGCGAGTGGTGCACATTTGCATTGTAATGTAGAATCAATTGTTAATAAAGTTCATCCGAGAAATGAAATCTAATCTGATGTACAGACAGGGGTTTTTTTGTGAAAAGATTTTCCAGGCAGCTTCTTGGCTAACACTAGGCGAGCATGACTCTGCAACTACAGCTGAGTGTTTCCTGCAGGCAAACGTGCAAACCAGAGGAGACACCCAGACCAAGAGTATTAACTGACTACAACAAATAATAACATCTGAAAGCTTTGTGCTGAAAAAGAGGCAACACAAAGAACATTGCTCATAAAAATGCAGAAGGAAGCTGAACACACTGAGCCGGTGAAGAAAGTCTGCAGCTGCTGCCACCACAACAATGACAGCTGGTGAGGTGAATATTTCAAGTCATATAGTTTGACAAATGGAGAAATGTGGTCAAAATAGGGCTGCCTTTAAAGAGTTTAAGCAATATCGTTTTAATTAATCATTGTGAAAAAAGCAGCAATAACAAATCACCTGCAAAAAATGTGATCTATATTTTTCAGTCCATATACATGGTTTAATAATTTCAGTTGAGTTTCAGTGCATTGTTAGTGAACTAAATCAGCAATTGTAAGACACTAGAAGTTTTTGTTGTGTTAAATAAAGCAGCCACTGAATCCTTCCATGTATTATGCCTCCAAATATGCAGACGGCCAGTAGATCAGGGAGACTTGACAATGGGAATAGGCACAGCTAAAGAGACAACTAAACCCAACTGACCAATAGGGCCTGAGCTCCCAGTCTGACAGCCAGTCTTCTTGGCAGACCCATCTTCACGCCTCCATCTGCAAGAGCATCCAGTGCAGTGAACGCCTGTTGACAAACACACGCATTTAGGTTTGTTTTCCTTTCAAGCAGCAAGTCCTTTACATCTTTGAACAGACTAAATACAAATGTCAGAATAATCAACAATTTAGTCTTTGTTTCTTATTTAGCTTCAAGCCTTTAACACTGGCGTCCATTTCATTCTAATCTTACTTTGTCTTCACAGCTAGGATTGGACAAATTGTGCTCAACACTTTTGAGCCAAGATTTAAAAAAGGACAAGCTCTATGCAGACAGGAGATAAACCCCACACACACAATCATTCCTTACGTTCTCAACACTTACACACCTTTGCCTGCTTAGTAGGCATTAGATGTGACAGTTTTATAAAGCAGGAACAATAAAAACACACATTTGGCCAGACAAGGAATTATCACAGCTGGGGTAGCATATTTATTTCCTAAAAAAACCCTTTCTTGTAAAAATAAATCATGTATTGGGACCACTGCCACTGCCTTTTCTTCTGTATAGATCTCAAGCATCAAAACATGTAGAAAAAAAACGAGACCACTAAACAACAGAGGATTTAATACCCAGGATTGTTTTGATTGTTGTGGTTATTTCCTACATATTAGCTCACCCAGTAATTTTCTTTTACTAGGATTATAGGTGTATGCATCACCACTCACATACACTTTTATTTGAAGCTACAAGGGCCATAAAACCATGGATATTGTATGTTGTAGAGACAGATATTGGGTTATATAAATATGTTTTATTAATTTGAAACATCCCTTTGTGACAAACATACAGCTCTGAGGTTACTCACGTAGGCTGGTCCACTGCCACTGAGCCCGGTGACAGCGTCAATGAGGTCTTCCTCCACCTCCGTGCAGAATCCAACACTCGACATCAGCTGCTCCAGTAACTTGCCATCCTCCAGCTGAAAGAAGGCGGACAACATGATGGTAATGATTTTGTAGGTGTAGTTCTACCTTTCTGTGCATCTTGTAAGGCAAGGCAAGTTTATTTACAAAGCACATTTCAACACAAGGCAATTCAAAGTGCTTTACAAAAATGAAAGACATTAAGAAAATGGCATTAAAAAGCAAAGATAAAAGTTACAGTGCAGTTTAAGATGTGAATATATCAATTAAAAGCAGCGGCAAAAAGAAAAGTCTTTAGCCTGGATTTAAAAGTAGTCAGAGTTGCAGCGGACCTGCAGGTTTCTGGGAGTTTGTTCCAGATATTTGGAGCATAATAACTGAACGCTGCTTTTACATGTTTAGTTCTGACTCTGGGGACAGAAAGCTGACCAGTCCCTGAAGACCTGAGAGATCTGGATGGTTCATAATTTAGCAGGAGGTCAGAAATGTATTTTGGGCCTAAACCATTCAAAGCTTTATAAAGCAGCAGCAATATTTTTTAAATCAATTATTTGACACACAGGAAGCCAGTGTAAAGACTTCAGAACTGGAGTGATGTGATCCACTTTCTTAGTGTTAGTGAGGACTCGAGCAGCGGCGTTCTGAATCAGCTGCAGCTTTCTAATAGATTTTTTAGTGAGACCTGTAAAGACACCATTGCAGTAGTCGAGTCTACTGAAGATAAAAGCAAGGACAAGTTTTTCCAAATCCTGCTGTGACATTAGTCTTTTAATCCTAGATATGTTTTTTACGTGATAGTAGGCTGATTTAGTAACAGTTTTAATGTGACTGTTGAAACTCAGGTCAGAGTCCATGACTACACCTAGATTTCTGGCTTTATCTGTTGTTTTGAACATTGCAGACTGAAGCTCAGTGCTAACTTTTATACGTTCTGCCGTGGCTCCAAAAACCATTACCTCAGTTTTATTTTTGTTTAATTGGAGAAAGTTCTGACACATCCAGTCATTGATTTGTTCAATGCACTTACTCAGTGTTTGAATTGGAGCATAGTCTCCTGGTGAAATGGTTATGTAAATTTGTGTGTCATCTGCATAGCTATGGTAACTTATTTTGTTGTTCTTCATTATCTGAGCCAGTGGTAGCATGTAGATGTTAAAGAGAAGAGGCCCCAAGATGGAGCCTTGAGGAACCCCACATGTCATATTTGTCAATTCAAGATGTGTATTTATTTACCTATAGAAACAAAGTTGTTTCTGTCCTTTAAGTAGGATTCAAACCAATTCAGAACTGTTTCCGAAAGTCCCACCCAGTTTTCCAGTCGGTCTAGTAATATGCTGTGTCAACAGTGTCAAACGCAGCACTGAGATCTAATAATACTAACACTGAAGTTCTGCCACTGTCTGTGTTTAAGTGGATGTCATTAAAGACCTTTACAAGAGCAGTCTCAGTGCTGTGGTTTGGACGAAAGCCTGACTGGAACACATCGAAACAGTTATTTAAATGCAAGAAATTACTCAACTGTTGAAAAACAACTTTTTCAATGATTTTACCTAGAAATGGGAGGTTTGATATGGGCCTGTAATTGTTCATTACTGAAGCATCTAGATTATTCTTTTTTAAGAGCGGTTTAATGACTGCAGTTTTCAGGGCCTGTGGAAAAATACCTGAGTGAAGAGATTTGGTTACTATATGAAGTAGATCTGAGGCCATGCAAGGCAAAACATCTTTGAAAAATCCTGTTGGAATAATATCAAGGCAGCAGGAGGAGGATTTCAGAAGTTGTATAATGTCCTCTAGGTTTTTATCATTAATCTGATGGAATTGTGTCATGGTGTTTGAATTTATTTTAAGTGGACACAGGGACAAAACATTTGCTGTACCTGATGTAGAGGCACTGACTGCTTGTCTAATTTTCTGAATTTTGTCAGTGAAGAAGAAGGCAAAATCATTGCAGGATAGAAATTCAGAGGCTACTGACACTGGGGGGTTTGTTAGTCTGTCAACGGTAGCAAACAAGGCAGGTGCATTGTTTTTGTTGTTGGCAATGATGTCAGAGAAGAAAGACTGTCGTGCAATTTTCAATTCCAAATAATAAAAGCCAAGTCTCTCTTTATGGATTTCAAAGTGAACCTGGAGATTTGTTTTTCGCCACCTGCGTTCAGCTTTTCGACACTCTTTTTTCTGTTTTCACGGTCATGGCCTTTCTCCATGGAGATATTTTCTTCCCAGTCACTTCCTTTACCTTTGTTGGAGCAATGGCATCTATAGTATTTTTTAATTTTTTAATTAAAATGATCTGCTAGCTCATTTACTGAGATGTTAGCAGGGGCAAGTGTGGAAGAAAAATTCTGAGTAAACATTTCCCTAGTATTTTCAGTTAAATATCGCTTTGTGGTTACATGTTTTTGAAAAAAATTTGAACAGAAATAGAGCTCTCAAAGAAAACAGGAATGATCAGAGAGTGCAACATCAGTCACCACAACCTTAGAGATATTCAGACCCTTTGAGATAATTAAGTCCAGAGTGTGCCCCTTATTGTGCGTGGGCTCCGTCACATGCTGAGTCAGTCCATAGCTATCAAGAACACAAAACAGTTATTTTGCCCCTCTGTCCTGGGGGTTGTCAACATGGATGTTAAAATCACCAACAATGACTAGACGGTCAAAGTCAATACACACTATAGACAGCAGTTCAGTAAAGTCATCAAAAAAGCTTGCACAGTATTTGGGTGGTCTATAGATATTTAGGAACAGAGCTCGAGAGGAGCATTTCAGCCGAAGGGCCACATATTCAAAAGAATCAAAGTTTCCATACGATGTCTTCCTGCATTGAAGGGAATCATTGAACAGAATAGCAACTCCACCCCCTTTCTTATGCATTCTTTCCTGACTCATAAAACTAAAGTTGGGAGGGGTTGATTCGATAAGAACAGCTGCACTGTTATTTTGTTCAATCCAAGTTTCTGTTAAAAACATAAAATCAAGATTGTGCTCAGTGATTAAATCATTGATTAAAAATGTTTTACGTGCCAAAGACCTGACATTTATTAAAGCTAGTTTAAGTTTGTTGAATACACTGTCAGATTCTTTGTGGCAAGCTGTGGCTGACATGGAATCACTTCTAAATTTGATAAACTCACACAAACTTTTGAGCGCTTCCTGTATCTAAGCTGATTCACCGCTCTTAATCTATTACCTATCAACACAGATATCGGCAAAGCTACAGGCAGGCAGGGCCCCGGCATGTCCTGGAAAGAGTTGAGAGTGCCAAACGCCCTTGAGCCTGGACCCAGCACATATCAGTAAGAGTTTGCTGCGTTTTGTACACACACATTGTAACACCTTTATCTGGAGATTCAAGATCTTTAAATGATATAATCCCTCGTTTTTACCTCTGCATGAGTCCCAGTGGCATACACTGTAGCTCCCTCTCTCACCACCACTGGGGTGTTGGTCATACACCTCATGACTTTAGGAGCGGCACGGTACTGAAGCAGCTTCTGTGAAATTAAACGAAAGGAAACAAATGATAGGTGTGTGGAAGAGTCAGGAAGTAAAACAACTTTCTTTCAGATGTTTGGAAGCATGCCAGAACAGCTTGATTGAACCTAATTGGAGATTGAGAGAGGGAATACAAATTATAAGATAACACAATAATAAACAACAATGATAAAACAATACAACAAAGAGCACACTACTAAGTCATCTAGTGAAACTTCTAAAACACACAAACAGCAGATTTTTTACAGAGCAGGAATGATGGTGACAGATGCCGACTGACCTTCTCTATGGAGCTGATGGTGACGCCTGCTGCACACGACACTATGAGATGACGGTCCTCGATGTCTGGCCCAATCTCATCGAGAACGAAGGGGATGATGTGGGGTTTCACAGCCAGGAAGAGCACATCACTCTTACTGACGGCCTCTTTGTTGCTAGTTGTCATATTCACCCCCATTTTCTGCAGATGAAGAAGAAAAATAAGACAGTGGTGGTGATCAGAGAGGGTTATAAGAAGTATGAGGGGAAACAAAATGTCCACAAAAGCACGCTCGAACCAATATTTCCATTTCCATTTTCAGACACCCCACACACAAACAACTAAGGAGAGATGTATTCTCACCCTTAGCCCCGCTACAGTGGGCAGCTCTAAGTCTGGGGAGCTGGCAGTGATCCTATGAGTGGCAATCACACCTTAGGATGGAGACAGGAGGAAGTGAGCGTTGAGGATGTACAGTGAGATGGGAAATAACACATTTAAGATAAACCCTTACATTTCATATGGTACAGAAGAAAAAATACAACTAAAAATAAGTGGCAATCCAAAGAATGTGTGTATAGCAGGGGTGTCCAAACTACGGCCGGGGGCCAAATGCGGTACGCGGGACATTTTTGAATCGGCCCTCAGCAAATTCAAACAGTATAATTAAATACGGCCCACAAATGAAACTTGAGCTTTTCTTGTATTGTACTTATTAAATATATCTGTAAACATATATTACACAGTAGTGTTCATGTGTGAATAAGCCCAATTTACTATAAATTAAAACAACTACATTTGAAAATATGTTCTAGTAAATCTAAGTTGATAAGAAAAAAGCCCAATAACTTATATACATAACAAACTTGAAATATACCCTTCCTATTTCCTATTATGATAATCAATCTGGGGCTCCTGTTGTAAGGGATGAGCTGCTAACAAATTAAATGAAACTCTCTGGAGAGCTGGGATGTATGCTGTTTATTTTTTTTTCTAAAAGCAGATTCAAGTATCAAGCATAATTGAGCTACTTTTGATTGATTTTGCTAGCTAATAACTTAACTTATGAGGTAATGTATGTGGCCCTTATGAAAAAAGTGTGGACACCCCTGGTGTATAGTGTTGTTGTGACTGTAACTTTATTCAAGCCAGAATTAGTTTACATGGGTGTAGGATTTGACTAAGTGAATTAAGATTCAGTTAATACAGGCAAATATTGCACATTAAGGAAAGTGGCCTCACCTGCAGCTGAGAATCCTTTCACCAGTGCGTGAACCAGCTGGCCCGCTCCAATGAACCCAACACTCATCCTGTCAGATGATGTGGCGCCTTTGACCTGTCAAAACAGAAAGCTGATGCTGACTGCTATGCATTTCAATAAACATTGACCAATCCCCACCAAAATGGTAATATGCTTTTCAAATCTCTACTTTTGACTAATTGTGAATCCAGTTTTTTTATCATTGAAAGCAAAGAGACATTCTTGTCTTGACTAGTGATGATGCAATCTGAGGGGAAATCCTGGAGCTGGTCCAGACAGGGAATGATGAAACCCCTCTACTGACACCCTGGCAGCACCCATGGGAATGTCACTGAGATAAGGGCTCATGTACTGATTTACAGCTGTGTATTTGATATGTATTTTTTGTCAGCCATTTAAAGATAATTTTAAAAAATGCTTACAGGATATAAATACTCCAAACCAAACCCTCCAAATAAAACAAACAAGAACAAAATTATACCATATGATAGCAACATAATCACAGCTTTCTGATTATTTGATTTCCTTCTGCATTTAAATATAATATTATACATTTCACCTGTAACAGTCTTATATTCGTAAACAAGCCGTTGATAACATTAGCTCTTTTGTTTATGCAGATGAAGGATGATAGCACGTCGTAGCTAGCTTACGACAGGCTAGCATGCCGGCTAGGTAAGCTAGATATCACAGCTGAAATGAACGAGAAATAACACACATTAATTTAAGAGGGACATATTTATCTTTACCTAAATGTTCCAGCTGCGGCTCTGAGTTGACAAGTGTGAGTCAACGACGGGACGGTTATGTGCCGGCGATAGAAAACAAAACAAATACAACTTTCTGTGTCAACGTGTCTTCCTCTTTACTCTGTTCCGACATGTGCTTACAACGAACAGCGAGACTAGCCAATCAAGACAGAGACACGCTGACCTCCTGGCCAATGATAACTTAGATCTGGCATTTGGGCGGGGTTTGTAGTCCGTAACGCCCAGTTGCATCAGTTTTTTGGACAGTGATGCTCCCGGGAAAATGTGTACAGCATGTTATATTTGTATTGGCAAAAAGCGCAGTACTAACACTAGCCTACTTCAAATGGAAATAATAATGTAAACCCCAATTTTTTCAGAGCTAATAGAGAAACATTTAAATGTCATGTTGTGCAATTCGAAAACTGTCTTCAGTGTACTATTATATGAGCCAACAAAAGCAGCAACCCCAGAGAGAATGTTTTGTATTTTTGCTTGAATTACTCACTCAAACCATTACACTACTTCTACATGTGAGACTTTTTATTTTTTTAAACTATTACTGTAGATATTTGCACATTTTACACGGGAGCCTCTTTGGCTTTGCACCTGTAAGGATACCTGGATGGGTACTTTTGTAAATTATAATTTGTGTAATTTCTATCTCTAATATTTTATGCATCCTGTGTGATTTTTTGTATGTTTTGTTTGTTTATTTGACTGTACAGCACTTTGGTTTGGAGATTTTCAAGTGCTTTATAAATAAAGCTGTATTGTATTGTATCCCTCTTATCTATCTAATATTTTTGCCAAGTTGCCTCTGTATTTGAAATGTAACAATGTACATTTCTACTTTGGACTAATAAAGGTATCAACATATTGATATTCAGACTCATTAATAACTAAACATTAACAGCTCTAATGGCCTTGCAAAATATATCTTAGTTTTTATAGTGTTCTGCCTGAACCCAATTTAAATGTTTCTATGATTTTCTCCTAAAATACTGTATGTGTGCATAAAGGTCCTACAGCTGATGTTGAGGGTTAATTATTTTTGAATGGAGATGCACTGAGATTTGAAGATGACTCACAGACTCTCTTCAGGGTAACAGAAGAGGCTTGTGATATTTGAGGGACCTGCATTTGAATGAAGGTTTGTTATTCTAACAGGAGACCAGTGCTTCTTCCTCTCCCTTTGGATTTGGCAGAATGTGAAATAAAGCTGAAGTGGATGGCGAGTTCGCTAATGAGCCACGGCATCCGAATCCAGTTATCCCTCGGTGGTTCACCAATGCATATTCTCAAAATAAAACATGAACTTGGACTGTAACTGTCAGTTTGATGCTTAAATCTCCCCTGTGCACATTTTAATAGGCCTGCCCCTCCTGTCTGTCGGCCTGTGTCTTTCTCCCCCTGTTTCCCATTCCATACCATTCCATGCCAGACTAAATTTAAACTTCACAAGAGGTGCTGTACGTCTCCTCTGAGGGACTTCGTTCCATTTCATTTTCTCACAGTGTCGTTTGACAGGAATGCAGACTGAGGGATTGCATATGCCCCCGTCTATATTTAAAGCAGAATGCACGGCCCTCCACCAGTACCAGCTGTTAGGATACTCTTCCTCTACAGTCAGCTGGCAGAGTGATATCCTTTCCTCAGTTTATTCTCTTCCGGTTAACATCCTAACACCTTCAAAAAGTCTTTCATTTTGGATTTCTGATTTCACACATGAAGTGCAGTTTGATGGTCACAACTCGCAAGGAGTACTGGAATGTCACTTAAACAAGACATGTAGAAATATCAGTGACCGGTCAGTCAGTAAAATGTCTTGAACAGAGATGGGATGATGTCACTGTTTTCAGCAATGTTTACATTTATTTTTCCCCTTTTTAAATTTTTCTAAATGTCTCAGAAGAATAGGTTTTGAATCAAACCATGCCTCGCCTTGTGTGTGTCTTCTTTCTCAGAATAAAAAAAAAATGTAAGGAATAACATAAATTCCCTTCTTTTGTTAGAATTACATGGAGCAGTGTGTTTTGGGAGTACCACAAAGTGTCCCCTTCACCTTGTTGAATTGCCTTGTTGAATAATTGCCAACAAAATCTAATCTCAAACAAGCTGAACATTTCAGTGATGAATCCCTAAAACTCTGCCTCTCAGTCACAGACACACAGACACACACTCACACACTCACACAAAGTCAATTTATCACTGCCTGCCTCTGTACTATCTATCACTCAGCCTCTGCATGTGTGCTGAGGCATGACAACACTCATTCGGTCTTTCTTGTTTTGACAAACGCCCCAAGAGATTTATTAAAAATACCACAGAGCACAAAACAGTTTTTTTTTCAGCACACGGTGACAAGCGGATCTATGTGAAGCGTTCACAACAATTTGTTGCTTGCAGTGATTAGGGCCCAGAGGTGTGTATGCAGATTTGTGATTGTGTGATTGTGTGTGTGAGGACATAAAAACCAACGAGAGAGAAAGAAGGAGCTCTGTCGAGTGAGAGAGGATGTGCATATTTAATATCACACGCCGACAGAAAATCTCTCCCAAGTGTGCGTATGTCTTGCGTCCTGCAATCTGAGAAAAGAATGAATGACAAGAATGAATCAGAGACAGGAATGAATAAAAATGAATAGAAAATAAATGACAGCAGCTAAGTTAAGGCTTCCAGTCAGCTTTCATTTTTTTGTTAAAAAACAAATCTAATAAAGGATTTCCCACAGCTCATCGCGAAATCTCACGGACACATCAGAGTGAAAATCCCAAAAGAGTATGTGGATAATGGAAGCTGTGCAAAATGTCTTCTTCTGTTTTCATATTCTCAGTTCAGCCGATATTTGGCATAAAGTGAGAATGAAATCACAAAATTAGATAGCACAGGTTTTCTTTGTTCATAAACGTGTTGAGTTAAGCAGAAGGTTGAATAAATCAGACCATGGCCAGAAGGTCAAGTGAGTATATTTGATGATGGAATATTTTTCTTCAGTTCACCAGGTGAGTCATAATGAAATGTTGCTAGGCTGGGAGTCTCTGAACTTCTGATGGAAATGAATATGAAGTAAAACAATAAAATGTGCCAAATATTTAAACAGTTTCATAAATGCAGTTAGTTTTTCCCATCCATATTTTAACCAAAACATAAACCAGTCAGAAAGACTACACTAAGACAGTGAAGATGCCCATAAATGTAAAGATTACATATTCCATATCATTGGATCACAGGATCACAGAGAATGATTATATACAGTAACTTTAGCATATTCCATAAATATTGCTTAATTTCTTGAAAGATTTTGAGATATTTATTTGTTTGAGGATCCACAATTAATCTAAGCTACAATAGTGGATGATGTAGCACAAGCTTTTTCAGTGGTTACACTTCTCTTAAACAGGCTGTCACCATCATTTATTTGAGTTGTGGTACTGTTACTTTGCTAGATTTCATTTTACATTCTTGGAGCCCCTCCAGAATTAGCATCCTTTCTCCTTTGCTAAACTCCTTTGCTAAACTGGCATGGACTCAAGTGTTATGGGACCAAAGATTTAGCCAACAAAGTTCCACAGACAATATTTGGCAAATAAAGAGCCGAGAGCTACGCAGGAGGGGGGAGGGGTTGACATCAGCAACATGCGCCATCAGAGATTAGTCACGTCAGCGAGCCAGAAGTCCCCTGTCCCCCCGGCTGGAGAAACAGGAAGGGGCGGTTGTGATGGACACTTGTCAAAGCTCATGTCCGTCAGAAAAGTTCCTACACTGTGTGTGTGTGTTTAAAGCAGAGGCCCGCAGCAGGGAGTGAAAAGTAATGAGTGCCAAACATGGAACAGCTGCTAAATATGGCTCTGCAGAGGGGCAGGGTATATGCAGGCCTTAATGGAGCTACAGATTGCTGTGCAGCAACACTGTCCGTCACTTTCAGTGGCAGCGTTCTCCGAGCTCTGCCATATTCTACTGGAGCGACTGCTGCCTCCAAAGGGCCTGTCCATAAAAGTCATTCTGCAGGATTTATCAGAGGATGAAAAGGCGACAAATCAACTCACGATTTTAGTGATGGGGTGATGAGGTTTGTATCAAAAGTGATACAAACCCATAATCCACTGCCCATCTGCTCCTTCTGAATGCTCCTGCTATTAGCTTGTTTTTACTTATTAATTTACAAAATTGGCAATAGAGCAAAATCCCTTAGACACACAATGACGTTTCCTATGGTTTAAGCCAGATTTAGATTCAAGAGCAGCCAACTGGTGTTGGATTTGCTGCTGAGCACCAACGCAGTCTTGCTTCAAGTTGGAAGCACAGTGGCTTCCCAAGGACTTAATATAATACGTCTATAGCACTCACAGATGTGACGGGAATACAGTGATCCTGGATTAGAGAGATGAGATTCAGTGAGGTGACCAAAGCAGAGAGGAGGAGGGGACTGGTATGCTGTGTGAGAGAGGAGGGGGAGAGCAGAGAGTAAAACTAAAATCTTAATCAAGTGAAACAGAGTAGGACAAGGAACAAGGAGAAACTGGTGAGGCTGAGTTGTGGCAGGGAGATGTCTTCTTCTGTTTAATACAAGACTATGAAAGTGCTGACAGAGAAAAGTTTCAACCAGAAAGACCTCTGTTTCTCCTCCTCTAACCCTATGAGTGCAAGGACAAGCTGGTATATATTCCCACTGTCCAGCACATTAATGCTGGTCAGAGTGCGTGTGATGAATATCTGTTGGGTAATGCACTCCCATTAGAGCAAAGGATACACTCAAACAAGATATGTTATAACTAAATCCTTAATGAATCGTCTTTCACTGTATGCAAACAGTAGACCCTGATCATTTTAAAATCAAAAAGGTGATGACACAGTTTCATGCTGAACTAAGCAGAAGAGGTAAACATACTGTATTCACTTTGTAATACACTTTAAAATAACTATCTAGGAAGTAAACTGAAATGAAAACGTGGTTTTGTTACATTTGTCCCACTGTTAAGGACATGATAATGTGCAAACACTCCTCGGTCACACTGACCATGTTCCAATTGTGCAATTTTGAACGTTGTTTGTTTTCAAATGTGGCACACATCTTAGCAACAGACTGGATGCTCTACTTTTTTTTATTATTATAGACTGAAGGAAGCATTAGATCAAATACAGAGAGGTTTAAAACACAGCAGCATTGTATAAATGCTGTCTCATTGCTTCAACACGAGTGCAGAGTCAGACAGCTCATGTTTATTTCTGGCGGCATGGGTAAAGTCCTTAGGTCACTGGTGAGGGGTTTGCAAATTGCAGGCATGCCAAAGATGCCAAAGGTGGATTTACTTTTTCCTGTAGGTCTTATTTGAGCAGCAATATAAGCAGCATGCCATTTTGTGTGTGTCAGTGTGTTGTGCCCACACAAGAAGAGCAGTAGTGTCTTGGTTCTGGAGGATTTGTTAGGATATACCAGTGGGCCCTGGCTGCTTGGGTGAGGCTGGCTGAGAGGGCAGAAAGGGTGAGATAGAAAGACGGGGTGTCATCTCAGTGGGGTGTGTCAGAGGTCGCAGTGTTCACATACCACAGTGCTTTCACATCCACTTTGGGCCGTCTAAGGGCCTCAGTGTTAGACTATGTGCGGCACCCCTTTATATTATCTGTGTCTTTAAATATTAAAAAAAAGCACAAACACAATCATAAATAGTACACCCGATGAATAACTTAAACCTGCCAATATAAATAAAAAGGCTACAATCGTGGGTTAGTGCGCACACGTGAGGCAGTGTATCGGATTGTTTGGGAGTAGACCAGGTCCGCCACATATAGTCCAAAATTGACGAAGGAGAAAACTGCCACCACGAGTTTGCTGTCCCACGGACACTTCCCCTGAGGGCATGACGATGGTCTCCATGGAGAGCCATATTTTGGGTCAAAGCAAAACACCGGCCACACCACTGACGCACTCAGGTAGAGGAGAACTTCCAGGAGGGTGCACACCACCACGAAGCGGTCAAAGGGCAAGCAGCGCACAGCCTTGGTGCGCCCGCACACCGTCATGACGACCACAAGAGCAGTCAGAGCAAAGCAGAAAGCGTAGACGACCACGCAGAAGATTGTGGCCGCATAACGGGAATATTCACTCCCGTTGGCCAGAGCTCCAAAGATGATGCAGGCCACAAAGCCCTGAACCACTTTCAGGAGGCCAGAGGCGGTGGCCATGTAGCCCACCACAGCCTGGCCCGGCCTGGCACGGCACAAGGCCACTTCAGCCCCGTAGGCCAGAGCACCCAGGATGGAGCACACAGTGACAGCGATGCGGAAATTTCGGACATCACATCCGGCGTAGGGGCACTCGGATCGGACGAAGAAGAGCGGGTACACAACAGAGGCTGTCACAAACCTGAAGGAGACAGAAAAGATAACTGTAGATATGATGTCTTCAAACCAGAGGAAATATAGAATCTGAGGTGTTAAAGTTGGTGAAATAGACCATGAAACAAATAAAAGGACTGCCAAAGACAGTTAGCAGACATTAAAGTGTGATATTTATGAAATCTGTCCAGCAAAGATTTGTTGGTCACTGGGGGGCAGCAAAAGAAGCTGATAACACATCGATATCATAGTATCACCTTAAGAAGTTGATATTGTAAGCAACATGTGTTTTATTTTCCCGCTTAGCAGAGGTACATTAGCATTAGACGATGGTGGTCACCTGTAAGCTGTTCAGGTAATGTACTGGTTCAGTTAGTCAGACCTACTAGAAACTAGGGCAATGATACCAGTCACAAAATGTGTAAAGTACCGTAAGTAGTAATGTTGCAGTTTGTAAAACCAAAACAATTACCTGAAGGATGCTTAAATTCTCTGTACTGAGGAGAAAATATGAGTATATGAAAAGTAAGTGACAGTCTTAGCCTTATGTCGCTGTGTGTGATTTTTCGGAAACCTTTATAACCTAACCTTGATGTAACACGGAAATCTTCAGTACCTTTCCACTTATAATAAACAAGTTATATATTATTTATTCAATTTTAATTGAGGGTTGGTGGATCAACATGCAGTTTGTAACAATGGAGGTGTTTAAGGATACATCACTCTTCGGCTGTGCACAAAATATGTGGAAGAAGAGCCATGAGGCAAGTTAGGTCTGAACATCACCAACATTACTCCAATATCAGAGTTATACCTGAACATGTGACTTACATGAGGGTCGCGAAGGCAGCACATGTGACTGTGAGGTTGTCCCAGGATATGGGCAGGCAGCTGTAGAGGCGAGTGGCGTCCAGGAAAAACACCACGATCGTCATGGCGAAGCAGAAGCACCAGGCCGCCATGCAAAACACGCCGTGTGAACCGCTGTAACCTGCACTGTGTGTAACCATGGCAATCACAGCACAGCCCATGGCTAACTGACAGAGGCGGGCAGCACCCAGAGGTGAGCAGAGGGCCCTCTTGTTGAGGTATGCACCAGCCTGTGACTCCATTTATGGGTAAATATTCTAGTGAGTTCTTCAAGGAAGGTCTTCAAAGAAATTCTGGATGTCCAGTAGCAGCACAGCAGAGGATGATGTGGGGTTTAAAGTATTTAACAGGTCAAAGATTCAACTTAACTCAGAAGGCCAAAACAGTCCCACAAAAACAATAAAAAGCGTCCTTGTGAAAAAGATGTGATTGTGACATCAAGAGATCAAATTGAGAACAAATCATGAAAAGATATCCAGATGTTCAGGAAATGTTTCATTCATGTATAATTAATTCTGTCACCACCCCTGTAAAATCCACTTTCTCTGCTGTGTTTACAGACTTGGTGATACTCTATTTCTGTGTTGATGAATCACAACGTTTCACAGACATAAGGTATGACAAACACCAGGGAAATCTCTCTTTGACATCTTCAGTAAGAGCTCACACGGTGTACAGTACACCCATGTTGATCTCTCTTTTGTAGGTCCTGTAAGTCCACGATGTTAATCAAGCAATTGTCGGTAAAGTCCTGCCACATGGTACAGCCCAACCCTTCAGCTGAAATGGTCCGGTCCTGACACTGAATCTTCTTCGATCAACTATCCAGATATGTTTGTATCCGTCTCTGTCCAACATTCACATACTGAGTCCACGTGGCCACACGAGTCAAATAGACACCATGAACTCTCTTTGAATGTCAACGCTCATCCTCTTTCGCTCTCTCTCTGTCCCACACTCTTACTCCCACACTTTCTCCTTCCTCACTGTCCCTCTCTGAGCTGTGAGGAGGGGTGCTGCCGGCCGGTCAGAGTGGAAGTTATTCGGGGTTGGGCCATCACCACACATGTGCCGCAGGGATTGTGTACATGTGGTTGGGCGTGGAGTCGGGGCATGCAGACACATATAAGATCCTGTGGAATGAGGTGCCATAGCTGACCCCCCTGATGTCCCAGAGTGCACAGGTCAACATATGAGGAAGTCAGGGGACACTTGAATTAAACTACGAAGCTGGGAGCGTAGAGGCGGCATCACCAGAGAGATGTTGGATCTGAACAAAACTGTGTTAAAAGATGTTTTGGTATATAGTTTTCTCACCACACTTATTCCTCTTTACATCACCACTTAGTTTTACAGAGTGTTGCTAGAAGATAATAATCCTGTATAAACATGTGTACAAATTAATCATAAACTATTTTCTTTCAAAAATATTATTATGAAATAAAATATGCCCGTAAGTTATTTAAATGGAAATATTTCCCGAAAGAAACAAAAACTTAAAAAAAAGAACACTTTGAATATAGTAGAAAATGTACCATGATAATGTTATTTTTAATTTTGTGATTGTTTATTTTATTATGACTTAACTCTTTGGGACTATCTATCCTCATCCACATCTCAAGATTCCGGTCACCTGATAAATCTAAGTCCTATATTCATTCTCATAAAAACTTTAAAAAATCCACTAAATGTAGGGCATTGACCCATTTAAAAAACAACAAGGGGACACAAAAATCTGTGGTTGGGTATGTTAATGCCTCCAATATGAAATATATGAGCCAAATCACCATGATTGGCCTATGAAAAAGGTGACACAAAGATGAGGGAGAGTGGCAACAAAAGAAGGACCCACTGCAAACTAAGCAGGCATCAGTGATTTATTGCCAAGTACGAATACCGGTTGGGTGCTGGCAAAAAGGAAAATAGGAGTTAATTAAGGAGTCCAAATTAGGAGGTAGGCCAGGCAAATAGGTAACAGACCGAAAGCTACATTGCAATTAAAGTGGGGGGTGCGACAGGCGTGTGGATGGGTGGGGCAGTCAGGTGATGGGGCAAGAAATGAAAATCAGAGGGCATTTGATGGATTAATGGCTGTAAAATGGTAATGAAAGGGCCTGGGAAATAGAGAATGTAAGAGAGAAGGGACAGAGAGATATTAAAAGGCTCAACATAACTGAGAACTGCAAAACTGGGTGTCTAATCCAAGATTTGTATTAAGTGCAAAAGCCAAGAGAGGACCATAGTGTCCTTAGACAATATAAAGCATACTAAGAAATGTTGTTAGAAGTGTTGAAAGGCTCTGTGACATTTCTCATTTTGTCAGTAATCTTTTCCCCACATTTTAATGGATCACGACACTTATTTTTTATATTTTTTACACTTTCAATTCCAATCGCCCATTTTAATCTGCTGCCTCCGAAAAAACATTGTATTTTCTTCCTAATCTATCTGACTATTTTACTATAAACATGAGTGTCAGTGTGCTTTGCGCTGTGCTCTCATCCTGTGTGTCCATAGGTCTCTGTCTCCACCTGCAGGTGTGAGCCTCTCTGTTCAACAGCACTTTACACTCATTTACGTCAAAATGCACACACATAGCTGCATCAAAATAATGTCACATTGGCATTAAAACTGAATCTGAAATGTAAATAAAGCTGTGAGGAATACATTAGCATACCAGGGAATACTCTAAGTAAAAGTCAAGAAGAGAGAAATCAAATTATTCATTAATTATCAATATTTTATGTATGACTTTATGCATGAAAAAGCTCTATTTATTTGATGTAATACTTCATGAAATAGCAATCATATGTGCAGTAGGAATTGTTGACCTCTAAATGATCAATTAACGTTTCTAAATATTATAACATGTTAAATTATTATCATTATGCTTGTTGAGCTTTAATCTAGTATGTGATATATATATACTTACACATTTATTGTAGTCCTGATGACTAAAGTAGAGTCAACAAATGATATTGCATGCATTTATACACTGTTGTTCTGACTGTATTTGAGGGGAGAGTAGTACTTGAGTACATGTACTTCGTTACATTGCACCGCTGTACCAGCGATCTATAGGAACAGGTTATCGACGAGAATAATTTACCATGGACCATGGAACATGGAACACATGGAACATGGAACACATGGAACATGGAACATGGAACCGAATGTTGGAACGAACATAACAGAGAAGAGATCTAGAATGCCCGAAGTAAGCAGGACTGAGAGCAGAAACACTTCATTACCCTTCAGACTCTCACAGAGAACAGCACGAACAACCCAAAGTAAAAAAACACAACCTCAAAACAGTACAAGCAGTAGCTAATAGGTAAGTATTTAAGCTACTATATTTAAAGTAATATAAACTGAAGTAATTGTACATTTAGTAACAGATAAATACCCCCAAAGTTAATGCTAGCTGTGATGATTAGCTTACATTCACACGGCTAGCGTTAGCTAAATATTTATCTAAAGCCTGTGTGCTGTTTACACAACAGTGTAGATCAATTTGAAAGTAGTTAAAGTTAAAAATAAATCCGAAAAGTACTTTTAAATGTAGAAGGTTTATCAGTAAAACTTGCCAAAAGTACACAAAGTAGAAGTACTCACAGTGCAGCATGTTGTCCCAGTCATGATATTTGATACTGGTGCATAAAGTTGACAGCAGCATATACATGTTGGAGCTGGTCATATTATAGTTAATATTACTCACTTCCTTTTCAACTTCAACTGTTTAAGTTGTGTGTGTAGAATTTTAATCTGCAACATAAATAGTTACAGAGCTTTTGTTGTAGAAATCCATATCTGCAAAGTAACTCAAACTGTAACACAAATGTGGTGAAGAAAACAGACACTAATACCCTAAAAGAGTTAATATAACGTGTTTCTTTGACAGTGTCTCCATCAATGGAACATTTGAACAAGCTGCAGGAACTGGTAGCAGGGATGAGTCCAGATGAGTTCCTCTCTACTCTCCTCGAGGCACTGCAAGCCTGTGTTGGCGAGGCCCTCAACCCCCTGCCTCCTCCTGCCCCTGCTCCTGCTGCTCCACAGCTGGTAAGACCCTGCTTACCACGCTTTAAATGAAATTGGAAAAATTCAAATTAGTCAGAAAGGTTCATTAGAATATGTATCACTGTCAGTCAATCTATTCAGACTGGCAGATTAATAGACAGGCAGATACATAGATAATACAAATCTTTAATTTTAGTTGCAGCTTTGTCAATACAGACTAAAATAGAGAAAGTATTATGGCTGCTTAACCTCCCTCTCTGTCTCCACAGAACATTCAGTATATGTGGCCTGCTAACAATGCTCAGGTCCTGACGGCTGTCAGAGAACCTGCTGCTGCTCCACAGCAAGTAAGACCCTGTAACACACTCTGAACATATTCACTGTGTGGTTTCAGCACACAGCACATTTAGTAGCATGGATGTAGGAGAAGGAAATGCTGAAACAGTAACAGCTGGACAGGACAAACACATTTTCTTCCAATTAAAACTTCATTAGACATTTTTTGAATCAAAGATGAATTAGATCAGTAAAACTACAAAATGAAGGAGAATATGTCATAGTGGAGTGACTGGATATGAAACTATTCTGATAGGAGTGTTTGAAGGGGAAATCCTTCCACTTAGTGGACTGACAACACCATTGCAGCTTGTCTCATCTCCTGTGTGTGTGTGTGTGACCCCAGATCATTGATGTGCCGATGGTGAACCTCCCTGAAGGCCAGCACTTGTGCTATGTCGGGATGATGTAAGTAACACACACAATAATACTAACAACAACAGTGCCAATGACAGTCTGCTTGTATCATCACACACTCTTTCTATTATCTAATGTGTGTGTCCATCCTCCTTTATTTGTGTAGTAATGGACAGGAGTTGTACCAGGTGCTATATACAGAGGTCCCTCCTCCCTACTTCCAGTTTCCTGTCCCTGCTGCTCCTTCACTGAGCCACAACTCAGAGTAAGTTGACTCTTTAAACTGTTGTGATCTGTAGCCATACATGAGCCATACTCATGATCAAACCAGAATCCTCTATCAGTTTGATTTAAGGAGTCATTTATCTAGGAAATGCCTACATCAGCATTATTATAATACATGTATTTTAAAGGGGTTTAATGTAACAACACAGTACCCATATGTTCTATATTTATACTAACATTTCTTTCTTATTTTTCTCTTTTTTTTTCCCCGTAGAAAGACATGGCATAACAAACAGCAGGACACCAACCGCCCGTACGTCCGGAAGCCCCTGAATGCCTTCATGCTGTACATGAAGGAGCACCGAGACCTCGTGAAAGCGGAGGTTGTCTCCGAGAGGCGAGGCACAGCGGCTGAGAATGAAATCCTGGGCCAGAGGGTAAGTGTGTTTGGTCCGTATGTTTAAGTCGGATAAATATAAATATTTTTAACAGGCCGCCAGCTTGTCAAAAGTCTTCTAACTGTAACTCACACATTTTTACAGAGACTTTCATTTGTTGTCTCATCACCAAAAATGTAGAGCTTTGTGTGTGCTGATGTTTTTATGCTTGTGTTTGTGCCTGTACACTATCTGAAGAAGTGTCAGTGTCAGTGTGTGTGTGTGTTAGTGTGTCCTAACAGTGTGTTTTCATGTGTCCACAGTGGAAGGCAATGACTGAGGAGGACAAGGAAAAGTACTTCAGTCAGTCACAAGAGGAGAAACGGCTCCACGCCCAGCAGAATCCTCACTGGTCCAATAGGGACAATTATGTAAGTACACACCTCCAACATGATTCTATCAATAACAAGAGCTTATGAAACACTGCAAATACTTCATTTTTATTTATTTTGTTGTGTGTAGGGCCGAAAGATCAGGAAGAGAAGACATGCTCGCTCCAGTGAGAAAGGTAAGACGGTGTTTTCATGTGATAAAAACAAGATGACATGGTACCACACCGGACCATGTGACTAGATTAGATCACTGATTCCTAAATCACTTTGATTTTCCAAACTACACATACACAGATTTAATCATTTATCTAGTTGAATTAAATATGCACTTCTGAATTGGACATTTACACGAGTACACAATATTCTGGCGCGAGGGTTTGACTAAAGACTGAATTGTGTTATGTTACAAAATAAATCCCAGAAAACTCTTTGGATTGACTGTACTTACTAAAGTGCTGTTTAATGCAGGGTTAAGAACTTGTTTTCAAAGAGTTTAAAGTTTAAGAAGACTGATCAGTGTGTTTTTTTGTCACAGCGTCTGCACCTGCAAAGAAGCAGTGTGTGACAGCACTTTCCTGCTCAGAGGCAGCCAGTGGGGGTGCAGCTGCCCCACTCACAGAGGACGGTGACCATGTCTCTCATCACCATGGAGGAGCTGATCTAAACTGCCTCTTCCAGCCATAATCAGGATGCTGCGTTTACTAATAAATAAAATTGCTAACAGCACTTTTAATGTGTAAGAAAATAATTGTAGAAGATTTAAAAGCAGTCATGATGTTGGTTAAATTCAGGGAACCAGAATCAACAGGTTTAGTGAAGCTAAGGAACTGGCAGCTGAGTGAATAACAAATTAATAATCATTACTGCGAGTCCTCCTTGCTCAGATATTTGGGGTGATTTTGTGTTGCCTCATTACCGTGTGAACGTTTTTATACTGTGTATCTTATCAATTTAATATCATGTAATGTATTATTAATGTATTTATTACCATGTGTATATCCTTAAATATTTTTAAGACAAGTCTGTGACACTCCAGGGGTTGGTGAAACTATTTTAATTTAAATGATCATGATATTTATAATTTTTGTATGAAATACTTTCTAGTTTATTACATTATTTCTGAAGTGGCTTTTCTTTCCATGTGCCTTTGGTATTTTGATATGACACAGTGTTACTCTCACATTGATTTATGGGAATTCTGTGATGAGATGGTTCAAAATAAAAAAGGTTGGATGTATTTAAGACATTTCTCTTGTCTTGTTCTTTTACATAAACTGTAGCAGTTTTTGTCAGGTTGTTCCAGTAAAGGAATGTTTGAAAAGGTTCAAGTTCAAGGCTTTTATTAGTCATACGTACATAGCTACAGTGTAGTTATGACGATGAAAATCTTAGGTCACAGGCTTTATAATTTATTTTGTGATTTATATCACAAGTGATATAAATAAAGTTTGATTTGGTAAGGGTCCTTGGCTATGGCCCTGCTGTGACCCTCTCCTAATGTCAGCTGGAGGGGCTCCAGCACCCTGTGAAGCAGCGCTCACATCTTCATCTCTCTTCTCAACAAGGCAGCTGTGCTCTTGACCTGCTACAGCTGCCATTAGGGGGCGCTACTGCAGCACCTAGAGGTCCCGTGTGCTGACCCCTCAGCCCTTCATTACAACCTTGAAATATCTTTGTCGGTTTAATAAACAAAAGAGCGACTTTACATTTTTCAAGGGTGTTTATATCGGTCAAAGTTGAGTTTTAAAGGAGAATTGGAGAATGTTGTGGTCAAACTGTGACACACACTCCATTATGAGCCTCTCTTAGTGTCACTTATTTGGCATCAAAGCCTGCAGGGGACAGTTGGAAGTAATTCATCTGTACCAAGGAGACAGAGTGTACGTCTGTGTGTGTGAGACAAGTGGAGGAAATGCACTCCTCTCACTCTCAAACAAACAAAAACACACAAACACACAGCGTCCTGTGTTTAGTGTTTGTGTGTGTTGTTGACTAAATGTAAAAGGATGGTTGCATGCTGGTTGTTTACCATTAGCTGTGAACGGGGGTCAGAGGCTGCGTTCATCATGATGTCTGTACTGTTGGATCAAAGGTGTGGTCTCAATGGGTACAGGGAGGAATCTGAAAATTATTGATCTGCTCTTTAAAGGAGGCCCTTTTATCCAATTTCTGGTTTTCTACATCTACACCTATAAGCGGTTGACTAATCACAACAGAGCCGACCAGCTGACCAATATAAGCAGACTGGGTTCTGGTCGGAAAAACCTTTCTGAACATTAAAGCATGTTTAAATATCAACCCAAAAATGAGCATAATTGGCCCTTTTAACACCCTTCCCTTACATACAAACTCAAACCAATACAGACAGTGCTTCTGTGACTGTGACACACATCTCAGTCCACTTGTACCGGTTCATCAAATTCATCTCATCACATCTTCTTATTCCCTAATTGAAACAGATTGAAACAGATTCAGCAGATCTGATGTAGGTCATTAAAAAGATGAAGAGGTACAACCTTCATGTAGGGCTTTGTGTACAATACATTTAATAAATGAACCCTGTTTTACTGGGAGGAACTAAGGAGAAGCAAGAATTGCAGCGATCTGGGGGTATCTTTTGTTAAACTACCTGCTGAATTTTGCACCAATAAAGACAAAAGAGAAAAGATCATGTGTCAATAAACAGATCACATGGTTCTATTGAACCTTGTGAAAACGATAACCATCCATCCATCCATCTTCTCCCGCTTATCCGTGGTCGGGTCGCGGGGGTAGCAGTTCCAGCAGAGAGCCCCAAACTTTCTTTTCCCTGGCGACATCAACCAGCTCTGACTGGGGGATCCCAAGGCGCTCCCAGGCCAGAGAAGAGATATTATCCCTCCACCTGGTCCTAGGTCTACCCAGCTGGATGTGCCTGGAACACCTCCCTAGGGAGGCGCCCAGGTGGCATCCTAACTAGGTGCCCGAACCACCTCAACTGGCTCCTTTCGACGCGAAGGAGGAGCGGCTCAACTCCGAGTCCCTCCCGGATGACCGAACTTCTCACCTTATCCCTAAGGGAGACACCAGCCACCCTGCGGAGAAAACCCATCTCGGCCGATGGTATCCGCGATCTCGTTCTTTCGGTCACGACCCATCCTTCATGACCATAGGTGAGGGTAGGAACGAAAATGGCCCGGTAGACAGAGAGCTTTGCCTTCTGGCTCAGCTCCCTTTTCGTCACAACGGTGCGGTAAAGCGACTGCAGTACCGCTCCCGTTGCTCCGATTCTCCGGCCCATCTCACGCTCCATTGTTCACTCACTCGAGAACAAGACCCCGAGATACTTGAACTCCTTCACTTGGGGTAAGGACTCATTCCCTACTTGGAGTGGACAGTCCATCGGTTTCCTGCTGAGAACCATGGCCTCAGATTTGGAGGTGCTGATCCTCATCCCAGCCGCTTCACACTCGGTTGCGAACCGATCCAGTGAGTGCTGAAGGTCGCAGACCGATGAAACCATTAGAACCACATCATCTGCAAAAAGCAGTGGTGCAATCCTTAGTCCACCGAACTGCAGACCCCCTCCCCCATGACTACGCCTCAAAACCCGATCCATGTATATTACAAACAGGATTGGTGACAAAGCGCAGCCCTGGCGGAGGCCAACCCTCACCGGAAATGGGTCCGACTTACTGCCGAGGACCCGGACACAGCTCTCGCTTTGGGAGTACAGAGATTGGATGGCCCTGAGTAGAGACCCCCTCACCCCATACTCCCGCAGCACCTCCCGTAGCACCTCCCTGGGAACCCGGTCATACGCCTTCTCCAAGTCTACAAAACACATGTAGACCGGATAAGCGTACTCCCAGGCCCCCTCCAGGATCCTTGCGAGAGTAAAAAGCTGATCCGTCGTTCCACGACCAGGACGGAATCCGCATTGTTCCTCCTCAATCTGAGAAAACGATAACATGGATGTGTAATTTGAACTTCAAGACAATGCAAGACAGTGTAAGTACAAACAATCTTTATTCACTTTGCACACCTTCAGCACTCTGCTCAGAGATCAACTGGAATGAAACACAACAATCCTCTGCAATGAAAAACACCTTTCACTAATTGATCTCATTATTTGACTGCTTAAAAACCTAGGCATGTGCAGGCTTCTTCCATGAGGTATGTGTGGATAAGTCGAGCCTTTATCAAGTGCTCTCCTCAGTCTGCACGCAGCTCCAGAGACGTCCTCCTTCAACACACAGCAGCGCTCTCATTTCTTACCTGTGCAGGGAACAAGGAGACAGTGATCAAGAGCTCTGCCAGTCAAAGAAACAAAACATGCCAACAGCACAGTACTGATACACCTTACTGTCATTTTCGGATTAGATTCTACTTTCTACAAAATGTGAAGAAATTGTAATAAAAAAAAGTGACAAGGGGTCTTTAAAATGAAGATGTCTTAAATGTTTTGTCAATCCTAAACCCAGAGATGTTCATTTTAATATGAAAGACACTTGATAAAAAGAGAAGGAATCCATATTTCAGAGGCTGAACATTACTCTCATGATGAATGGATAATCAGGTGGTGATTATTTAACCATTGATCAATCATTTATTCAATTAGTAGACTACACTACAGCTCTACAGTACAGTTGAACAAAAGCACTGGAAAAGCTTTTAAATTCTCAACCAAAACATTTAATTATTTTCAACAAAGAAGAATTGAACAATACAACATTTAGTTGTTCTAGGTGGGATTGAATTGGTTTAAACAAAAAATGATATAGCGTTATTAGCAGGGGTGCACATAACTGGTACGCAGGTACGCATGCGCGGCAACAATCCGAAATGCGTACCGTCTCTTGTGTCACAAAGCGCATTTGCGTACCGACGTACTTGTGAAGCTTTTCCAGAAGGCGGTTAGATCACCGGACGACAGAGTCGATCTCCATATGCACAGACAGGGCTGCTGTTAACGTCGGTCTGTAACGGAATTGTGCCAAAACTACACCAACCCCCAACCCCCCCCCCCCGTTGACGTTCGCGATACAGAGGGCTTCATCAAATAACTTTGAGTGGAGCCAGAAGTTGGAGTACCAAACACTGACTCCAGGTACTCATCTGAGTACCTCACTGAGAAAGTTATGTGCACCCCTGGATATTAGCATCTTTCCATGGGACTCAGCATGAAAGCAATTTTTCCAAATGTTCAACTATTGAAAGGTGATTTGATGACTTGGATAACCACTTCTGAATTTGGAATGCTGCCACTGGATGTGCATTGCAATTGTAATAAAAACAAGCACCGTATCATCCAGATTTCCAAATACGACATGTGAAGTGTGATGAACTAAATATGAATTGCATGATGCAGGAAGGAGCAGAAAGTCTCGAGACGGCTGAAGATTGGATGTGTCAGGTTTAATCTCAATCTGTGCCAATACTCTGTAAATGTAGTAATCTGCATTAACTACCAAACATTTTGAATGATGGACAAACAGTTTGAGTGTCTGTGTGTTTACTGTTTAAGTGTCCTTTAAACCGTGGGGTTCCACATATGGAGCCTATAATTCCCGATCCAGATCCCCCCCTCCCCTTTTTCTTTTAACTTTCCTCATGAAAGAGAAAGCAGCCACAACTTTCTTTAAAGACGCACATGGAAACACACAGAGATCAGCCTGAAACGAAATGTGCACATAAGAGAGCAAATAAAGAAGAGCATTATTCTTAACCAAAACATCAAAACAGTGACCGCCACAAACACCACAACAGGAGAGCTTCGTGCTTGGAAGCACAACAGGGGCTCCCGCTGTGTGATGTGGCCCAGCAGCAGGCTCTCTCTCTGGGCATCGAGTGTCTGAAGTGGTCTGAAGGGGGGGGACCATCCCGAACAAATTGGTTCACCCTCAAATGCATCCTTATCTTCTGAGTCATGAGAAAAAGGCTGCTTCCTATTGACTGTGGTTTTGGGGTTTGTGTGTGTTCCCTTCTGTTCTTTCGATAAAAAAGGATGTGATCTCTCAGGAGAAGAATGGCTGGAGGGGCTGTTTTGGGGGCGTAAAGAGACTTTGTGTGTAATGTGTGAAGGCTTTCAACGGAACTTTGTTGCAGAGAAATTAACCAGACCGAGACCACCTGGAGCGTTGCGTCTCCAAGATGGACTTCGCTGTGATTCTGGAACGAGATTATGCACTCTGAAATACAATTAAAGCAACTTTTTGATCATTTCCTGGAAAATATGTTTTAAAAAAGGGGGTTCTTATTATATGTAAGGACAAAACATTTATATACTGTACAAACAACATAAGCAATATGGGATGTTTGAGGACTAAAGTGTTGTCCGGCTAGCAAGTGTTTATAAGTCTGTACATTGACTTGTGGTTAAGTCATTTCAGTGTTTATGACTTTGAGTAGTTCTCGATGGATTGTGTAACATGTTCTGCTGCTACGATGGAAATAAATTCCTGAAGAGCGAAAAACATTTCCCACGTATTCTGCACAACGGGACCCTTCCAAAGAGCCACATTTGACACAGCATGTCATGATGAGATGTTCAAAAAGAAAGCCTGAGAATATTACTCAAACCCTTCCAAAGAAGGTTTTCTTGTCTGGGATATTCATAGGTAACAGAATCTAGGCTCACTCGCATGAGAGCTGACATGATTGTATAATAAACGATTGGTTATTGCCATTATTATTTATTCTCTTTGACCTATTACAGTATTGAAATTAAAATTGCATTTTTATCCTTATTTTACAAATAATTACTTTAATGTTTTAGCATGATGGACTGCACTTCAACACTACGAGTTCAATGCCGCTATCACAGCAGCTCGCTTGGCGTTCACTTTAGGACAAAGTAACTTCGCTTCAGAACTATTTAAGCATTTTTTTAATCTTTTGAAGTCCTGTGCTTCACACTTTTTGTTTATGCATTTTTCTACTTTATTTTCCCAACTTTTCAGCCCTCAGCCCTGCAGTCTCATGCCCTTTCATGTGGAGTTGCGAGGCTATAACCTGCTATTTCTGTACAAGGGTACACACAATAGTGTGGTTTAAGAACACGCCAAGAATGTGACATTTCTTAGGACCTTTATGGTGAACAGATTTAAGAAAAAGGTGGAAAAAATATATTGGTGAATGAGACCCATTGTATTGATTTCTTCTTTGGGACTGACCAAACAAACCAAACTACAGATGTGAAGGAAATTATTGTGTGAGTGATCTAGTGCGTGTCCTGTACATCTCTCACCTGGAAGCTTGAGCCACTTGGGCATTGTTCCCAGGTCAGACCTGGCAGGTTTAGCAGGCGGGGGGTTTTCAGACGAGGCTCCAGTGTTCTGAGCGGCTCTGCTGGGGTCGGCCCTCGGCTCCGGAGCAGGCGGCTCCTCCGGGCCCTCAGAGCTGCCGGAGGCTGTCGGGGACCGCAGCATACAGCTGGGGGGGGGGAGGTCGGATAAGAAGAAGAAACATTTTATTATACCATGATATCGTCAGATCAAGTCAGGTATTATTCTTGCATCCCAGCAGCTCCATTTGCAACATCAACAAGGACAAATGTGTAGGACAATAAAATATCATCCCAATCACTGACGACAATATTTCAAGACCTAGACTAGAGAAATATTTTATTGTATATTTGACCTGGGATTAAACCCTTTATTTAATTATAGGTTTGACTGGAGCCTTAAAGAGTGCTTCAGTCTTAATACTTAGGGGACCCCGTATGTCCCATGGATGTTTAAAGAGAACTACAGTCTACCAGTTTAGATTTCAATTCAATTAAATTCAAAACCTTTATTTATCCAGGTAAAATCCCATTGAGATCAATTAACTCTTTTTCAAGGGAGACCTGCAGCAGTAGGTTCCACAAGAAGACATAAAAACATAAACAACAGAACAACAAAAGGACATCATACAGCAAAATGTACAGGGATTACAATTTACATATTTAACCACAAGTACAGGTCCCAACAGCATCTGATTTTGTAGCATCTAACCGAGCTTTAAAAACATGTAGTGGTACTAGCTTGGTAATTTTCCATTCTTTTTGCAGACTGTTCCATGTTAGTGGAGCTGCACATCGAAAAGCTTTCTTCCCTAAGACAGTCCTAGCACTTGGCACATTTAATAAAACCACAGCATGCGATCTCAGGCAATAAGTACTTTCAATTCGCAGAGAGATCAGGGAGCAGATATAAGATGGTAGTTTATCCAACATGGCTTTGTAAATGAAAAAGTACCAGTGACTGAGCCTCCATACAGTAAGTGATGGCATAACCGCCTTGGTATACAGGGTACAGTGATGCGTAAGTGCTTTACAATTTGTCAAAAATCTCAGTGCACTGTGATACGCAGCATCTAACTTGCTCAGGTAATTGGCAGGTGCATTCATATATAACAAATCACCATAATCCAGCACAGGTAAAAAGGTCACAGTGACTAGCCTTTTCCTGGCCTCAAGCGAGAAACAGGACTTATTTCTGTAAAAGAAACCTAGTCTAACCCTCAGCTTTTTAAGCAGGTTATTGACATGAAATTTAAAAGTGAGACAATCATCAAGCCAGATACCCAGGTATTTGTAACAGGCAACCACTTCAAGTTGTATTCCTTGCGATTTAACCACGACCACTTCCGAATTAACTTAGCACTGCGTCGTGGACGTATAAAGGGAAAGTCGCCGTCCCCATGTTAACAACGCTATAGTAATATCATGTTGTAGATAAGAATAGCGCTTTTTTTAATATGAAAGAACATCAAAGTTATGCATAGTTGAGTTAATGTTTTTTTATTTTAATTCACCAAGGATATCAAAATAATAAACTAGAAACCAATGCCGGTATGTAGCTTAATAGCTCATTTTTTGTTTTGTCACGTTTTGTACACGAGTACAGTATTTGAGTAAATGTACTTTATTTAGGATAACCTCTTGCTGCAGACTGCTGTAACATTTTTCACTTGCACTGACTGATAAACAGCCCTTATAGTTTTTTTCCCAAGCTAGAGAAGACGTGATATTACCTCAGCGTTACCATGGGGACGATGACGTTCTCTCTGCAGTCACGCAGAGCTACGTTAATGCTGAAGTGGCCGTGGTTAAATATAAACTAAGTTGGAAAACGATAGAGGCGCTCAGGACATGGTCGGGTCAGAGATGATGTTGTTGGCAAGCCTCGATGTGTTATTATATGTCTAAAGTACTTGTAAAAGGTGTCCTCAGAAAAGAGGCTTTGAAGAAGACTTGTTGTTCCTGTATTTATTTAGGAAGCATTGTTTTGCATGTGGAGAGAAGTTATGGAACTGTGAGATCAAGGAGAGAAGTGACGACCTTGTAAAAGGACAACAGGTGGGGGTCACATTTGGGAGCGGGCTCTATCTTTAGAAGGACTGGAAAGTGGTTTATGTGTGTGTGGAGGAAATGAGGGCGCATGGGGGCACCTGCTGTTTAGGCTGAGCCTCAAAGGGATTCCTATGATGACAGCTTTGTTAAAAAAGGCTGGTTGCCGCAGGATATAAGTGCGTACACACGCCCTAATGCATGCACGCCCTAATGCATGCACGGTCACACGCATGCACGGTCACACGCACACACACACACACACACACACACACGGACACACACCTTGCAATGGACTCGTTTGCTTGCAAAGCCGACACAGAGGAGTCAACCAGTTCCTTTTTCATGTAAATGTCTGTGGAAAACACACACAGTCAAACAATGTAAATTATTGTTTTGTTATGTTACATTCCTCAGTAATACACCAGTATCCAAATCCAAATTAGCATGAGAAAGGGAAAAAAGAAGAAAAAAACCTCTGTTATCATCAGAGCCGAAGTACACCAGCGCACCAGGAAACAGGTCGGCCTGCAGACAGAGAGACAGAGGAGGAGAAGTAAACAGAAGCAATCAAAAGTATTTTTTACACGATTCAATCTGCAAAACATGGACAAATATAAACAAAACCGCCTCCTTTCTACATGCAAAATGATCGCTCCAACCACATTAGCGGCCAGAGTTGAGTTCATTTCTGAAGATGATTCATAGCTTGGGGATCTGAACCAGCCACTCTTTGAAGCAGACCACAAAATGAGCAACAATCAAAACACTTTCACCCCCGAAGCACAACACACCTCTCCGGTGAACGTCTTAATGGTTATAATGGACCATTCGCAGGCAGATATTACCAAGCGTACAATTACAGAGGTAGAAACGCAGACAGGCAGACAGACAGGGCACGCGTCTGTGACTCTAATGCAGAGTAGACAAACAAGAAAGTAGTTTAAGATAAACAGTCTTCTTCTTCTGGTCTCATGAACAAACACTATGGGGAGCATCTGAGCAGAAGTACACAGTTGAGTTGTTTTAATAATTAGTGATGTACTGTTAAAATAGTAAATGGTTAACACAAAGAGTACAGTTAGTAGATCCTAAAATGTGTCTTAAGACTCAAATTTGATAATGTGTATTTTAGGGCTCTAACGAATGACAGTTTGACATTCACAGTCTTAATGAAGTACTGCGCAGCAGGTCTCTTCTGAAGAGATAAAGAGATTAGGCTAAACTAATATTATCCAGTTGTGTCTGCATTATATTGCTTGACTCTTGTGATCAAAACATTAACTATTTTAGAGTCCAAAAGTACGAATTTATGGAAAAAAAGAGAGAAGTCCTGGGTGGAGCGGGTTAGTGAGTTTGGGCCAATAATGATTATTTCAGATTTGTCACAGTTTAGTTTCAGAAAGTTATTTTGCATCCATGTTTTGATGTCAGTGAGGCAGTTGATGAGTTGGGAGAAATAGTTTTTGTAGAGAGGTAGAGTTGGGTGTCGTCAGCGTAACCGGAGTTGGTGTTGACAGAGGATCTGTCCAAGTGGGAGGATGTAAATGATGAAAAGCAGGGGACCAAGTACAGAGCCCTGGGGGATGCCGCGAATGACTGAAGCGGTGAGGGATTTGCAGTTGTTGGAAATTAATTGTTTTCTGCCAGAGAGATATGATTTCAGCCAGGAGAGGGCGGTGCCGGTTATGCCAATTAAGGACTGAAGGCAGGTGATGAGGATGGAGTGGTTAATGGTGTCGAAGGCAGCGGTTAGGTCAAGAAGGATGAGGATGGAGAGGGATCCAGAGTAAGAAGACAGGAGAATGTCATTTGTGACCTTGAGTAGAGCAGTTTCAGTACTGTGGCGAGCAGGAGCAAATTAGGTTGAAGTTACTTGTCCAAGAACACTTGAACTGGTGTTCCCTAGCTCCCCTGATCTGAGGATCAATGCACTAGCCCACTGCGCCACATCCACCCCAAGAACAAAGTGTTCAGCTTCAATCCTATAATGTTGGGGTTTCAGAAATAACATTTTAAAATGATATCTACCTGCTTTAAATAATATCTTTCTGGATGTCCACAGAAAAGACTTATTCCCATTTCAGCTTGAAGCAATAAAACGTTAGCCTTTGGTTTTCAACTCCTGCCTAATAACATATTAACATTAAAGAGCTACAGGTAATACATTCTGCTGGCATCATTTTTCTTTTCAGATAAAAACCACCAGTTACCGACAATAAATGAGAAGCAGCTTTTGTTGCTCTGAGACTTAAATAAAACAGAAAACACTTTGAACTTAATGATAGATCTGCTACTTTCATCATTGATAGCTGCATGTGAGCATCGTGTGCCACGCAAGAACAACATTTTTGTCAACTGTGGCAACAATAACTAAGGGAGGCTTTCCAAAGACAGACTGCTCGTCATCTGCAGGGAAACCGTTTCCATGTAGCTCAGCCCGTAACTGTTTCACATAAAAAGAGAAGAAAGCATGTTTGTTGCTGGGATTAGTTTGGTTGACCCTCTACTACAGCCTGTCTCACACACGCTGTTTGTCTCTCTCTGCCCCCCCCAATCACTATCTGGTGGCTAAACTGGGACGCTCTGGCCTAATTGCTATTATGGCAGCGCTGTGAGCAGGAAACAATGTGTTACAGTGAAACAACACACATTCCTGCCATCCTGCTCCCCTGGCAGCACCACTTCCACTGAGACAGGGCGACGGGACAAGACCGGTGTGTGTGTGTGTGTGTGTGTGTGTGTGTGTGTGTGTGTGTGTGTGTGTGTGTGTGTGTGTGTGTGAAAAAACACATGAGAGAGAGCGAGGAATGGAGGCAGGCAGAACGGACCCTGATGGAAGACAGAGGGAGAGAAGGATGAGGGAGGGGACGCCTGGTATCAAAGGGTTTCTGGGTTGGGAAACATTCCTTTCCTGACATGACACAAAGTGATTAAAGTATTTGTGTGTGTGTGTGTGTGTGTGTGTGTGTGTGTGTGTGTGAGAGACATATGCGCTCATGTCTATGCTAAACAACAACAAAAAGGATTAAAGATCCCGTGTGTGTAAGTCAAAGACTGATGTATAGAAACGGAGACAGACTGTGTGTGTGTGAGACATACATGCTCATGTCTTTGCGACATGACAAAAAAAGATGAAAGATTTCTCGTGTGTGTGTACCAATGATTGATGTATAGACAGAGAAACGGAGAGAGACTGTGTGTGTGTGTGTGTGTGTGTGTGTGTGTGTGTGTGAGACATATGCGCTCATGTCTATGCTAAACAACAACAAAAAGGATTAAAGATCCCGTGTGTGTAAGTCAAAGACTGATGTATAGAAATGGAGACAGACTGTGTGTGTGTGAGAGACATACATGCTCATGTCTTTGCGACATGACAAAAAAAGATGAAAGATTTCTCGTGTGTGTGCCAATGATTGATGTATAGACAGAGAAACGGAGAGAGACTGTGTGTGTGTGTGTGATGACACCAAGGGGATTAAAGATTTTGTTTTTGAGCACTGTAACGCTTTTAAGTCCCTAATGGATAGAGACAAGAGAAGGAGGGGGGGGTGGTTAGGGTTAGGAGAGCGGGACAACAGTGTTGGTGGATGAGGGGGGAGAAAAGAGACACATTTGGAGTTGGGGTACAGCAGAGGGACGTGTGGTGGTGATCAGACGGGGTGAGTTCAGGATGGGAAGCAAAGAGGAGAAAACAAAGAGAGACGGGCCACTTCAATCAGAATCAGAGGGATCAAAAATGGCACACACCAAAGTGTGCTTTTGAGGATCTTTATCTGTTGTAGCAGTCCCTCTGAAGTGCTACTACTTGCTCACCATCCCAACACAATACCGTTTCTCACAATCTCTCTTCCTCCCTTCGGCCCTTCACTTCCTCTACTTAAAGGTGGGGAAGGTAATTTTGGAGAAACCAGCTCGAGTGCGCTAGAATTTGAAAATACACAACCGGAAACAATCTGCCACTTCCTTACAGAGCCCCTCCTCCAACACACACGAATGCGCACATGACCAATGAGGGCACGAGATAAGTTTGTGCACTGATGGAAGGCTGACAGGCAGGTAGGCCATCCAGTTACTTTAGCCGGGCCGGCTAAAATGATTGGTCGTGCTTTTTACAGCGCCACAGCTTCCACAGATGACATTTTTTAATGGATTTTTTGTCAAAGCACTTCAGATATTCATTGCTATCGGATGTTAAGAGCATTCCATGGAATATAACAAAAAGTGTATCTCGAGCCGGTTTCTCAAACTTACCTGCCCCACCTTTAAGATTGGGTGAAAGTGTCAGAGAAAAATAAAAAACAGGAGGCACTGATGATGAAAATGTTCTAAAATAATACATACAAAAATAATTAAAAAGGAGAGTCTGTGAGGGCATCGGAATATAAACTGATGAACTGTACAAGAGGACATCTTTCTTACTTGTAATTCGCTCTCTTTTAGTGTGGAAATAGCTCTGAGTGAAGCGTCAAGGCTGCCCATTTCTGTGTGTGTGTGTGTGTGTCAAGATCAAAGCCAGGCCTGTATTAACCCCATGTGCCAGTCTGGGAAAAATCAAGCCCAGCTGGGGTCAAGGACAGTGGGGAGGGGGAGAACAAGTGTGAGGGGGAGAAGGGGAATGTGGTGAGGCTTTGAAGAGGAGAGAGGGACCAGCCGATACATTTTTACATTCAGTGTGTGTGTGTGTGTGTGTGTGTGTGTGTGTGTGTGTGTGTGTGTGTGTGTGTGTGTGTGAGAGTTTTGTAGTTGTTGTTTACTGCAGTTTGCCTGTGATGTGGTTTGTTTGAGTCTAATTGCACTGTTTATTGTTTTGGTTTAAAGAAAGTGCTGCGTAAAGACTTAAACGGTGTGTTTGAGGCATCTTACCTGAAACAGAGTCGCTGAGGGGTCGTCCAGGATGGTTTTTGGGGGGGTTATGACTGACAGAAAGCAAAAGACAAAAAGGCAGACATCAGAGGAAAGTACGAACAGCTATTGTGTGAAAACATGTCAGCATTGTCATTCACCAAAAATAAATCCAGTGTCAATGTGACCTTCCCTGGCCACCGTTTGTACTCTGCCTTTGTGTTATTGTAACACATGTAGAAAAAAAAGGGTGTTGTATATTTTACGACTTGAATCTCAATAATTTCTCAGTGTTTTTCTCAGGATATCTTTTGATTTGATGATGTTGTGATAAATTAGTGGGAACTATAATGCATTTAGGGGTCCGTCTTAATTTAGGGGTACATATTCCAGCCCTTAACTTTCACATTTCTGTACCATTTGTTAGTTCACTTTTAAAAGTTTGCTGACCAATACTATTGATTGAAGGTATGAACATCCTCACAAAAATATCCATTGTGAAAGGGGCCGTATTATGCTTTTGATGTTTTCCCTTTCCTCTAGACGTCATCTAGGTTTTCGTGCATGTAAATGGTCTGCAAAGGCTAGAATCCCAAAGTTCCCTCCAGAGAGAGTTTCTCCCTCTCTGCCTGAAACGCCTCCATTGGACTCCTTTGTTTACTTCCACCACATAATGACATCACTATGTAACACTCGCGCTCCTATAGGCTAGCATTCCAACACATTGTATGTGATAGGATAAGAGGTGGGAAATCTCTAAGCAGTTGACCAATCACAACAGAGCCGGCCAGCTAACCAATCAGAGCACACTGGGCTCTGGTTTCAGACAGAGGGTGAAAAGAGGTGCTGCAGCACAGGCAGTATGAGAAAAATAAAGAGCTTTTTGAACATTGAAGCATGGAGAAGTGTCACAGTAGAGGCACAACCTACAAATATGAACCTGAAAATGAGCACAATATGTCCTTTTTAAATGACACTTACACAGGTAGAAGCTGAGCTCAGGATCCTCCAGGTGACTGATCACAAACTGCCTCACAGCACCAACTGGGCAAAAACACAAACACAGAAACAAATCAACGAGCTGATCCATCAGCACCTCGTTCAGGTAATGTGTGTTTTTCACATGGAATTCCCCTGGGATTTATTTTTCTGCTGCTTGTCGTGTTGCTGTTGGGGATGAGGTGCATCTAATCCCTGGAATTACAGACCTGTCTCATTATTTCTGTCTCTGTCACTCTGGTGTGGCTACAGTAATACATGTGGTGAGAGAGCTTTAACATTGCAGCCATACCTGTGGCTAGCCAGCTGAAATGAACACTGCAAACACACATGCACACACACCTGTCTCCAGTGGCCTGAAGAAACCTTGTAGAACATGTCTGTCTGGAAACTGGACCCTCAGGACCACCTGGAGACAAACAGAGGTATTCAAATGTTGTATATTTCATGCAAACACGCACATTTAAAAGCAGGATTGTTATTCTGTGTCTGTCACTCGTGCTCACTTTGGGATATCGTTCCATCTTCTCTCTCATCTGTGATTCTCTCAGAGCTTTAGTCATCAGCGGAGCCTCCTCCAGGTGTCTCCTGCAGGAAGGATGGAGAAAGAGTTGTAATGAAACAAGCTTGGAAATAAAAAAGGCCCACTGTGGAATCAACAAGATGGGTAGAAAAATGGTTCATCTTCCACCCTTATTCTTGTGTGGCCGTGTATGTGTGTGTGCGTGACAGGCAGAGACGAATTGCTGTGGTGGGTTTAATTCCCCCTTTGGTAATTGCAGTCATTGACACGGTGGTAGCGCAGCCATGAGGCAGCCAGCTAAGTCAATGTAGACGGAGATGAAAGGACGTACGCGCTGAGGTCTCAATCTGACGGTGTTTGGTCGAGGGCTGAAGGATAAACACAAAATAGCCTTCCTAATTGCTCCCTGTGTACCATATTTAGAAGCTGTTGTAGAGTGCGTGGTGTCTTATAAATGAGAAAATGTTTGCAAACACACACACGGTGTCTCAGCAGCTGTGGTGTGCTGCGGCCACATCCAGAGAGTAAACGTGTCTGCATCTGTTTCGAAGAAGCGCTCATAAATAAATAAAAACTTCAAACTCATAATAATAAAAAAATAAAAACTTCAAAAACGCACGCAGCGATGCCTTGCATTCTCCCTGCCTGTGGCCTCTCCTCATTGCCATGGTATTTTGCAATTATACATCGACAAAACACCACAGGACCAAATGCCAAACTGACTAATTATCCGTTACAAACACATCTGATCCAGACGCGTTTCTGCAGCAACAAGGTATTTATACCAAATATCACACACCATCCTCTGACCCAAAGCCACCCAAACGACTTCCTCCTCCCACCTCTGGCTCTTCAGCTGGGCGAAGCGCTTGCGCACATCATCCATCGTCACCTCGAAGAACTCGTCGGGCAGATCCCTGTGGTCGGAGTGACGGCACACGGCGTCCAGGTGGTAGATGAGGAGCTCCCTCTCTGCGGGCTGCAGAAAGGGAGGGAGCGAGTGAAAGGATGGAGACATGATAACACTGATGTTCATCTAAAGAAAGGGTTTTCAAACAGTGAGGCAATTGCTGTATGAAGGGTTAGGGCTCGAAAGATAATAGAAAGAAATGTTTCTGTTAATAAACCCTTTCACAGTTACATAATCATATTGTGTGGAAAGCCTTTTTTTAAGTAAACGGCTTTAAAAAGGCAAGACATCATGAAGTTCTGACCGGAAAAATCATTGTGTCTTACCGCCGAGAACTCCCCTAGATCCATGTCCTCGTCTGGCTGATTTGCAGTGGATTGACCCTGTTAAAGGAATGAAAATGGCTCATAGTTATACTCAAATACTTGTGGAAAGATTGTTTGTCCTGTTTTGCTTACAGGTTAAAAACATACATTTATTCTCAATTACAATGTTGTGCTTTTTGCTTGTCCATCCACTTTGAATGGAGATATATAATCCCTCCACCTAGTCTGACCCTCAGTCTACTCCCACTAGGGCTGTACCCGAATATCCGTTCGTTGGAGTACTATTCGGGTTTCAATTTCGTTATTCGGATATTCGCTTTGTTTGTTTTTTCCCGTTTTTTTTCCAAATTGGATTTAATGAAATCTCCAATAAGTAAGAGCTTGTGCGTCTTCGAGGGGTGCTAACACTTAACCATAAACGTTATCGTTTACTTTCTCCGTCTTTATATGTAGATATTACTTTTCTCCGTTAATCTCCGTCACGTTGTTTCCAAAGCAACAACAACTTCCTGTCAACAGCACTACCTCTCCTTCAAAATAAAAGCATGTCCATAAATAGGAAGCCAAGCCAAATTACACTTAAGACATATACAACTGAAAGTAACACACACAATGCGATATCCTTTTCAATTTCAAAGAACACAAATTGGGTTACATTAACAAATAACTATAAAACAACAATACTGAATAACAAAATGAATGCCGTGAATACACCGAAATACACGTGAAATACACATTGTTCCCTAAAAAAATCCCTCCTAGAGGAGGTTAGGTCCACCCCCACCTAAAACATGTTCACATGGATAGGATACTAAATACATTTGCACACTTTTCATATGGTGGCCTATGTCCATATGTTTCTGTTTTGGTGGTCGTGCCACAACCGTGCATGTCTGCACGGGTCATAGGTGCGCTAGAAAATAGCACTACACCCCTGCAATGTGTGTGAAAGACAACAGACTTTACAGCATGTTTTTTTAAATTGAAGTTGCGTTGGTGTTTGTGTGTTGGTTGTTGACGGCAGTGTGTGCCCCCCCTTGATAAATGATTGCCCCCCCATTCGATTTGTTCTAGAGCCGACCCTGTATGGACACAAGATGTATGCAAATGTATTTAGTATCCTATCCATGTGAACATGATTTAAGTGGGGGGGACCTAACCTTCTCTATGGGGGTCCGGGGGCATGCTCCCCCGGGAAGATTATTTTTTAAATATTGAAGTTAAAAGCATCAATCTGGTGCACTTTGAGAGCAACATTAGTAGATCTATGGATACATCTCTCAACACCCATATGAAACAGAACTGTAAGCAGATTTTTCTTTTTGGATATTTTACAAATCACTCCCCTTTTAAACTCTATTCTTGTTATTTTTAACAACTCTTTTGTTACTGTCATATAGTATTTTAATCCTGTTTTTCATTTAGTCTGATTAATAACTATAATGATCATATCAAGGTGTGCCTTAACTTCACTGAGCTGAGGTTATTTGAGCCTCTCAGGAGAGAGCTCTCTTCCACCTGGTTGTAGAAAAGCTCTTTAAATTCGTTAGCATAGCTAGCTAACCAGATGCTAATAACAACAGATCGCCACTGTGCTTACAACTAAAGACACAGCCACGCAAACACTGTGGCATGTGTACGGCTCCTTATGGGTACTGCAATATTTGAAGAGCTGGAGCAGCGTTCCGGTGCTCTCCGTCAGCACTCTAGTCTACACTCCTTTCAGACGAGACATAACCACGTGAAGACACGTTACGCTCGTGTTGTGTTCAAGGAACCTGTCCTTGGCCAGGAAAAACAGGCACTCGCTTGTTTAATTGACGGACTGACCCCCACCCAAAAAACGAAAACTCTTCGGTTCTCCACAAATTACACAAGTCACCCAAATCAGCATTAAAAAAGCGGGAGGCGCCGAAAAGCGACTAATTTGCATCACTGCAAACCTAACCTAAACTATATATTGAATACACCTTCATTAAGATATCAGTACTCATATGGCTCACCTTGATGCTCGAACCGTGGCTGCTTTTTAGTTTCTTGGCTTTAGGTGAATCAACGGCTACAGTCAGAGCTGAGGATGATGATGATGAAGATAGCGGGCGTCCCACTGCGCCCCCCTGGGGACCCCCGAGGCGCTGCCCGCCTCCAGTGAAGGGAATGAAAGGAGCCGAGGGAGCAGCGAACGAGGAGGAGGAAGAAGAAGAAGATGGGTGAGAGTTCAGTCCTGAAGGCCCCGCTTCCTCGCCGTCCTCCTCTGGCGTTACTCTCTCCACAGGAGGGACCTTTGGCCGAACTGCATCCTGGGAGATTGGAACTTCCTCCTTCTGAAAAGGAAGTGACCTGCTTGGGGCAGAGGCGGGAGTTGGAGCAACAACTGGCTGCTGGGGGGTTACATGTTTAATTGGCATCTCTGTTTTGGACATCTCTGGAGGTGACGGAGCAGGGTCTGGCAGAGATGATGGGCTAGGTGTGGTTTTCTTGGCAACAAGCATGGTTGGCATAGCAGCCGCTTCAGTGGCTTCCCCAGTATCTCCCTCTGCTTTGTTCTTCTTGAGTAAAAACCTGAAGCAGAAAGAGGGAAAAAATGGCTTTATTGTAACGTGTCACATTAATGTTGTTTCTGCACAGCATGCCGTTTCTTCAGCACCAGCGTACCTGACAATGGCATTTCCTCCCGTCAGACCCAGAGACCTCAGAGTGGTCTTCTTCAGCGCTTCTTCCCCACTCACCTACACAGACACAACAGCAGCTTTGTTACCATACCCTTTCCTTTGAAATAGGGAGACTTAAAGGTCCCCTATTATACTCTTTTTCATCAACATATTATAGGTCTCAGATATATATATAAAAACATGTCTCTGAAGTGTTTGGCTCGATATACCAAACAGATCATGCATCGTAGCATCCCATAATCCCCTCTGTTTCAGCCCTGTTTCTAAAGTATTTTTACAGATGAAAATAAGGAGTCACTCCCCACGCCCCTCAGAGATAAAAACAGATACAGGTGATAAGGTGGGGGTTACCCTGGTTGGTGATTGGCTAATGGTTACACAAGCCAAAAAATCGTTATGACATCATAAAGTGGCCAAAATCTGATCAGCTGCTCTTTTTTTTTTATATAAATGGATCAGGTCAAAAAGTAAAAAGTAATATTTTTTCCTGAAACTTTCAGAATCTCTTAACATAGAGGAGACACATGTTTATGTATAAAAGACATGAAAAAGTGGATATATAATAAATGTTGCATAATAGGTGACCTTTAAAATAACATTGCTTACCTCGTCTCTCATGTAGACGCACACGGGGGTGGATTCTGTTTCCGAAACACTGGATTTGGAAAGTGATGGAGAAAACAGAGATTGAAATGATGGCCGACTGATTTTTATTTGCTTCAACAGTGACAAAACAAAACACAGAAGTGACTTTCCCTTGTTCAGGGAAATCAGCCCTGTGATTTTACAATAAAGCCTCACGAGATGCGGGGAACTCTGTCTGCAGCATGTGTAAACCATGTGTGCACAATCCCGTGTATGAAACTAATTGAACCATAAATGTTTTACTATTGTTCTCCTCTGTTCTGAAAAGCATTCCCCTCTGCTTCGCAACAGTCACAGAGCTTTTTTACACTGATGTGGAGCTAATATGCATTTCATGAAAGCGTAAATTCCCTGGAAAAGGATCAAGATACGGAGTGATGTAATTTAATAGAGATGAGATGAGGGCTGGACGGATGGTGAGCACCTGGGACCGCACAGCTGGAACTACTGAACAACAGCTGTGTGTGTGCGCGTGTGTGGTAATGTGTGTGGTAATGTGTGGGAAAGTTTAAACTTCAGTCGAGGAATGGTGAAAGATGTTATCCAACACCGTGCTGCTGGCCTCCGTTCATTCCAACACAATGATCACCTTTACTTTCCAGCCTTGAAGAAAGTCAAACACATATACACGTTGTCCATACTTGCGAGGACCAACCCAAGCACCTTATTAGAGCTGTGCCGATATGACAATATATATAACTTAAGTTATCCAACCAACTTCCAGAAAATGAACTGTTCCTTGGTTATGCATTACCAGTGTCATGACTAATGTTGTTACTTTTTAGCTTAGTTTTGAATTACGGCCCGTCCACACTACAGCTTCGACAGCTTCAAAAACGGTTTCCAACACGTCTGCCCATTCACTTTGAATGGGGTGACGTCACGTTCCCTCGCTTTTCACCGAACTGAATTGTGGGTAGCATAGCGGTCCGTCTCCGGCGTCAGAAGTTGAACAGAGTAGCCAGCGCCAGCCAATCAAATCCTGTTTCTGAAAATCTGACAGCTCAAGCCCTAGCCAATCAAACCGCGTCTAAACTGGGAGAGATATCCCGCCGTTCATTTCTATATTTCAAAAAAAGATGGAGGAGAAACTAATTATCGCCGTAGCAAATCACCCAGTTTTGTATGACCAGACCCTCTTCACCTACCGGGATACAAACCGGAAGAACCAGTCATGGAGGGAGGTGGCAGAGACAGTGGGTGAAACTGGTAGGTTTTCGCCTGTTTGGGGAGTTTATATATATATATATATTGCTCGCATAAAATCCCCGGAGTTTTTTGCTTTGTATGTCGGGGGCGGGAGATTCATGTGATTGGTTGTTGGTCGCGTTGCTCGAATAAAATCCCCAAGCTTCAGACACGCCCAGCTCCAAGCTTTTTTTGAAGCTGTAGTGTGGACGGGCCGTTACAGCATCTTTCATTTGGACAAATTCATTTTTTAATTGGTATGGACAGAACGATTACATGCTTTCATCTCTTTACACATTATATTGAATAGAGTTGCAGAAAAGGAGGAAATATAACAGGTGCCTCTGATTCTTAAATTCATTTTCTTCACAGACAAAGTCTTTTTAGTAAGGGTCCTGGTTGAGTCGGTGTTATTGGTGGTTCTATAAAAGGTTTACAGTTGAAATAACTAGAATATACTGGCGAACATAACATTATTGTCCTTTGTTACCTTTATTAATCCCTGAGGAGAAATTCAGTTCTTCACCCAGGTTGTATTTCACCATTACACACATAGGCCTAAAATACTACCTATAGACATGCACTAATGAAGAGGTGTCAGAACGAAGGGGCTGCGAGTGTTCCGGCACCCGGGAGCAGCTGGGGACTCAATGCCTTGCTCAAGGACACATTAGCTCTCCAGCTACCACTCCACACTCTGTATTTTGGTCCAGTCGGGTCTTGAACCAGCAAGCCTTTAGTCCCTTTAGACCAGGGGTGCCCAACCAGTCGATCGCGGGAAGATTCCCAGTCGATCGCGAGATGTGTCTAACATTAGAACAACAATATTCTGTTTTATCGTTAATGTCCTATATCTATAACATTATCTTCCCGTGCCAGAATAATGCACTTGAACGCATCAAAGCTTTGTGATTGGCCGGCGTGACCCCATGTGTCGGGGCGTGGCTGGTGGGCAGTGGGCACTAGTTCGCTGACGTTGTCCGTGTCAACAGGAGTGACAGTCCGCACACACACAAGACCACAATTATGGCAGAAGCAAAAAAGCCCAAAATATATAATTTTCACTCCGAGTGGGAGGATGATTACTTTTGTATCTATTCCAATTCAAAGTCCATCTGTCTCATCTGCAATGCGAGCGTGGCTTTATCGAAGAAGGGTAATTTAGGAGCGGCATTTCAAAACAGTGCACAAACGCTGCGAGACGGAATTCCCTCCTAATTCTGCCCTACGCTCCAAAAAGGGGAGGGGCCTGGAAGGACAGCTAAATGCACAGCAGTCCATTTTCACGAGGCCCAACAACAAGAGCAAGGCTGCTACCAGAGCATCTTATCGTGTCAGTCACGTTCTTGCGAAAACAGATGAAGTCTTTCAAAGACGGCGAAGTTGTGAAAGAAGCATTCCTGGAGGCTGCCGACGCGCTTTTGGGGACAGTAAAAATAACAGAAGCATTTCAACAGGTTTTTGATATAATAAAAACTCAAGTTAGATACCGTTATTAATCTGCTGTAAGTTTTAGTTTGTTTGAATTTATTCATTATAATTATTGTACACAATGGTATAAGAATGCAAACTTAAATTGATTATAGTCCATTATCAATTCAGGTTAAGAAACTAGTGTTGCTTGCATCCTATTTTAAAGGCATTTATTTTTATATTCTACTAAAATGCAACAAAAAATGGGTTTGATTCTATACATTTTGTCTTTTTTATTGCACTGTTGCAGCAGATTCCTGTGTAGCTTCAGATCTGAGTTGTCTTATTAGTAAGCCTCATTTATACTTTTGTAGCAACACTATTTTGATATAATGGCAAAGAAAGGGTTCAGAGTCTTTCCTTTTTTTCCTGTGTCATATGTGGCAGCACTGTTCAATGTTTCTTGAAAACATTACCCACTGTAGTATGTGACGTGTGAATAAACTCCAACTCTGTATCAACAACACTGTTGTGTAACTTCAGTTAAATACTTGTATGTGTGTAGATTAGAAAGAGGTAAGATAAAGGATCTGCAGGATTTTATGAAGTATTAATCGTACAAAGGTCAGTTTTATACAAGTAGAAGTGTGTATTTACCTGGTAGTAGGCTGTCAGTAATGGCAACGCCTCTCTATTTGGACTGGTAGATCTCGGCAGACTGGCAACTTTAAAAGTAGCTCTCGGTTCAAAAAAGGTTGGGCACCCCTGCTCTAGACTAAGCTAATGTTGCCACTTTTAAATTACATTAAAGTTATTGTTTAAAGAAACCTTTCAAACTGTCATTAAAACATCTGGAAAATGCTTGAGACAACCATGAGGCCCTCCAACTTTGCAACTTTAACCTCTGTGTTTAACCCAAACTTAATTCTAACCTAAACCCTACATTCTCAACCATGTGTAGAAGTTAGAAACAAACACACACACACACCTGATCTGGGGGAAATGTGTGAGCAGTTCCCACAGAGTCTGTCCGCAGGAGAAGGAACCCTGGTGTCGAGAGCCGTCCTCCATCTGGAGCGCTATCCGCACCTGGAGGCACACACAATTGTAGTTTAAACATATTTCAGAAACCAATAACACTGAACACACGAACCAGTGTCCTCGATCGGTCAAAAGAGGTGAAACTGATCAACAACCATGAGCACTTGTGTCTATGTTTGGCAGTCTTTGCCTTCATTATGATAAGAGATCATGATTAAAGACCCTTACTGAATTTGCTTGGAAGAAAAATAACAGATAAAACTTGTTTTTTTCCTAATGAAATACTAGTTAGATTTAAATCAAGAACACTTTTAAATTAAACCATTTTAAAATAGAAAGAATTGTAATAAAAACAAGGGAACGGTGGCACTAAAACTAAAGATGCATATTAAACACTTTCAAGCGTCCGTGCACTTTTATTTGACTTTAAACAATGAAATACAATTGATATACAATGTAGAATATATTAAAAAGTGACAACATGTTACCTTAATTGCAGGATGGAAATTCATTATATTAAGTATAAAAATCCTCCTATGTGGTCATGTGCAGGTTCTTGGCTCTACAGTCTTGAGCTATTTTGTAGGAAGTGGATTCTTTGATAATAGAACTTGATTAAGCTGCACATGTGGGCCGACCTCAGTGTGGAAATGAGTAACACCAGGCACGAGTGCGAGTCTCTTGTTGTTTTTTCTCTCTCTGAGTCACTCTACAAGTTGTTTATGTTTACTCAAAAACCATGTTGTCCAGCACAAGACACACGCTGCACATCGGCACACCGGGAGAGATTAAAGAGTTCTTTGGCTGTCAGCGTCAGCCAACAGCAAGCTCTCTCACACACCAGTCTGGCTTAGGGTGGGAGAGCCTGTGTGTGCATGTGTGGTATGAGTATATCAAATCAGATCAAACCCAGTCGTGATTTTACTGCTTAGATTACGATGTCATAGGAAACTACAGCTCAGCTACAACAAAGTGTTTTTTGTGTTGTTTTTGGACACAGATCAGAGTGAAAGCAGGAACTCAGGCAGGGATTCAAAAAATGTCTAGTAACTGCGAACAAAAACCAACAGCTGGCGTACCAAATAAAAAAAACGGAATATTGCAAGGCTTAACTTTAAATATTTATGGGTGAACAAAATAATCAATGTGATACAAATACTAATACTCTGGTAATAGCATCATACTTTTCTTATGTTTAATCCTTATTTCTCATTCTGTGATATGGAAAGGACATTCAAATAAAATAAATAAATAAATCAATGAGTGGAAAAATCAACTAAAAATATGTTTTCATACAGGAAAAAGGGGTCGCTGAAAGACTTGATAAAATGATGTGAATGTAATGCTATGGCATTCACAGTCATGAGATATTCATGTAAGTGAACACCTATAGCTTTTCTTGGCCAACATGTTGTGACGGACAGTGTTCTGTTGATAGTATGCATCATACGCACCTGAGTACACGGTTAAGCAAAGTATCACTGTCGATATTTACAATAAAGATCGAGCGTTATTTTTTGCATCATAATTTACATTTTTAGTCTTATGTTTTTGCATGCACTGGAGATGTAAGATTATGTTTAATATATTTACCAAATGTTTAAATAAGTTTGTTTTTTTAACTAGAAGAATAGAGTTTAGTTTACTAGCATTTAAAGGCACATTGGTTTTATGCTAACATAACATTCTTATTGTTTGCAACTTTATGTTCTTGAGCAAAAGAACATAAAGTCTAATTATTAGCATAGTGTCAAGAATATCATAAAACTAACCTGGCTGTCGGCTACCGCCTGTTTCCGTGTATCTGTCACCATTTCCAGCTTTGCATTGTTGGGCAGGTTGGCAAACCTCCATGGCAGCGTGAGGTCAACAGCAGTCCTCTGAAACCTGTCAAAAGTTGATGACAAGGCAACATTACATTTGAGAAACATATCTCTCCTCCTGTCATTCAAAATTGAGAACAAATAATATGACCCCTCAATGAATTGAAATTATTTACATCAACTGGAGATAGCTTTATAGATGACATATTTGGTCCTGCCCTGATGAAATTAAATGAAAGAGTTTATATGGTAGCCACACAACTATGGAAGTTATTGTAATTTGTTTGTTCTTCTCTATGGGTCACAGTCATTGCTTGAATTTAACTCTACGGCTCAAAAACTCAGCTAAATAAATTGGGAGGTACCACTCCTGCTTCGAATGTAATAACTGGTTAGACATCAGCCATTACTGTTCACTACTGTTAATCTCACACTAAACATAGCAAAAACAATTCTGTACACACATAGGATTTCATTACGTATCAAAGTATAATTCGATGCTCAGGGCAAAAAGGGAAATACCAGGATATTAGAGCTAACATTAATGTAGCCTTATTATCAGTACTGACAGCTAGCATCATCCAAACTGATACTCACTTTAAACCATGATCGTCGGGGTTAAATCCGTGCTTTTTGCAGACATCCTCCAGCACCTGGGGCGGAAAAATATAAAGTTAGTAAAATAGTTACCACTTAATAATCAAAATAGTTTGATTTCATCCGCACGAACACAGAAACTGATCAGTCACTGGCTAACTGCTGTTAGCCAAACAAGCTAACAGGAGGAGAATAGTTCGCTCTCTGGAAACAAAGGATGAGACAAAGCGTCCACGTCAGAAAACATAAACCGAGTTCAAAAAACAAGTAACCTGTAATAACGGCGTGTTTGGAGACACTTTGACTGCTTGTCTTCTCCCATTAGGAGTCAGAACCGTCACAGCTGAACTGCTGGCTGCCATTGTTGTGTCGTGACGTCGTAATGTTTATTTGAATAAACTTTATTGACAAATAACCGGCAGGGATCTATGGCAGGGATTCAAGGGTCCATTCACCCACACACAGACATCTTATGGGAGTGAATGGGTGTTTTTTGTGGTGCTCACAACATTGAAAGTGCATACGTTAAAAAAAACAAGTAAATGTTTTTATCTCTTTATATGAAACATTGTATTTAGTTTTTTTTAATGTGTTTTTCATAGAAACCATGTTTTACTAAAAAAAAATCCCATATACACCACTATTGTAAATTATGCTAATTTTCAAAGCATTTTTAAATCAAGACAATAAATTACACTTCCTGTATCATTGTTATTTCTAATATATAACACAATAGACACAAACAGAAATGTGGGTAAATGTTAAATGTAGTCTAATGCTTGCATAAAGTGCAGGTGTACTGCATGATACAATGTGCATTTGTATTCCCATGAAGACATTCTGACGGATCAGATTAGAAAAAAACAAGTTTGACTAACTTAATTAATTATGGTCAATTGCAACCAGGTCCAGGGCTTTGGTTGTGCATGGCTCCCTTTTTGGGACATTGAAATCTCATTACCATACTTAATTATATTTATTAGACATGTGCCTTTCCTTCTGCCACAATTCAAAGAATCTGCTTTAAAAAATGTCCATGCTTCCATCTGCCGGGCACAAGGAAAGATGAAAGTGATGTGAATCATATGCTTCAAAACACATGGGAGATCTTTGAGCAAATTTTTAGTAGTATTCTCCACATATTTTGTTGGTATGGTGTACATACACATACACCATATGTCAACAGATCGTGGAAGGCAGAGAAAGACCCCTTTGTAAAGGGAATCACTTGTTATGTAGTCACATCCTGTGTCAACATGTAAATCTACAATATCCACATTTTAAAAATATATTCAAGCTGATAAACCCATAATTTCTTTATTTTATTCATTCATTCATTTAGGACAAGCAAAGTTAGTCTCATAAATATGAACACAATTCAAATGTATTTTGATTGTGAACGAACATGTATTTTGAGTCTGAAATGTGAAAATAGAGGGTTCCGTATATAACAAATGGATGCTGCCATAACAAGAAGGGGGCTAACTAAAGAACCCCCAACAAAAGGGACTTGTAAAAAATAAATATATAACATGGAAAAGCTAACTTTCTCCCTGAATCTATACAAATAGCCTGCTAATAATTGGAGTAAATGGAAAATTCATTTTGATATGTGTAAGAAGACGAGGGTGTATGTGTACGCGCATGTGTCTAAGTAAATATGTGTCTGTGCATTTATACATAAGCAAAACGGCCCTCTCCAACGAACATCGAGGATACCAACAAACTGGATATTGAACCGTTTCAGACTTTTGACTGATATGCACTCTCAAGAGGAACTAATATGTATTGACACAATATATTGACAGAAACTGATCTGACAGGACGATACAAAAAAGAAATAGAAACAGACTGGAATGAAACAACTTGACTCCTTCTCTTTAACTAAACAAACGATGCCAAAGTGACTCATTGACCCAATATTTTATTTCGTTTTTCAATCCTTGTCTGTGCTTTTTTTCTTTCCTCTTCTATATCATGGAAGAAATCTATAGAAATAAAGTTAAAAAAAACAAATGGATGCTAAACACCAAATAAAGCTCGCAATTTGTATACAAAACAACATAAACAACATTATTGTTGACCTGACCTTTAATCTAACCTTTTCAAAGCACAATAACCAAAAACAACCACCTAGCAGACTATCAAGAGAGAAGGATATAGATCCTGCCTGTATAATCTGTTCCCCATAGGACAACTAGATATACTGTATAGGCAACCATATGCAGTAACGGAAGACCTGCACCAACCAACATATGGAGTATCAAGGCCATTGTCTCTCAGCAATTATCAATTTGGATTAAAGCTGCATGGAATCAGACTGGTCAGACAAGACCACATGTGCTGACAACAGATGGAGAGGTGAGGCGGGGCTTCAGAGGGAATACAACTGACCAACCACTGCAGCAATATCCACAAAGTTCACCTGGGAAAGAGATGGGAGAGAGGGAAAGGTGAATACAGTTCTCCGTTCAGGGGGGAAATTGCCCCCTACTGAATAAACAAACAATCAGTTTCCTTCCTCACTCAGCAGGCACCAAACATCAAAACTGCCTGTGGATGGTGTGCAAAATCACAAAAGGGCATCTGTGTCTTTCACAACATTGTCCCACTAAGAAGTATTGAATCACTAATGAATCAATGGCAAACAAATGGACTTGTTAAAAGCAGGATTTCCTTTCTTGTAAACGGAAAACATATCAAAGACAGAAATCATTTAATAGCAGTTTGTTTCTGAACATCACTTCAAGATGGATCCTTGGTTTGGTGACCAGATTAGTAGAAGGGTTGTTGTGACATGAATCACATGACACGCTGGTTTATGGATTTCAGAGAGATGATCTCAAAGTGTTTCAAATGAAGATGAGGCAAAACAGTACCAAAACTAAAAGTACTCTTTACACAGAATATACGTTTTTGGAATAATATACAGCATGTCATATAATAAATACATTAACCTGTTACTGATAAAGTTGAAAATAACTTTAATTACTTGTTATACTGCCATCTTAATCCATTATAGCACATCACAAACAAGTTGTTCTCAAATTCAAGGAAGAACTTTAATTAATTTAAAACGGGGGATTTTCATTTTAATCAATAACTGTTGTGATTAATTAAAATGAAGGTTTGAACATGTGAAGGACTGGGAAAGTGTTTGTGTAGACCAGTGGCGAGCCGTGACTTTTATACCTAGGCCCTCTGACCCCCCTTCCCTCGAAAGAAAAGAAGAGTTATTACGTCACAGCGTATACTTCAGCGGAATATCAAAACAGCGGCCCGGGGTGCAAAACGCATCAATGACAGCGACCCTCTACCACACAGAACAACACCATTTATATAAACACCTATCATGACAGGGCACCCACAGCCAAGTAACAATTACAAATGAATTAAGTCGGCACGGCGGCATGCATTGAAAATGACTTAGGCCTACCTTTGATGATAAATCACTACACAAAGTCCATCCTCCTGTCCTTTTGGATGAAGCATTTGCGGGTCATTCAGCTGATCCTTTGCCACTCCAGTTTATCATTGTAACTCAATCTTGAAAATGACTCGGTTAATAACTTCGCAACGATGTCATCACTATCACTGAAGTGAGCCATCATGAACGAACTTATGCTAATCATAAATCTATCGATCCTAAATCTATCGATTAGATTTATGATTCGAAAATAATAAAAGTAGGGTAGACATGTGGATATTATCCGGCTAAACAAAACGTGCATTTATCTAATAGGTTTGTTTTCCACAGACCTTATTTCGAGCTATTTTTCAAAATTCTATGGAGAACTCCCGTTGCTTTCTGTCGAGGGAATCCGAGCGCAGCTTACTTCCGGGTTTAAGGACGCGTCACTGCACCACATGCATATGACCCACATGACCTCACAGCGGGCGGAATTTGTCATAAAGTCCGTGAAAATAAAGCCCGCCCATTTAGAGGGAAGATATGATTGGTCAATTGTACTGTCATTTGACATTACTCTCTCGTTGAGTTACTATAGCGGTCCCTCTGTGAATCTACAGAGGGACCAATGCCCTCCCGTCTTCACATAACTCGCAGAGACGGCCTTTAACCCTTCACATTCCAACAGAAACTGAACAGGCAGATTCGAAGGATTTATTTCTTTGGAAATATTCTTTTAAATACATTTAAATCAAGTTATTTTGGTAAAACTAATGAAAAATGTAACACCAAAAAAATATAAAAAATAATATTTAAAACAAAATGTTGTTTTTTTAATGTTTTCAAATATTATTTTTTAGAATATCTTAGGCCCTCACAGAGGGTCTAGAGGGCCCTGACGGCTCGCCACTGGTGTAGACTGTATATAAAGTAGGCTATGTACCCTGTTGGTGTGGTGTGACCCTCCGCAGTTCTCTCCATATTCTATCACTTCAGAGGCCGCGTAGTGATATGATGACACAACATCAAAGAGACCGACCGAAAGGACTACGGGGGCGTGCCAGGCACCCGCGCGCTCTTGGTGTGAGACCGACGCCCCGAGAGGAGCATCAGCCAACGATAATACCGATTGGCCCTCGAGATGAGAAGGAAGGAGGGGGCGAGACTTCAAATACATTTCCACTCAGTCTGCAGCTCCCCAGGACCTGAACCAGGAGTCAACAGGTCGGCAGTGTAAAGCGGCTGAATTCATTTACTTCCACGAGGGTTAAGCTGTTTTTGCCGTCTCCATGTGTTTTTAGGATTTTAAAAATGTGGAGATATCACTTGCATTTGAGGTTAATGTTAAAACCAGCTATCCATCTGTGAAGGCACCATGGATAACCTGCGTTCACTCTGCTCACCTTTCAATATTGACAACTTTCAACATGTCTCCGTGTGCTTTCAAAGAACTTTCAACTCATCTAACGACTCTTAGGATATGCTGTGTTGTGCAGAAGTCTCTTGCTCACATTTGAGAGGCATTTTCCAGTAATAGTTAGACATGCGGAGCCAAGGTGTGTCCTGCCTGCTGCTGCTCTTCATCCATGTGAGCGCACCGGCGGAGGCGAGGAAAGTACCCGGGGGTAGGGCGCAACACCGGCGGGTGCAGCAGCAGCCCCCGGTGCAGAGGGAGCGTGTGGAGGGGACAGAGAGCTTCCCGTTAGACTTCACAGCCGTGGAGGGCAACATGGACAACTTTATGGTGCAGATAAAGAACTTAGCGCAGTCACTGTACCCGTGCTCTGCGCAGAAGCTGGACCAAGACATGAAGTTGAACTTTTTGAAGAATGATTCTGTGACTTGCAATGACGGGTCAGCAGCAGGGTAAGTGAGTGGAAAATGCGTGTAATCTTTGTCAATAACTCACATGGCACTGAAAGACCTGTTGGATATGTTGAAACCTTTCACCAAACGAACTTTGTGGCAGTTTAGTCCCCCACTGCCCTTCAGTCCCTCGTCTCTCCGGATGTGACAACATTGGATCAAAGGACCAGATTTGAGGGGTGGGGGATGAGGGGGTAGAGAACAAACGCTAGAGATTATTTAAATGTAGTCCGAGGTATAAAGGATAATGAGTCCTAATGTTACAATGTTAAGTATAAGACAGCTTACAATAACAGGTGTCTGTTTTTCAACAGTTGTAACCACAGACAGATCTCAAAGATTGACCGCAGCTTTGACTAATTTGTCCCTTAAATTAAGATGAATAGGTTTATCTTCAGAAGGCTCACATGCCTCCACATCTGTATCACCACTGGATCACAGCAAGATCTGTTTAAGACCAAGAGTCGTGCCAAGCATCCCACAGTCATGCATTATTGTGATTAAGGGATTTTGTGTGACATGAAAGATCTTCAAAGTAATAGAAAGATGTATTGCTTCTACTCATATAAAGCTCAGTCCTTTTGACGGTATGGACTAAAGGGATCACGTGCATTTTGCAGGAGTAGGCTAACTACTCAATGACTCCTGTATCACAGCCTTACAGGATTTGAGAGTAAATATTACAGTTTGTTCAGTAGAAGCTGTTGGAAGCAAATGTGGGAAAAGGATATGGTGATACAGTTAATAAGTTCTACATTGTTTTTTTTATTCTGTCAAATTACAAAAGAAAAGAAGAAAAAGTTCAACTGGGAAACAGGTGGTAAAAGATGTCTGTCAGTTGATGTATGTAAGTACCATCTTGTGGCCAAAATGAGTATTACAACAACAAAGAAACCCGTTTTCAAAGTTGAAAGATTAAGGAATTTAGAAAGAGTATCCTAACAAAATCAGTTGTTTTTAATAGGACGAAAAAAATGTCAGATCACAATTTTTCTCAGACAGTATTTTAAGTACTTTCCTGTAGTGTTATGTAGGTATTTGTGCGTGTAAATGTTTGACCAATCACAACAGAGCCGGCCAGCTAACCAATCAGAGCAGACTGGGCTCTGGTTTCAGACAGAGGGTGAAAAGAGGTGCTGCAGCACAGGCAGTGTGAGAAGAATAAAGAGCTTTTTGAACATTAAAGCGAGGAGAAGTGTCACATCAGAACAGGTATTATACCTTTAGAAAAAGCTGGTATGCTTTAGTTAATTCACAAGTCCAATCTTCTATTGCTGAATTAAATAGTGTTGAGTGTGAGGAATAGGATAAAGTCACCAATAAAATAAAACACTATGAATAACGCAGACTTTTCCATACGCCACCCAAGCTGACAGGCCTGTGAGTGTGCGAGCTGCCAACAGCTTGACATGTTCTTTTTTTAAATAACTATTTGAGCTTTTAAAGCCGCTAAACAGACTCCTACTGAGATTTTAAGCAGTGCGATGGGAGCCACATCTTTCATGTCAGCATCAAAGGCAGCATCCCTACCGGGGAGGATGTGTTGTGCTTGTGTGTATCTGCACACGTAACACACTCATATTGATCTGTTTTGCTGTTCTCACGCAGGTATTACATCAAGGAGTCTAAAGGCAGCAAGAGGTGGCTGCTCTTCTTAGAAGGTGAGGACCAAACTAACATGAACGTAAAGCTTAATGTGAAACACAACTAACCTGTTAACAAGTGTGTTTGTGTGTGTTTTAGGCGGATGGTACTGTTTCAACAGGCAGACCTGTGACAGTAGGTATGAGACCATGAGGAGACTGATGAGCTCCACCAAGTGGCCACAAACCAGAACAGGTAAAAAGACACAATAAAACACTATATCTCACACACACACACACACATACACACACACACACACACACACAGATTCATAGACATGTTTGTGTTTCCTCTTTAGCTGAGTTTGCATTAATCTTAAGGAGTCAGACTCCGGTTCCTTCCCTCCGGCCTTCAGGGGACTCCTTGTTTGTTCATGGCTCCCTCTGCCCCCCCCACGCTCTCTGTGTACACTGGTGGCCACAGAGCTCCTCAATGCCTGCATGTAATTGCTGACCAAAGCAGGGAAAGTTCATGAGTTTTTGACCGCAAGGGAAACACACATACAGGCACGTCAGCTTATTAAAACACACAACTGTACATCAAGGTTTGTAACTTCCTACTAGTAGTATTTAACCTTTAAGTAGCTTTGAACCCCTCTTAGCTTAACTAATGTTTTAAATGTGATCCAGAAGGTTAAGTAAATATGGCATCTATACCTTCTTTACTCTACAGGAACAGGAATAATGTCTCCACAGCCAGAGGAAAACCCTCACTGGTGGAACGCCAACATGGTGTAAGAACTCCTTTCTCTCCTTCTCTTTAGAATATGTGTCTGCGTCAATCAATGATTTCATATCCTTGGCATACTGATGCTTTCTGGGACTATTCCCACATTGTGAAACTCTGCTCTGTTCCACACAAATGTCATCATGATACGGTACATCCATTCTTTGGACAGCGGTTCTATATTTGCTGATATAAATAAGTTCGCCACAATATGATTTTTATCAGCTGCCTGCGATCGATTTGAGATCACATGTCCATTTAACACCATTTGTTACGTATCAACTCATACAAAGTAACTTAAATACAATTTTACAAGTTCATAATATGAGCTCTGTTGGAAGGAGTTGCATATTTTAAGGATGTGTTCTTTGTCCATCACACAGTCAGCTTGGCTTTTATTTGTACAACTGTTGAATCTGTCATCAGTATACCTTTGATAAAAGATTTGGACTTGTGTCGGCCACAGCAGGGAGCCCCTAAAGACATAGGCCACCAGCTTTAACCACTGATATATAAGGCATCTCTGATTTATCTTCATTTGATTGGAAATAATTGTAGGTGCTTCCTCTCTCCTCTAGCTTCATCCCGTACTGCTCCAGCGATGTGTGGAGTGGAGCCACACCGAAGACAAATCAGAGTAAGACTCAATAAATCAGTCGAATCACAGCTTGTAGATCTGGCTGAGGGTTTATACAGAACGATATATCGATGTCCCTGGAGAGTGGACATCAGAGGCTGTAGATGTTATACCGTTCAGCCTATTGTTTTGTTCTGGGCTTTAGTCGTGGGAAAGATGATTTTTTCCCTCTGAAATCAGCTTTGACCATTTTTGAAAACCTTTAATATACTGTGTTATAATTAGAAACGCCACAAACAATTGTGCATGTGTCGCAATCTTTGATTGATAATCCCAGACTTTGACCATTCAATATCATAATATTTTCTGTTTGACCTAGATCAATTTAATAATAATAAAAATGCAATAATTAAATAAAAAAATCATCTAAGTATTGCTAATATTCAAGTTGAGTGTGATTCATCAGTCAGGAGGACTTGTGATGAAATAAGAGCCTTTTGTGTGTTGCACCTGTAAACTGAGCAGTTTGTTTGAAATAAAGAGCAAACAAATGTATCTACCTGATACCTGTTTAAAATCTCCTGTTTTTTGTATAATACATCTTTAAAATGATAGGTGTAAACTACATCTCTCGTGTGCAAAGTTCTCGAGTTAGTCAGAATGAGAAGTGTGTCATGTGGCTGTAAGCTAAACAACATGTTTGTTCTCAGGTGATTATGCGTTCATGGGCTCTCTGATCATAAAGGAGGTTGTGAACGAGCTGCTGACAAAAGGTCTGGACAACGCCAAGGTGCTGCTACTGGCAGGAAGCAGGTCAGTGCAGTGTGTGTGTGTGTGTGTGTGTTGCCTACTGTATGTGTGTTAACCACAGATAAAGGCTCACCCTCTGACCCCTCTCTTCCTGTCTCAGTGCGGGCGGTACAGGCGTGCTACTGAACGTGGACCGAGTGGCGGAGCAGCTGGAGTCTCTGGGCCACGGGGGGGTGCAGGTCCGGGGCCTCGCTGACTCCGGGTGGTTCCTGGACAACAAACAGTACAAAATCACAGCCTGCCTGGACACCATCAGCTGTGCCCCCACCGAGGCCATAAAGAGAGGCATCAGGTAGGAGGGCACACAGAGTTCAAAGACTGGTGGATGGATTAAGGGGGGTTAAGATACTCACCCTGTGTTACCTTACACTTTTGAAGAGTGCATTCCTCACATGCTTCCACGCTAGTCAAAAAACTAAACAAGGATAACATTCTTGATGAATTGAAGTGAATGGGGTCTATATGAAAAACTATATGAAAACATCAGTTTATAAACTCGCACACACCTCTTGCAGGATAATCCAAGTCTCATTTATCAAGTTTTATGCTCCTTACACCGCATTCTAACCAAAATGTCATTATTCAAACACTCACGCTTGAGCAGGGCTGCAACTTGTCAGTGTCAATCTAAAGTCAAATGAAATTCCGTGTTGTAGTTTACGACTGGATAAATGAGACTTGGATTATTTTTGTACAAGTTTTCACAGCAGCCCCCATTCACTTCCATTCATCAAGACATTTCTGATTTCTTCATTCACTATATATACAGATACCATTGTCGGGAGACGATAGCAATGTTTTCTTCAAGATTCCAAGGAAACACGGATGGAGAAATTGATAAACAAATGGACATTTAAGTGGGAAGGAATCATTGTAAAGTATTGATACTTTGCAGGTACTGGGGCGGTTTGGTGCCAGAGAGCTGCAGACAGGCTCATGTGGGACAGGAGTGGAACTGTTTCTTTGGATATAAAGTCTTCCCCACGTTAAAAAGTGAGTGACAAAAACCTCCAAGCCCCTCCACAGGTCTGATGTATTTGATAAAGATGGCAGGACGTGTTTCTCTTGAAGTCTGACCCTCTCTCCTTTCAGGCCCGGTGTTCGTGGTGCAGTGGCTGTTTGACGAGGCCCAGCTGACGGTGGACAACATCCACCTGACCGGGCAGCCTGTCCACGAGGGCCAGTGGAGGTACATCCAGAACCTGGGACAGGAGCTGAGGAGCACGCTGCGTGACGTCCCGTAAGACACACACACACACACACACACACACACACACACACACACACACACACACACACACACACACACACACACACACACACACACACACACACACACACACACACACACACACACACACACACACACACACACACACACACACAGTTGACTGTGTGATTCTGTGTTTTGGATGGCAGGGCGATGTTTGCTCCGGCCTGTCTGTCACATGAACTCATCACAAGAACGTAAGTAAACTTTCTGTATGAGAACAATAGGATCTTAAAAAGGATTTTCTTTTTATTATGAAGGGATTCTGAGGGCACTCCACTCCTCTACTTCATCATCGGTGTGCTCAGTTAATTACTTCCAGCTTACAATCCATAACAAAATATAACAGATAGAAAAGTCTGCTTTTGTAAAAATGTAATGACCCAAAAAGGATAGTTGAATTTAACACATCAGTAAAATAATCCTGTTAATTCCATATTATACATCAAGCCCTACTGCCCATTAATCAGTCAACTTTGGTCTACAACAACTAAATATAAATTATAAATAAGACCAGACTGCCACATAAATCTGTATTGGATCATATGTTGGCAGAAAAAAAAATTGAACTTGCCTAACAAATGTTTTGAATGACTTTAGAAACAGTTACATAATTTGTCCACAAAAGAGCACTGAAGAGTTTATTTTTTTAAATTGTAAAATATCCCACTTAAAACATAGACTGGTTAAACTTCCTACAAACAAATATATAATTATAAAAGGATCAATATCAAACGCATTCATTTAAATAAATAAATAGAAGCCGATTTAAGTTTTAACTGAAATATCAAATTCTCCATCTCTAAACACAACCCAGAGAATGTAAGGGGAGGTATACCATAATAGTCTTCTATATGGTATTATATTTGATATGAATGAATTGAATCATGACAATGCAAAAATTCAATCTGTACTGTATACAAGTAAACATACATATACAATCCTGCATATTGTATCTATTCACTATGTCTCTCTGTCCCTGCAGCTACTGGATGGACATTCATGTGAAGGGCACCTCCCTGCCCAGAGCGCTGCACTGCTGGGACCGCAGCCTCCAGCCCAACAACCACACCAACAGCACCAACCACAACCAGAAGCCTAAGACCCCACACACCAGGGGCTGCCCTCTCCATTTGATTGACAGCTGCCCGTGGCCTCACTGTAATCCCACCTGCCCGACTGTACGAGACCAGCTGACGGGCCAGGAGATGAGCGTGATCCAGTTCCTGAAGCACATGGGCTTCGACGTGCAGAAGATGGCACAGCAGCAGGGCATGGACGCCAGGAAGCTGCTGGGCATGCTCAATCACGGGAGCTGAGGCAGGAATGAGATGGTGCCGAACATCAGGGGAAGACAACGGAGATAAAATTCTAATGACAAAACTGTCAATACTTTTAAACTTTGTCTTCAACAAACAACACCCAACATTTGAAAAACTGACTCAAGCGCGCACATGCGCTGTTTAAACACACCATATGGGGTCACTTGTTTAACAGATATATAGGCTACTGTAGACATGCTATAATTGTGAGGTGTATACAGAGGTGGGTACAGTGTGCGTGTGTCAATGTATATACAGTAAATATGTACGTACTAGTATAGACTGTCATGGCGGAGGTCTACAATATAGCTTTGACAGGAAGTATTGAAAACACCTCCAGGGTTTTTCTGTGGGGACTTCTCTTCTGTCACATTCAGAGATGCGTCTATGGTGCTGCTGAACTCTCTACCCTCCACCAATTATGCTGCTTTTTCTAATTTTGGAGAAATAATGAGTCGATGGGTAATATTTACTAATAAAGTTACAAAGATAAAGGTTATTAGTTTGTTTTTAAGGGTACTCGAGTGGACATTTTTTTATACTGAAAATATATTTTACATATCTAGAGTCAGATACAGTTACTGTAACAATGTCTCTTTACATTCTATTAACTGTAAGTACTAAATATGCTAAAATTGACTCAGAGCCAGCTGCTGGAAGACCCCCACAGCCAGCTGCTGAAGGACCCCCACAGCCAGCTGCAAGAAGACCCCCACAGTCAGCTTCTGGAAGACCCCCACAGCCAGCTGTGAGGTCTGTGGACCCTCAAAGGACTCAAAGACACAGACTACATGCAGCAACTGCAACAAGTACATCTGTGCTATACACACGAAGAAGTTCTGCACATCATGTGTTTCCTAAACGGACCTGCCCATTGACTCACATGATGTTCTGCAGCGTCACTTCAATATCAATATATTTTTCGGATATACTGTATTTTATGAATAGTGACTGTTAATTGTTTTTATTTGCTTTGTGTTTATATCTGTTCTATGTAATTTATATGGATGTTTAATTCTCTCTATATTTCACAGCCAAATACTTTTGGATGTGGTTCTTGTGTTCCAATTGCTGATAAATTGCTTTATTTCCTTCAGGGCTTTGATTATTATATGACAGATTAAAAATAATAAACATTAATGAAAACATTTTTCATTTACATTTGTCCTAGAAAAGCATGAGCAAAATGTAAACCTATTTTTTTATTACAGTAGGCTATATTTTTTTTAACAAATTAAATTTTTATCACAAAAAATGATGGACACTTCCATTGTTAAATTTGATCTAGCAAAGAGTATTTTCAAAAACGAATCATATATTTCATTTATATTGTTGGGGAATGAGTTAAAGAAAATATATATAAGGAATTGTGCATGTTGAATTTAGTTCTGTATTTTTTTAAAAACCTGAAATATATCCCGGGTCAATTTGACCCGAACATTACCAAAGGGTGCGAAATGTGAACATAACACAAGGGTTAATCGATTTGAAACCAAGTCTAACGTAGCTTAAACTTAACGTTAGCTTTCTAGCTAACACAACACATTCACGCACCTTTCACTGTGGGTTTTGTTGTAGTGACGAATGAAGTTGGATGTTGTGGTGGTCGTGCCACTGATCTTTATGCTGCAGACCCTGCATACCGCTGTTCTCTTCTTATTACCGTCATCGACAAAATAATCCTTGAATCCAAACTTGACTATTTTTGGAGTAACGGCCCGTCTACACTACAGGCGTCAAAAAATGCTTTCAACGCTTCGCCCATTCATTTGAATGGGGTGACGTAGGATATTTTCAAACTTCGCCGAACTGCATTGTGGGTAGCATGGCAAGGCGTTGCAACCATCGCAAGCGTCTATCGGCGTCAAAAGTTGAACAATGTTCAACTTTTGAGGCTCGATGCTTGCTCGAAGCTGGCGTCAGCCAATCAAATCCCGTTTTTGCAATTCCCGCCAGTACAAGCGCTAGCCAATCAAACCGCGTGCAAGCTGGGAGAGCCAGACCTCATATTCCAAACGAGAAATTACGGTAGCAAATCACCCGGTTCTTTCCGACCAGAACTATTTACCGGGATACAAACCGGAGGAACCAGGCATGGAGGGAGGTGGCAGAGACAGTGGGTGAAACTGGTAGGTTTTCGCCTGTTTGGGGATTTTATATCCAGTTTACTTCGTTTTAACATTGCTATTGCTTTGTATGTCGGGGGGCGGGAGATTAATGTGATTGGTTGTTGGTCGCGTTGCTCGCAAAAAATCGCCAAGCTTCAGACACGCCCAGCTTCAAGATTTTTTTATGCCTGTAGTGTAGACGGGCCGTAACCCTAGCCGCTGCCATGTTACGGCCCGTCCACACAGCTGCGTGCGTTGAAGCTTCCAACGCTTCTGCCCATTCACTTTGAATGGGGTGACTACTAGGGGCAGGGTCGGCTCTAGAACAAATCGAATGGGGGGGCAAACATTTACCAAGGGGGGGCACACACTGCCGTCAACAACCAACACACAAACACCAACGCAACTTCAATTTCAAAAAACATGCTGTAAAGTCTATTGTCTTTCACACACATTGCAGGGGTGTAGTGCTATTGTATAGCGCCCCTATGACTTGTGCATACATGCACGGTTGTGGCACGACCACCAAAACAGAAACATATAAGGACAGGGTGTCGTTTTCTCATACTGATATTCTGCACAAACTGTGCTGTTGTATTTGCTGTAAAGTGTCTTTACTGTAGGTTATTTTTTATTATATGTACAGCACTTTGGCTCAACCAAAAATCATTGAAAAATGTGCTATATAAATAAAACTTGATTTGATTTGATATGGACATAGGCCACCATATAAAAAGTGTGCAAATGTATTTAGTATCCTATCCATGTGAACATGTTTTAGGTGGGGGTGGACCTAACCTCCTCTAGGAGGGTCTGGGGGCATGCTGCCCCGGGAAGATTATTTTTAAAATATTGAAGTTAAATACATCAATCTGGTGCACTTTGAGAGCAACATGAAGAGATCTATGGATAGCCTACATCTCTCAGCATCCATATGAAACAGAACTGTACACAGATTTACTTTTTCTTTATGGATATTTTACTAATCATTCCCCTTTTAAACTATTCTTGTGTTACTGTCCTATAGTATTTCATACCCGTTTTTCATTTATTCTCTCTTTAATAACTATAATGATCATATAAAGGTATTCCTCGAAAATACTTACATAAATGGTGACCAAACCGTTTGAGACCCACTGAGATAACTTACACTAAAGTGAACTATCTAAACACTGAGAGAGTCCTTACCTCACTGAGCTGACGTTATAAGATCCTCTCAGTCTGACAGGGGAGGATTCTCCTCCACCTTGGTGTAGAAACAGCTCTTTATATCCGTTAGCATAGCTAGCTAACCAGATGCTAACAACATTCCACGTTACCGCTCGCGCACTCACAAAATGCGCTCGTGCCACACACACACAGAGCCGAGCTTGAATGAAACACAGAGACCCATGTACTTATACTGTAGGCTACTGTATATCATATTATTTTCGATGGCTTTACTGTATAATCAGTATAACAGATGAACAGATCGCCACTGGGCTTTCATCTAAACACACAGCCACGTAATGATAACAAAAAAAAGGTCGGGGGTCATTGGTCAAGCAACACACCAATCAGAGAGCAGCAATGAGCACACCTCAGGCTGTGTTTTATATTTGTATTCTTTATTTCTGATGTATTTCACACAAAAAACCTTTAGTGGAAACGTTTTCACTTATATGATTAAAAAAAGAAAAAAACGGCAAAGTGGCAAGGCTTGCCAACCCTGCGTTGGGGGGGCACAGTGACTCATTTGGGGGGGCATGGCCCGCGAATGACCCCCCATGACGCCGACCCTGACTAGGGGGTTGCCAGGTTTGCGCGCATGGCGCTATAATCACCCAATCACATTTCGAAAAAACTAAACGTAATATCTCAATACAAAAACAAACGCAAATATTTAATTTGAAAAAGTCAAGTCCTTTCAAGTAATCTGTCTCAAGCTTAAATCAAGTCTCAAGTCATGAATACCAAGTCAAAGTCAAGTCAAGTCTTTTATCAATGTTAGTCAAGCAAGTCTCAAGTCCAAAAATATGCGACTCGAGTCTGACTCAAGTCATATGACTCGAGTCCCCACCTCTGATTATTTGTAAGACTGTTGAGTTTTTTCTCCTTTGCTGTAGTGAACATTATGGTGGCGGAAAGGTGCAAATGCGCAATAATAAACAAACAAACCTCCAGTGTTTCATCCCTGCAGTTTTAGAAACGATGCAAATATAAAAACACAAATGTACCAAAACACGTGCGAATAAAGAAATATCTTCACCAACATCAAGAAACTTTTCTAGCATTTAAAAAAAGTGCTACATAAACTAAACGCTGCAAATAAAAAACGCTGCAAGAAGCAAACACAACCGAACCCAGAGGACACTTAAAAGGGATGCACACAGCTGGGACCAGGACCCGGGGAGTACAGCGTTTGTTCTCTACGTTTTGTGGTTGTAGTGTGTTTGCACCCGTCAGCCACCACAGCTCATGCCTTAATGTGAGCACTAATAAAAACAAAACATCTGGGTAGATTAAAACATAATTTAATTACCACAGAATGACAGAACAAGGGCATTTGCAGAAAAATTAAATGGAAAAACAAGAAGTCATTTCCGGTATTATCATACTCACACCCACAACATCCAAAGTCTACCTACTGTACAAAATACACACTGATAAACATTTTAAAAAATAAAAGCATAAAAAAAATAAAATACCAAGTTTGCACAAGATATAATAATAAAAACGATTTGTTCACAGTTGATATGAAAGTGCTTTTAAAGGAGATGATTTAAATTCTGTGTAAACTGATTAACATCAGCTTCAGGGTTTTGCTGTGCGTCTGACGACTTCCTAACGTTGGAGTATGGGTATCATTCATACACTGCATAAAGCACACAGCTCTGTTTCACCCCATATTTCCACTTGGTTTGTTTTGCATCTTTACAAAAGCTCCAGCCATAAATGACTGGCCAGATTTTAAATGTACTATACATTTAAATGTCCCTGTTATTATTCCAGTTCAATCCATTTCTGCAGACCTCAGTGCTCAGAGAATTGAGGAGGCTTGTCTGCTGGAGGATGTGCTCTCAACAGTTTGAGTTCTAGAGGGAAAAAATATAGAAAAACAATTAGGAGGCCTGGTTGCATAGATTGTTTTAAAGGTCCCCTATTATACTTTAAAATAAAAAATTTAACAATGTATTAGAGGCCTCAGATATATACAGAACATGTCTCTGAAGTGTTTGGCTGAAACACCAAACAGATCATTGTAGCCATAATCCCCTCTCTTTCAGCCCTGTTCCAAAAGTGCTGATTCTGTGTCTGTAGCTTTAAATGCTAATGAGCTGCTGCTGCTGGCCACGCCCCTCTGAGAGATGATTGGTTCAAAAAACACATTGGTGCTCTAGGAGGAGATTCAGGTGATAAGGTATGGGGGGGGGGGGGGGGGGTTACCTTGGTTGGTTATTGGCTAATGATTGCATAACCCAAAAAAACATTGTGACATCATAAAGGGGCCAAAATCTGATCAGCTCATTTTCAGACAGGTTTTTATATAAATAGATTAGGACAAAAAGAGAGGGGGTCTTTGTTCCTTAAACCTTCAGAATCTCTTTACACAGAGGAGACACATGTTTATGTATAAAAGACATGAAGAAGCGGATTTTGCACAATAGGTGACCTTTAAATTCATACAAAAACAGCTGTTGTAAAGCACCAGAGCAGCAAACAGACCTGACTGGCGAGTCGTCGAGTGGGGGTTCGTTTTTGCTCGTGGATTGTCTGGAGGCGAGTGATCAGAAACTTCTTATCATCTCCTTCCTGAAAAAGAAGCAAATAAAATCAGGAAAACATTTAACTTAAATAAATGTTTCTTTATAATAACAAATAGAGAACACGGAGCGGATGTCTCACATTTTCTATCTGCTCCTGCAGTAGGCCGATGATCTTCCTCTGACCGTCCACCACCTGACTGTGGAAGTAGATGACGATCCTGATGGAGGGAAACCACAGAATGCATTGGATCAATACAGCACTTTACTAGACAACACTGATCAATAATAAAGCAACAACAAATACACAACAGGCTGACTCCTGTTGCCTGCACCAGTGTCAGTTTGTACTCACAGGAAGATGCCTGCTCCCACAAACAGGAAGAAAGGGTTTTCCACCAGGTAGGAGTGAGCTCGGGCCAGCACCGACAGGTTGGGATTATCTTTTTCCAGTTCCTCCACCCACCGCTTCCCCGCCTGGAACATCGTTTTGAGCTCTCGGAAGGGGCCGCACGATGAGGAAGGGGTGATGCTGGGGACAGAAGTTTACGTGTCACACGGGACTCTTTATTCTTCTCTTAGGTGATTTTTAATAATTACAAATACAATATATTACTTAGAAGTAGTTTACCAGTTAAAGATACAGTTCGAACCAAAATCAAACTACATATTTGTTATCCAACTAAATTGTTTTGGTGCAAGTTTTGGAGTGTTGGACGTATCTGCTGTAAAGACCTGACGGAACCTTGCTCGTGATGATCAGAAGGCCAGAAAATACATATGAAAAACTCAACAACAATGTCCCTTTCCAGAAATCATGACCTAGTTACTCAGGACATTGTTTTAGCAGTTTAATCAAGGAACCATTTTCTTTCTCTGGAACTACACCAGCCAACCGTATCACCGAGCAGAGGAATGCATATCATCATGGAAGAGAGGCTTATGTTCAGCTCACGGTGTAAACATAATGGGCGTCCTCTTCTGCTTAGCTGTAACACAGGGATGCTAGGAGAGCAAGCACAAGCCTTTTATATTGGTGTTAGGTGGCCATGGTAACAGTATAGCTTTTACACTCTGAGGTGTCCTTAAACAAAACAATACACTCTCCCTTGTCCATTTCTTTACAGTATATTTCTATTTTGATTGTGCTATTATTTCCTGAAACTTCAAAAGGGAAATTATTAGGTTTTGTTAGGATATGTAAGCACCGTGTGTGTGTGTGTGTGTGTGTGTGTGTGTGTGTGTGTGTGTGTGTGTGTGTGTGTGTGTGTGTGTGTGTGTGTGTGTGTGTGTGTGTGTGTGTGTGTGTGTACCTCCACATGGTGTAAGTGACGCACACGGAGGCGCCGAGGAAGGAGGGGAAGCAGAGGAGCGTGATGAAGACGGTGGTCATCTGGCTCACTCTGTACGGCTTCCTGGGAGCCTGACAGTTCATCATCACACTGCTCTGTCGGGAGAGAAAACACAGGCTGGGGTCAAAGGTCACCGCATCTGTCATCAGAAATCTGACCAACTACTCGGATAGTGATTTTGTTGTAAAAGTCACAGATTAACTTTCATACTGAAATCAAATATCAAAATAAGATCGCTGAATTAACCTTAGAGCTTTAACAATTGTCACATAAAAAAATACTATGGTATTCCACTACTATAGACTTCTTTTTTTTACACAATTTATAGACAGTCTGCAAGGATGCAAACAGTTCCAGGGCCAAAACAAATCTAAAGCTGTTTTATAAGCTAGGAATTTATACCAGAAGATTTTTTTTTTAAACTGGGGAAATAAAAGGGTTTGTCATTATAAAAAATATATATATATTTTTGGCTTTGCTTTGTTTGAGCTTTTATTTGGAGAATTTGAATTGAACTGTTTCTAAATACTTACCATTTTAATGTAGAAGAGCAGCAACAGTTTGAGGATCTGCACTGCAGGCAGGACAGGAGTGAAGAGAACGCCTAACCTGAGAAACACAATGTTTAATGTTAGCACACAGAGGCTATTTGAATAAACTGAACATGGCTGTGTGTAAATCTGAACAGTGCGTCTGTTACCAGGCCAACGTCTGTCCGTAGATCAGTTCGAGGACATTCCTGGCGATGTCAAACACCGGTTTCCTCCTCCTCTTCAGCACCTTCTCAGAGAACAACCTGCAGACGACACGAGGAGTTGAGTTTACGTGAGACTGAACTTCAAACAAAATGCTCTGCTATAAAATACAAAACAAATATAACCTCCAAAGGAACTCTCCAAACAAGGTGTCCAGTATCGTGAAGATGAAGTCCATGAGCAGGAAACGATAAAGCTCCTGGCCGACAAAAGTCTCCCAGCACTGAAGACACAGTCAGCCATTAAACAAAAACCACACAGAGCAACATAAACACAGATGAAATAAAACGGTCACTATCATCATGTTACCTTCAGGCCAATAGTCATGGGGTCAGCAGCCACCCGACCCAGCCAGTGATAGCACAGGACTCCCAGCACGCTCACTTTCAACATCAAGTTTCTAGAAGCCGACAGCAAACCACAGGTTACCAACCAAAGTCCACCAGATCTGCACTTTAACGTGTAAACTGGCAGCATGTGCTCATACCTGCCGATGGAGACATATGTGCGTACAGACGGGGACTCGTAGTCCTCCATCCAGGCAGCCAGGTTGAAGAGGCCGGGCAACAGCAGGTTGATGAGCGACACCAGGACGGGGAGGGCCAGCAGACTGGCCTCGTTCAGCAGCGGGTTGGTGACGGGGACGCGACTGCTCAGAAATAACTGGAGGTTCTGTTGGGGGGAAACAATTAGGTTAATTACTTTCTTAGCTTTTTCCACCGATATTTGTTGTTCTACTCAACTACTGCATCTGTAAGCCAGCATGTGTTTCTTTCATACTACCATATGAGTCACCAGCGATCTTATTTGGAATTCACATTTATGACGTAAAAGAGTTGTTTCATGTTGATTTTTTTAAGTAGTTATTATCATGTTGGGTCTGTTAGCACCCTCTAGTGGGCACCAAAGGTTTTAATTTCCAATTTGTTAGATTACATTTGAACAAATTGTTGTCTACATTTCCAAAAGATCTCTTCCATAAAAAATGTCAAATAAAAAACTATATTATCATCAACCATTTAAATGTTAATATAATGACAATAAATCAGATAGAGAGACATGTTTTGACATTGTTAGATGTCTGTTTGTTCCCTGGGATGCAGTGATACAAAACAGATTGCTTTTAGAAAGCAAGAAAGTGATGTGTTGGGAAAACCCTAAGCTTGTGGTGAGGGCCCTAAATACAATACATGGATTCATAATGCAGTGATGGTTAAGGGTGAGCAGTATATTGATTTAGCTAATTACAGCTGGCAGTGGCAGCCAGGTTAATTTGGTTCTCCTGTTGATGTTAAGTTTTTTGATTGTTTTATTTAGAAATTGGTCCTTGGGATTTCTTCAATCAGAAGTGTAATTTAACAAAAGGTTAAGGAACTCCTGACCACCGAGAGGCTAAACTTGGCTATAAGCTGTGACGCGTTTTCGAAGAGAAAGTCCATAGTGAAGCAAGATACTTTTTGGGATATTTAATAAACAAAATCATAACATAGTAACTATGGACAAAACGGTCAACAGAAAAAATGACAGCACAAGCGAACCCTCTGTCCTCCGCACTCAACATCAAACAGGTGACTTATATAACCAAGCCACACCCATGTGACAATTACCGGAAGTGCTCAACAAACAAATAAAAGTGACGTAAACAAATAATAACAATACAAATAATGAACTTGAGCTAAGTAGCGTTATGGCACCTACACTGAGTATTCACCAATAAAAGTGTAGATTCTTGGACATGTGGACTTTGTACCCTGACACACCTCACCTGATGCATGTGACTAGAGCAGTAGAAGATGGCCAGCACACAGGCCGTGGTGCTGGCCACGCAGATAGCCCAGGCCAGGCCGTGGACCATCAGCCTCCACAGCCTCTGGCACCGAGTGTTCTTCACCTGCTTGTGACTCACCTCTGCCAGCAGCTCCTGGAGAGAGGGGGGGGGGGGGGGACGTTAGAGCACAATGACACTCCTGCCTGCCAATTATATGACAGACAAGGAGAGGGAGGAAGGGTTTTTGTAAATTAAAGTGTGTGTGTTTACCTTGAACTGGGTGCAGATATTCTCAGACATGAGTTTGACGGAAGATTTTTTAATGACCTTGAAGTCCCAGGAGCAGAAGGTCTTTATTGCCAGGATGCTGTGAGATTTGTCGATTCGGAAGCTCTGCCCAAACGACTTTGACATGCTGCAGGAAAATTGCACATCAACATGATTTGAACTTCTTAAATATAAATAAATATCTTTGTTTTAAAAAAAATTCACACTTACTTTAACTATATGTTTAAATAAATATTTGTATTTTATTTTTTATTTCATTATAAAATGGAGCATCTGTCACAAAACCCAATGTCGCTTGGTGAAAATCAACTTTCAGAAATCAGAATACTGAGATTAATTACATGTAAACCGAGGCATGTTAGCACATGTTTGAAAACACTGTACCTGTACACAAGAATGATGCAGGTGAGGAAGGAAGACACTCCTATGGTGAAAAAGTATGCCAGCGGCATGTTGTAGGACAGGTGCTTGGACACACAGTCCGGCATGGTCCCATTGGACAGAGAGACATTGTGCACCCCCCCATCATCCCTGCAGCTCTTACGCAGTGTGTAGTTACAGTAGTAGCCATAGTACATCACAGTATCTGAGAAATAGCCCTGAGACAAAAGGAGATAGAAAACTATTTACACTTTGCTTCAAACATAACATTTTTATACTTAGTATTGGTCAAAATCTAGAATATGATTATTCGCCTCGTAAGCATATTTTTGACTTTAAAGATTCCCTCCAGACATGTTCAAATACAATTCAAAAAACACTTCTGCCGTAAGTGGAGGTTTCAATTTTCAACATCACCATTGTGTAAGCTGAATATTGAACCATATTTGTTTTCCAAACTTGTACAAACAAGCCTTAAACAGAGACCAGAGAAACCTTCCCTCGTCAGCAGATGTAAAAACCTCCTTACAGCAGAGCTCAACTTAAAGTGAAGATTCAATAAGCACATTTCTTTAGTGGAGGGGGGCTTTAATTCCTGAAGTTTAAAGGGGCCCTATCAGGCTCATTTTCAGGGTTCATATTAGTGTTTTGTGCGTCTACTGTGACATGTTTACATGCTTTAATGTTCAAAAAGGGCTTTATTTTTCTCATACAGTGCTGCAACACCTCACATACAATGTGTTGAAGTGCCAACTAATAGAAGAGCGAGTGTTACATAGTGATGTCACTATAACTAAACAAAGGAGTCCAATGGAGGCATTTCAGGCAGATTGTGTGTGAGAGAAACTCCCTCTGGAGGGAACACAGGGAAAGGGAAAACCTCACAAAACTAATACGGCCCTTTTAAAGATGGCGGAGGGAATGGACTCATCATTCAGGTCTGTAACTTCTAAACACAAATCAAGGATGTGGTGAGTGATTTCTAATAACTGAGGCCTCAAAGGGTGTGATAGGTGTTGCAATAACAAAGCTTACGGCGCCGGTGAGGAGCTCCAGTCCAGTGAAGTAGGGTCTCCCTACAAACGACTCTGGAGGGTGCAACGCCTGAGGCAGCACCATGAAGGCCCCCGTCACCAGGAACAGGAAGACGTTGAAGAAGAGTAGGGTCTTTAGGAACAGGAAGTAGGAGAGGACGCCGCTGCCGAAACGTCCGCTCACTCTCTTGAGCGGCACTTGCCACAGATGGAGGGAGTGCAGGAAGGAGAGCCAGCTGTACCAACCCTGCCTCGCCCCCTGGGGAGGAGAGAGAAGGAGAACAGGGAGAGACCATCACTTTAATCCCGACAACAATCATTTATTTGTGTACTACATTATTTATAGTAATTGAATTGACCACCATATCCAATTTTTTCTTTCCACCCTTTTTCTTGTGGTTCACTTTTGGGCTGACTGAGACTGAAAGACGCTAGTTTGATGAAAATTGGAATGTTCAGATTTGATTTGAAATATCTATCTATATACTACGGTGGCCCTGAAGTGCAAGACACTACAGCATTTCAGAAAACACTACAGCATTTCAGAAAACACCACAGCATTTCACATTGGACGGAAAGGGTATTCCTTTAGGGAGAACACTTCTTGTTTGTGATTGGACAGAGCCAGCCAGAGAAGCACTGCTGTGATTGGTTGTTTTTGCTGCCAGTCAAGAAATGACGCTTCGTGATTGGCCCAACACATCAGCCGTTAGCTGTTAGCACACACTCAGAGCTCACAGCTCCACAGCGTTTTGTGAAATGCTGTTGCGTTTTGTGAAATGCTGTTGTGTCTTGCACTTCAGGGCCACCGTAATATACAGTATATATTTATTTGTATTTATTAGTGATGCACACATAAAATAAACATTACTAACTGAATGGTTTCATTACGAACCTTACATCTTAAAAAATAAGCAAAAAAAGGAGTCACGCTATGTTTTCAGCAGCAAACAAAACAAGGTGTAAAGACGTGTTTAGATGTATTAATAAACACGTACCACGTCATGTTACATTTGGCAAAATAATAGAAACTAAAGGAATGGCTCCTAGAATTATTACTTATAAAAACAGAAACCTGTGTTACAAAATGACTCTCAAAGCAGCGTCACAACTCCAGACAAAGTGTACGCACGTGATTTAGTTTGAGTGTTTCTGTGACTCACGCCCTCAGAGTACTGCTTGGGCAACAGAACGATTACACTGCCTGATAACAACATCTACAGGAAGTACCCACTGACACCCAGTTACAGCCTCAGAGGAAGAATGTCTTGCGCTGCCTTTTTAAGTGCAGTGTGTGTTTGCCAGCTACCATTCGATAGATATTCATTCACAAGTCTGTAGGAACTCACAGGACATGTTACATTTACAGGTTATTTACAAAGTGTTGAAACAGAGATAATCATAACAAAGTCTAGACAATGCAATCCCTTCATTCAAATGGAGCTCAGATCACAAGTAGCAGAGTAACACTGACTATACTATTGCTATGATACTGTAAAGAGCAACAAGACTACACTTCTCCACACACAAATTACATTAATTCATTATTGCGTTAGGATTTCATGAATTTTGGTTGTGTTTTCTGTTATTAGGAGTATGTCATAATAAGTTAATCAATCCTGTAAAAACATTTATGATAGTTGGTACTGAGAGCATAGAATATATTGAGAAAAATACATATGAAAAAACCTTCCGAATACTTCAAAGTGTACCAGTACAAGTTAGAGTCGCACTAACTCCAACTGATAAAGAACGCATGATCCAATCACAAAGCTCTACGAGACATCCCAATTGGAGATTGAGGTGAGATTAATTTACTGGCAAACACTAAATACAAACTGATGGAGACATCCTAAAGCAGGGGTGGGGAACCTCCGGCCCCCGAGCCGTATACGGTCCGCGAGACCACTTGGTACGGTCCTCAAGGTAATTTATAAACACACGCAAAAAAGAAAAAAATTAAAGAAATCTAGACCGCAAAAAAATTAAACAAGCGAGTGCCTGTTTTTCCTGAACCAGGTCAGGGTCCTTGAACACAACACAAGCCAAACGTGTCACCACGTGGTATATGTCTCGTCTGACAGGGGTGCAGTTCTGAAGGAGAGCACCAGAACGCCGCCGGCACTTCAGAAACTGCAGTACCTACCATAAGGAGCCGTACACATGCCGCAGTTTCTGTGTGGCTGTGTCTTTAGTTGAAAGCCCAGTGGCGATCTGTTCATCTGTCACACTGATCATACAGTCAATAACTTTGTTGTTATTAGCATCTGGTTAGCTAGCTATGCTAACGAATATAAGAAGCTTTTTCTCCAACCAGTGAGGTAAAGGCACATCTTTATATGATCATTATAGTTATCAAAAAACAAGAGAATAAAGTAAACGGGTATAAAATACTATATGACGGTAAAAAAAGTTGTTATTAATAAACAAGAATACAGTTTGAAAGGGGAGTGATTTGTAAAATATCCATAAAGAAAAATAAATATGCTTACAGTTCTGTTTCATATGGGTGTTGAGAGATGTATCCATAGATCTCCTCATGTTGCTCTCAAAGTGCACCAGATTGATGCTTTTAACTTCAACATTTAAAAAAAAATCTTCCCGGGGGAGCATGCCCCCGGAACCCCCTAGAGGAGGTTAGGTCCCCCCCACTTAAATCATGTCCACATGGATAGGAAACTAAATACATTTGCACACATCTTGTGTCCATATCTTTCTGTTTTAGTGGTCATGCCACAACCGTGCACGTGCATGCATGCGCGAGTCATGGCAAGATATCTGGATTAAGAGGTTGCTTTTTCTTTGCACAACATGAAAGAAAGGTGAAATGAATGGGCTGTGATTTTTAATCAGAGGTCAATCATTTGATGTTGAAATGGTGTACCATTGAGAGGAAAAAGGTTCCCCACCCCTGCCCTAAAGAGATAAAAAGGAAGTAGAACATAGAAAGACGTTTCTGTAAGAGACTTACATTGATGATGTAATATTTGAGTTGACTGCAGCAGGGAATGCGACGAGAAAGCGTGCGTTTCTCCTTTTGTAAAGCTAAGCTCCTGCAGACAGAAAGACAGAGGGAGTCATTTAGACTGACACATAGCAAACACCTTCAACATATAAGAATAATAACTCACTGCATCTACCTGAGTTCACTCTTTTCGGAAACATTGAGAGGCATCGCTCGGAGCATCCGGATTCTGTCGCTGACTGACAGGTTCTGCAGGTTGTTCACCAAACGGTCCCTCTTACTCACTGTTACACACAGGTGGGAGAATAGCGGATGTCATAATCTTGACAAACAGCACAGTTTTTCATTCTGGTCATTTGATGTCCTTCTGCTCACCCTCTGCGTCCGCACTGTCGGTCTCGATGCCGTAGCCCCGTATGCTGGGTCTGGCAGAGCGGGAGAAGTCTCGGATGGCGGGTCGGCTCTGTCTGCGTCTCCGGAGCTGCATGGTGCGGTTGTAGTACTGCGAGATGATGGCGCCCCTGTTGCGACCTGACAGAGGACCAGACTGATCAGAGTGGGCCGGACCAGTAAAATCATAGCATAATAACCTAACTCAAAATGTTTTCCTTTGTTTTAGTGCAAAAAAGTTCATTCTGAAAATGTTCACATTAAATTAACTCTCTTTTTACAAAACAGTATGAACAACCTGACATTTATTAAGAAAAATGAGTGCAATTTCAACAATTCTATGCATCAGTTTATAATTTACACATGTGCATATGACTTACAGATCACAGTGTCTCTACAAAGTCACCGGTATCTGGAATTGAACAATATAGTATTTTACTTTATGATCAAAACAACTTGTCAAGATCTAGAGATTATTTTACATTCATTTTCAAATCTGTGTAGCAATCCTGACCACGTGAACCATACACCACCATACAAAATAAAGTGGGAAGTATTAACAAGAAGGTTAAGTTCTCCCTGCCTTGTTAATGTTTACATAAAAAAAACATAAAAGTTGTAAAGAATTGCAGGTAATGTGTCCTCTGTCGTCCCGTGTATGTTTGACACCCCTGCTCTAACATCGTCTTGCATCCAGGTCAGGATTGGTCATCTCCATCTCTTTTCGTACCAACGTTTTTTAATCGAATAACAATCCCATGACAATAAAAGAAAGCTCCTTGGCGTCTCTTAAAACAGTGATGTTGCGTTTCCAGGCCAACCATAATTGACTTTTCTACGGCATAAGATCTGTCAGTACGCCAAACGTCAAAAATAGATATGGAAAACGACAGGGTTTTGTCATTTACACATATGCTGAAAACCCAACCCCAGAAGGGGGGTCTGGGGGGATTCTCCCCCAGGAGATTTTTAGAAATACTAACATATAAACTACACATTCTGGTACACTCTGAGAAGAAAATAAATATCTATTACTAGATAGCTCCCATTGTTCTGTGACCTGTCAATCATCAAACCGGGGGTCATATTTCATTATGTGTTCATTTTGATCTGTAGTTGTACCCATGGATGTATAAAGAATAGTTCTACCGCAAAGTTATTCTCCGTGGGGACTTCCGGCAACAATCTTGATTCTGATTGGCCAGAAGACTCGAAAAAACATCAGCAAAGAGGTTTTATTGAGAAGATGATCACTACGTGACAGAAGTTTTCAAAACCGTTTATGGTCTCCGGTACTTCCAGTCCAACGCCTACTGCATGAACAGCGTTAGAAAATCGGGCCTTCAAAATAAAAGTTTGACTTTAAAAAAATTAATTAAAAAAATAATTGTTTTCCTTCTTTTCATCTGCGAACCACTCGAAACGGGTCCGCGACCCACCAGTTGAGAACCAATGCTCTAAATGACTTTATGTGGCCGTTATTGACGGCTCAATTTATGATATGGCAGAGCTAAAGAAAACACACAACAGCTATCGAGTGAGCACCTGACAGGAAGATGACGAGCTTGAGATCTTGAAGTGATTTTAAAGTGGACTTATGCTAATTTCTATATCTTGGGTTTCTACCAGTAAATGCTTTGAAAAACTCATTATTTTTCTCACATTGACTAAATGTACCTTTATTGGCCCATTATTACATCCGAAAGGCCAACACTCTTGAATCCTTCAAAACGCAATTATTCACTTCAAACTCTGATCAACAGTTTTAGCTCTGGCCTTTTTAAGCCTTTTTCATTCAAAGAAACTCAGGCTGCTCTGACGCTGTAATGGCACTAAGCTGCACTTCCTACTTACACATTTATCTAGTTGTGAGATCACATTCACAACCTTTACATAATCCCTGACGGCTCATTCAAGAACACTTAGTTTCTGAATAATGGCCTTGTGCATCTCTAAGTGGATTGAGCACTTTGATACTTAAACAGCACCTAACTGAAAAAAAGACATGGATATCCCACTTTTTATAAAAGGGGACATATACAATTGTAAGTATAACACTTGTACAAATTGAGACTCAGTTATATAAAGCATCAATTCATTTGTCAGTTAAGCATCAGTATTTTCCTCCGTATTTTGCAAGACTTACCGATCGTTCGGCTGGGCATGGAGGAGAGGATCTTCAAGGTTGCAGAGGACCATCGTTCCCCTATGAGGGGGTCCGCCTGGGTGTCAGCGTCCTCCCATTCTGCGTCCCTTTGCCTCCTTCCCTGAAACTCACGTCCAGGATCTGACAGGAAGGCAACATTGTCTGTGGAGTTGAAGGACATTTCAAATGAAACTTATTGCTACTGCTAGGAAAGAAAGACAACGTTTGATGTATTGACTTTTTTTAACCCTGAATTCTAAAATGTGGGTATCTAGTGCAAAGACAGTCTTTGATCAGTGATGTTACGAATATACACATGATGACCCAAAAGTTTATTTTACTCAAAAGACTTAAGCAAGTTTAAAAGATGTAGCAATCAATGCGTTATTAGCTTTCAAGAAGAGCTTAAGCTTCATCAAATAAATTCAGATATCTTTTTATCAATGCCACATATTTCTTAGTGTATAAATTGTGTTCTTAAACCAAGAGTACCTCGCTCCTCCTCGTCCAGTTGTCTCTGCAGCTCCTGCAGCTCGAAGGTGTCAGAGTCAGACGCTCCTCCATTCTGACTCTGCTCCGCTATCAGCTGGCTGAACGAGTCATGAACACCTTCCTCGTCTATTGGGCTCCTGACAGAGGGACACATGGACATGAGTACAGATACAAAGACAGAAAAGAGGGGGACACAGGCTCAGAAACACAGACTAGATTCAAACACTCTTTGTATCAGATCCAGAGAGCCACATACAACCCTACAGATAAACACAATGACAATGTGACAAAGCTCAGGAAGAGTATTTCAAGTCCTTGTGATTCATATGTGGGCAGTACAGCCTAAATTGCCTGTGTGACCCTCTTCCTGCGCTATCTAGACGTTCTGTCAAAGCCTGCTTCTTTTTGTTTTAGTCTTACAGCGGGAAAACAAACAAGAAATAACTGCAAGTACAGTTCCCTGTGAGTCAGTACTTTTACACAGATAGCATAAGAACGGGCCCCGCGGGCAAAACAGACCTGTGTTGTGAGATATAGTGCAAACAAACAAACATGTACACTTATTCTTAAAGGCTTTGAACAGAGTAAATACAAGCCTTTCAATGCAGCGCAGGTTTGAAGTCAGTTGCATGGTTTAAAAGAGCATACATGAAAGCCCTGGGAACCTGCGCACTCTAATTTGCCTGTGAGTTTAGTGTCTAACAAGGCTTCAAAGAGCACATTTAATCCTGTCATCTCGGTTCCTTATTTTCTTCCCACCCTCACGGCATTCAACAGCCTGCTTGAAACCAAACCCAGACACAAACAGGAGGAACGTGAAGAGATAGAGAGGACGACTTAATTACTTACTCCAGTCCAGCTTCCATGAGAGGGTTGTTCAGGTCAAAGGCAACATTTCGAGCCATTTTCCTTATCTAACAGTCTGGAGCTGTCGGGCCGTCGGTCTCTTTGTCGACCAATCGTAGAGGGATCACACCCTCGCCTGCTCAGACCTGCACTCCACTCCCACCATGGTGTTTTCTTAGTCTACCTGAGAGAGGGGGGGAAAAGAGGGGGAGGCGGAGCGATGAGACTTACAGGTATCGGTAAGGTGCCAGCAGATTTCTGTGGAATCTGAACGCTCCTGCCGTGTTACTGCTTGCCTTCACACATTCTTAACTGCATAGTGAGGGCTAAAACCTCGGGGGGGGTTCATGACATTGACAACGTCACTTCCAGCACTGGGTCTCATTCACACGTTGAAGTCCAGACACATAAAAAGAACCTTCAAACATTGCCCTGTATAAAGGGGCCCTATCATGTTCTTTAGGGTTCTCCCTTTCCTGTAGTGTGTTATATAGGTTTGTGTGCATGTAAATGGTCTGCAAAGACTACAATACCAGTGTTCCCTCCAGAGCGAGTTTCTCTCTCACACACTCCCCACACATTGTACGTGATAAGCTAAGAGATCTCCAAGCTGTTGACCAATCACAACAGACTGGCCTCTGGTTTCAGACAGAGGGTGAAAAGAGGTGCTGCAGCTCAGGCTGTATGAGAGAAATAAAGAGCTTTTTGAACATTCAGGATGTTAACGTGTCACAGTGGAGGCCCAAAATACAATTATGAACCTGAAAATAAGTATTATATGTCCTCTTTAAGATCTTGCACAGAGATGTTTGCATGCAGTCATCAAGTGGGAGGTGACGTTGACTTATGGAGTCATTTTGTCCCGAGTCATGAGAGCTCCATTGTTGCCCTGCTTGTGATAAAGACTGCGGTCAGAGTCAGATGTATGAAATGAATATTCATGGCCTCAGACAGAATGATGTATTGTCTGTGTTTGCAGAGTGTGTCATATGGGAGGTTTAGAGGAAGCATGCTGGTTCCTCTGTTGCAAGTCCAAAAATCGTTCATGATAACTTTCGTCAAAGACTCCGAGGGGACATGTGCTCGTGTTTTAAAACAAGGATTCAAGAAAATTGGATCCAGATATTCATTAAAGACTAATAAAACCTCTTTACCAGATTCATCCAAGTTAATAACCCCCCCCCCAAAACCAGCTATATATTCTGCTAAACGATGGACCTTTGGACATCAGAGAGGGCCATGAAAAACAGCAGATCAAATCAATTAGCAGGATTTTTACGAAAAACAAAAGATAAAAGCATAACCATGCCAAAACAAAGGGACTTTCCAGGCATTAAAGTCACTGATTTAGCCTTTCATCTTTAAATAGTGAAGCCATCAACAATGTATCAATTGATTTACAAAAATGTAATTACAAAAAACATGATTCAATGTTGTTTCATACTTTTATGTTGATGGTATCAACACAGATGCATTCGATGTGCATTTAGATAACGTTACAAGTTCATTTGAGAACATTGTTCCTTAAAAAAAAAGCATATCTGAAACTACTGCACAAGAAAGGCATCCCTGTCCATCACTGCCAAACATCACAGAAAAGGGTAGGTACAAAGATTTGAATAAATGTATAATAATCAATTATTTGAAGACAGTTTGCATCAAAAGTAAATGATGACCGAGCAGCAGCAGCTCTGTTTGAGAGGATGCTGCAAAGTAAGCTTAGTCTGGCTTTAAGGGGCAATTTATATCGATATAAAGAAGAATTGATATGGTCTTAGATTAAGGATATGGTATTATCACAAGTATCTTTCCCTGGTGTTAAAGGCTACATTTAAGTGATGATTAAGTGATGTAATTTACTCACCATACAATTTACTTACACAATTGATAATGAGATATCCTATCTCCTTATTAGATAGCCCTATCTAGTTTATCTCAGTAAATGGATGTCTATGGAATTGGGGAACCAGCTTTTCCCCAAAGATAAATATCTGGGCCAACTACTTATTTCAGTTCAAAGTTCACCGTAAAAACCACTTCCTGTTGACATGCACCCAGTGGTTTAAAATAGTGCCTCTTAGGATTGTTGTATGTTCATGAGAAAGATCTGAGGGTTCAGGGTTTGCAGAGGGTTATGCTCTGCAGTACAAAGGAGTACCCTGCAAACACAGAGTATTACTTGAGCTCTACATTCAACAAAAACTCCCACAGACATGAAGTATACTTGAGTTTGGCTCATTCAGAACAAAAGCTAAGTTCCCCTTAAACTCATGTATTGCTTTCTTAACCACAAGTTGTTCCCAGTAAAAGGCTCCTACGTCAGAAACATAGACTGTGCACTCGTACTCACTGCAAAGAGTTTAGGATTGAAGCATTAAACACGTCACTGTTGGTTGACGTCATTGTTTAATGCAAGGCATTGTGTAAAATGTAATGGCCGAATGAAAACAAACAATGTGTGCATATTTCAAACATTACACGTGCACGAATGTGTGAGTATGAACCCAAACGTTTGCTCGGAGTGGAGAATTTCTGGTTCTGTTCTGGAGGGAATATGATATCAGCTGCATGCATAAAGCAGGGCGCAGCTCTGAATGTCATCACAACACACTGACTCCATGACTGAACGGCTCAAATATGTCCCTGTACCAGCTTCAATCTAAAGCCCGCTTTTGTGCTGGTTTGTTTTTGGGCAATCGACTGCACACTATGCTTTTGTTCCTCTCAAACACACTTTTTTCATTACCTAAAGTTTTCAGGATCATGTTACATTTGCCTAACTGAACTTTTTTTCTATTCCATATATCTGTTGTAGTCGATCCCTTTTTGTGTGATTTAAAATGCTGTGTCACCTCTTTAGGGCACAGAAACAAACACAAAGGCTTTTAGCAGCGATGCTGAAGTAGCTGTTTTTTTCTCTAAAATGTGTTCGTTTGACTCTTTGATACTTTGATACACTGATGTTGAAGAAGTCCTGTGAGAGAATACAATCTGTGCAGCAGGAGCAGGATATTGTGGGGGTGGGACAAACATCCAACACAACCAACAGGGGGTCAGAGAGTTGAGCTGCACTAAAGCCAAGTCAAATCAACTTCAAAAACAAATTAGAATACAGATGCTTTAACATAACGCTACAAGTTCATTTGAGAACATTGCTCCTTAAAAAAACGCATATCTGAAACTACTGCACAAGAAAGGCATCCCTGTCCTCAAATGAAAACACTGCCAAACATCACAGAAAAGAGTAGACACTTTCCAGTGGATAACAGACAAAACAGAGGGTAGTTATCAGCAGATATGAGGGTGAGAAAAAAGGGTAAATGGAAGGAAGGGGAGTGAAGGAGTGTGTCTACGCTGACAGCTTGCAACAACTGCATGGAAACCAGTTCACAGGGTGCTATGAAAAAACACAATGGAGGGAGCAGAGGCACATAGCTACAGTAAACATGGCAGCAGGGATTATTGTATTTCAATACCCTCATGTTATCTGTTAAGCCTCAGGAAAGGGAGGTTACAGTGTGAGAATGGTTACGATTATAAAAACTAACTTGCATTTCTGTGGTTTTAGTTATGAATCTCCTTTGGGTGTAAGACATAATAAAAAGGAAAAGGCAGAGGAGACAGGGAAGAGTAACAGGGGAGATGCAGGCATGCAAAGAGAAAATGTGCATTCAATTAACTCTGCTGTCTCTAACACGGTCAGGCATGCATGTACTACACTATCAGTCTGTTATTGCAACCTGAGGCATGTCGGTCCGCCTTCATTCAGAAAATAGGACATACAATTATGGGTTTAATGTTGGCTGGATGACAGGCCCTGGAAACAGTGCAGAAACACATGTGGCAAACATATTGCTTACGTTTCTGACATTAAAAAGCACAAGTAAAATAGTTCTGCCACAACAAACTACCCGGCTCCTGCACAATGGACAGTCATGTTAAGTAACCAAGTAGATTTACTCTAGTACTGTACTTAACTTAAGTACAATTGTGAGGTACTTTGTACTTCTACAAAGTACTCCACTACATTTATTTAATACCAGATTGATGTTAATGTTGTGAAATAAAATCAATAGATAAAAGACTTTAGTTACACCTGGAGTAAGTTCACAAGCTACCCTGCAGTAACTACCTGTCCTGCACCTTTACCAGCTTTGATAACACTTTAACGCATCGATAATTATGATCAAACAGAGTATTCCTACACTCTATTACCTCAACTTTTACTACAAGATCTCAGTAGTTCTTCCACCTCTGACAAGGAGTCAGTGCATCTGTAATAACTTATGTAGGCTTTTTCTGTTGAACAGGCTCACATCTCAGAACGACACAAAGTCCCACCGTTTTAAAAACACTGGCTTCTCCGTGTATGGTGTCTTCCAGTCTACATGTTAACTAGTCACTGTAGTCAGTGACGGCCAGTAAGAGCTTGTCAACCTGTCGACGAGCTTAAAAAAGTTCACAAACTCTTACATTGGAGGTCACGTCAAATATGCTGTTTTACGTCGCGAATACAGCCTTAAAACCTGGAAATAGACTGAAGATAGTTCACTCACCTCTCCGCAACTTGCCGAAACCAGTCAACTCTGTGCTCGAGTATCAGTCAAAATACTAGTCTCCACGCTCAACCGGACAGTTTGGGAGAAACCATTTTACTCGGAGGGGAGTTTTTATTTTGTACATCTTCAATACAAGACTATGCATACCAATAGCTTGAATTTTAGTTGCGTATGACAATTTCCAGTTATTGAGTTAAAACGTTCGTACGCTCCAATTCATTCATAAGCTGCGATAATTATCGGAATAACCGTCTACTGATAACGATGTACCTTAAATGCGCCCCTTGCAGAGTTTCCTCTCTTGGGTGAGTCCTATTCAAGCTTGAAATCCCTCTACCGGTCCCAAACATAGGGTCCCAAACAATGAAAAAGTAGCTACACAAAAGACAGACTAACCACAACCCATTGTGTGACAGTCAGTGTTGTAATTATTGACATATGAGTTATTGCATTACCTACAAATGGTGAGTCTGCATTGAAACTTAATCTATCGATTAGATTTATGATTCGAAAATTATAAAAGTAGGGAGACATGCGGATATTATCCGACTGAACAAAACGTGATCCGTCTCTTAAATGTGTGTCAACCCCAGCTGTAGGGGGTGTTGTGGGGGGGGGGGGAAGTGTTTTGGCTCAGGAGCAACATCAAGTTCATAATGTCTCCTCTGTTCATATCTTCATTAATAATGGGAATAATTTTGTAGCTGCCACCAACATTGTTTTTGGTTTACATGCACTATGCCCATCATTTTGGTTTTATTTTGAATGTGATTAATACTGTCAGTCAGTGCATCTATACTGGCTCTGTCTCTGCAGCCATTACACAGTGGCAAGACAGCTGTGTGTATCTCAAGTGCAACCAGTAGGGCCTAGTTTAAGAAGTGTGTTTTAAAGTTAGAGCCCAACTAACCAATCAGATGGGCCAATCAATCAGGCATTCTTAGCTTGATTAGATTACATTACACTATATTGTCATTGCCTAGAGTACAACGACACACAGGCCCAATCCCAAACCACGCCCTACACCCTACACCTACACACTCCCCCTCCTTGACGGAGTGAACTTCGTGGAGTGACACTCGCTGCTCAACTGGTCCACTGTGGCACTCTAACGTAACATAGGTACAGACAGTAAACAAAAAAGTAGTGAGGTTGTTTAAAGTAACCTGCCTTATTCATTTTACTTCACTTTCAAGTAAAATAACAGACTCATTTAGGGTTAAGATAATATAAGATGGACTTTTATTAATCCCTCGTGGGGAAATCGTTTCTCTGCATTTGACCCATCCTAGTGTTAGGAGCAGTGTGCTGCCATTTTGAACGGCGCCCGGGGAGCAGTGTGGGGAACGGTGCCTTGCTCAGAGACACCTCGGTAGCACTTGGTCTTGCCGGGACTTGAACTGGTGACCTTCCAGTTGCCAAGCCAAGTCCCTATCGACTTTGCCACCACCGCCCCTTAACATGTGAAAGTATATATAGTTGCAGGGTCCTTGTATGGCTTTCACGCTGATGTTGTTCCTCGGGAAAAGGCCTATACACATTCATAACTGATGTGTTAATATGTTCACAATCATGTTACCCATATGAGAGGACATTCATTTTGTTGTAGAATCTGATGTGACCATATTTTCTTGGTAGTGACAATGTAAGACGTTTGTCTGATCCAAACAGAGAGTAGTAGATTTGGAAGTCTGAGAAGAATTGAAACTAGAATGTCTAAAAGGCTCATAAGAAATGACACCCATGCTCATATTTCTTAGTAAATGGTACTGACTGGAAGCATTACATGTTTGTGGTGTAGAGAGTGGGTGCAAAAAGCTTTCTTGCAACATCAGCTCTTACAAACATCCTCAGATCATTTCAAGTGTCTTCAGTGAATGATAGTTTACATGGATTCAGTGAAAAGGGCAGATGATTTTTACTTACACCAAGGTAAAAAAATGTACCATTGGTTATTACATTGCTTTAGACCTTAACCCTCCTGTTATCCTCAGATTTACTTTACACCCTTTATCCTCTGGGGTCAATTTGACCCCAGTAGTTTAAAACTAAAGACAATTATCATATTCCAAATGTTAACCAAAAATGTATGTCACTGTGCATTAGGTATCTTAGTTGACTACCTAAATAACCATTTAAATAAAACATTACCCCAACCTTCCCTCCCACAGACCCCTTTATACATCCAGAATTCCTATTATGTGACTATCACAAATATATAAATCACCATAAAATCTCACTGATTGAAATAAAATGCTAAAGTAAGATCTTTTTGATGTTGTTAAAGCACCAATAACTAAAGCAGAGGGTAGTTTTTTTTTTTACAATGATACATTTGCATGTAATAGTCACCTCAATATCATCCTACACAATCAACACAAATATGTGTAAAATGTTGACATTTTAATATGTTTTATACTAGTAAAACAGCCTGGGGTCAAATTGACCCTAAGGATAACAGGAGGGTTAAACTGATTGATTATGGTGGCAAATTGTATTCCTAAGTATAATTTGAAACCTGTGTTAACAATGTTTCTTTAGCTTTGCTCCTTAGTGGATTTCGCAGATAAAATCATCTGAAACAAGATCAGACTGCATTATAAACAATTTGATAATAATTCAACATATTCACTTGTTTTAAGCATAGTGTGTATGTGTGGGCGTTTGTTATGCTGTCAAATTATTTGTGATATTTCCAGCCACCAATGCAATGCCTGTTTCTGTATCCTGTCATGTGATTTCCTGTGATCGGTCAAATTCAGTCTATATGTGACTATATGTGACATTTGCTCCACCTGCCACCAAGTGAGCCCTACCAACAGGACTTGAGGAACAGCACTAGCTTTAGATCAGCAGCTCAGGGGTCTCACGTTTGGAGGGCGTTGATGTGGGATGCAATGCAGAATGTTTTGATGCAGATTGCGGAAATAACTTTTTCACAACTTTTGGTTGCAGCTGGAGATATGTGTGTTTTATGTGAAGCCAGGAGATTGGTGTTTGAGCACTAGTTATTAGAAAAGAGGAAGTGCAGGTAGAAAAAATGGAGGAGCACAAAACTGTCAACTTCATGAGACTCCTATCAGGTAACAAAAAAGAATACAAATGTGCTTGTGCATTTTCCGTGTGTGTGTGAGACGACATTTAGCTTGTTCCTGACTGTGACTGCATTTCGAAGTAAATATTGCAATGCTTCAATTAAACTGTGCTGAATGTCAACTGGTTAGCCCTCTCATGTCTAGTTCATAATAATTAATAAAGGGTTGCATTTTAGTATTACACAAGTGATATAAACATTGAAATACTTCATGATAATCATTTTTACACACCAGCAATGGCTAAGACACTAATGACATTTCATCTGCAGGAAAGATAAGGAGAAAAAAGGAAAGCAAGCAAGAGGGTATAGCTGTCAGGTGTAAAGAAACATAGTTCGTATATTTATAATCCAACAAATGAATAAACAGAAACTGAAATTAGTATTCTCAAGTGTCTCAATTCATCTTTGATTCATTGCGTGCATTAGCCTATGCTATTTGATGAGCTATTATTTTGGTATGTTAATGATATTTAAGAATTTGTTTAAGCATAAATGCCAAATAATTTCTGGTTTGCACATTGTTAACTGATTAGCAAAACTGAAATAAAAAGACAGACATTTGAGGATATAACCTTGGTTTCCTTACCCAGCGTATCACTTTTGATTATCAATTGATAGACATATCAAGAAGATAATATGCAGCTGATCAAAATAGACTATATCTGTTACCCTACCCTTAAGATTAGTTAAATATCTCGTATGAAAATTAGCACTTTAATCCACATTCATGTGTTTTCTCACCACAGATGACAGCACTCACTCCACTGTGTCGTCGGACTCCTGTGAGTACTACCAGACGGAGATATTTGATCTGCTGCCCAGTATCCAGGCCAGTCGGCCCGAGCAGAGCAGAAAGCCCAGCGAGGCCTACCAGGATGGCCCCGTTCCTGGGGAGGAGAGCGTCTCTGGCCACCTGTCCAGTGGACCCAGAGATAAGGCCCCCACACAGCCACTCAGGAACATGGTCATCTGTATTCAGGGGAAGAGAAGCGCCAGGTGGGAAACCTTTTTCACTCCTCAAATCTGCCTCCTCTCATTCTGGATCTTTTTTTGACTTCCTCCTGTATAAGGTCCAAGATTTCTATTGCATACACCATTTGGTAGAGACATATACAATTGATTTTCTTTTAATCAACCTACCATTGTTTTGTTTTAATAACTGTAACCCAGTTGTTCCCAACCTACACTGAACAAAAATATAAATGCAACACTTTTGTTTTTGCTCCCATTTTTCATGAGATGAACTCAAAGATCTAAAACATGGCAGTATCTGGTGTGAGGGTTAGGGGTAGGGTTAGGGTTAGGGTAATGTTGTGAATCGAGTGGCCCATGGTGGTGGTGGGGTTATGGTATGGGCAGACGTATGTAATGGATGACGAACACAGGCCACTAGATTCACAACATTACCCTAACCCTACCCCTAACCCTACCCCTACCCCTCACACCAGATACTGCCTGGTTTTCGGACCCCCCCAGACCCCTCCAATAAAGCAAAAATGCACGTTTCAGAGTGGCCTTTTATTGTGGCCAGCCTAAGGCACACCTGTGCAATAATCATGCTGTCTAATCAGCATCTTGATATGCCACACCTGTGAGGTGGGATGGATTATCTCGGCAAAGGAGAAGTGCTCACTATCACAGATTTTTCCCGATTTTTGAACAATATTTGAGAGAAATGGTTATTTTGTGTATATAGAAAATGTTTTAGATCTTTGAGTTCATCTCATGAAAAATGGGAGCAAAAACAAAAGTGTTGCATTTATATTTTTGTTCAGTGTATATTGACTTATAATGAGCTATGTCTACTTATATGTAGACATGGACTGAATATGTGAAATGATCCAGCAAGTCACATTTAAAAACATAAGAAAAAAGCAGAAACTTTTTTTTTTGGATGACAGAAAATATGGCAGTTCCTATGGTGTTAATCATGGGCCGCTGAAATGGACTTTGCAATCCAAGAGACAACTTCCTGATTAACCCTAAGAAGAGAGCCTTTCTTAAATATATGTTTTTTTAAAGTAAAAAGAATGGCATCTCATCAGTCTTAAAGTGTTTGTTTGCCTCCTTTTAAAAAGCACACTGTCAGCATTTCAAGTGAGGAGACATAATTAAAACATTTATTATTGGTATTTTGCTGTTTAGGGTCAGAGGTTTAAACTCGATAAAAAGGCATTCTTGAAATACCTTCCTTATGCTGTTAATTAGGGAAAGGAGGAAGATGCAAATCAGCGAGTCCTGGAGGCGGAGCCAGAGCATCAACAGGAAGAGGGTTTGGGCGCAGATTGGAGGAGCTTTATCAGGCCTTTTGCCATGGCAACACACTCTCCACGCCATTGAAGGTAAAAAAGGCCTGAAGTGCATTATAAGGACTTGTTGTCCAGGTGATTTTACCTAAATGCTGCTGCACTATAAACCCTGACTGATCTGTTGCAGGCAGGTTTGGAGTCGGCGTGAAGGCTTACTTTGTGTTCCTCAGATACCTGGTGCACTTGAACCTACTTCACTGTGTTCTCATCTGCGGCTTCATTCTGGGGCCTACCATATTTTATGGCAGCAGCAAAAGCAGTGGTGAGTCTGCAATAATGACAGATTACAGTAAAGTACATTAACCACAACTCGATGCCTGCTAAAACACAGTGTGTTTTCTGTGATTTTGCAGAACCTCTGAAGTTTGGAGGCAATGACTCAGTTTTGGACTTTTTCTTGGGATCGGTAAGGATTTGTGTGTGTGTGTGTGTGTGTGTGTGTGTGTGTGTGTGTGTGTGTGTGTGTGTGTGTGTGTGTTCTATGTGTAATCAAATATCTCCTCTCTACAGGGCTACCTGGATCGTTCTCCGGTCTTCTATGGTTTCTATACTCGTGGTTCCCTGAATATGCAGTGCTTGAACACACCTCTGCTGTACCTCGCTGGAATCCTCACCATCCTCTTCCTCAGTCTCATCCTGGTGGTCCGTAGGTCAGTTAGGATATAACTGCACAAGAACAAAATCGTTATATAGTCTCTTTCATTATATCTTTATGAAACTTTAATTTTTTTGTTGATTTTAGCAGCCCCTCTGGACAATAGTGGTATCGTATTCCCACAAATAACGCAGCAACATGATCACCCGCGCCTCGTTTTGTAAATATGTTGATCTGGCTAGTGCATGCATCCGTTTTTTGGAGTGAGTGGAAGAAAGACGCAAATGCATATTTTGTCATCATGCATTTTCTCATAATCACAGAAAGCTTTGCAATGCTTTGTTACTTCAACAAACAAAGCTATGTTAGCTACCAACATTAGCAAGAGTGTTATCTAGCTTTGTTAAAGTCACTAACGTAGTCATATATCAATGGAAAACCATGTCTCGCAATTGTTTAATTAAGGATTTATCCTTAATTAAACAATACATTTTAGACCACTCTGGGAGGAAGAGTCAAACTAAGGTTTTGAAACCTTTTCAAGTCCCAGTTTGCCGAATCTGTTCAATGACTGAACAAAGTCTTTTGTATTGTTTTTTTGTTCTTGGCCCAATTATTGGGCCCTTTGTTGGTCATGACTCATGACCTAGTATCAGTAATAACCACTAAATATAACAAAAATAAATAAATTTTCCCAGAAAAATACCCTCCTGCTTTCTCTTCCTATTTTTGTGCTGTAAACCGTGTGATCTTGTGCGAGCGGACCCTGTGACAAGCATTCAGAATAACTATATAGAAAATAGCCAATCATGATGCTGATGGCCTTGTTTGCATATATAGGTCATTAGTCATCATTATTGAAATAAAACTGTTCACAACTTGCTAAAAACTCTTCGTAGTATCTTTAAAGAAAGTGTCTGTTATACTTCTCCAATAGGACGACGGTTGGCTACAAGCACACCTGGATGCTCGGGAAGCGTTACAGTATGAACGTGAGCTACAAGATATTTTGTGGATGGGATTTCACGATCCAGGACCCTGCGGCTGCCGCTCTCAAACACAGCTTCATAAGAAACGATCTCAAGGTGAGTAGACAGACATATCACAAGCAAGCGCTCTTCTAATTAACCTTGGTAGCCACACTACTCCGCTCCTACGCTCGCTTCACTGGCTTCCGGTAACTGCTAGAATCCACTTCAAGACACTGGTACTTGCGTACCATGCTGCGAATGGATCTGGCCCTTCGTACATCCAGGACATGGTTAAACCGTACACCCCAGCGCGTGCACTACGCTCTGCATCAGCCAAACGACTCGCTGCGCCCTCGCTGCGAGGGGGACCCAAGTTCCCAACGGCGAAAACACGTGGGTTTGCTGTCCTGGCTCCAGGATGGTGGAATGAGCTCCCCATTGACATCAGGACGGCAGATAGCTTGCACATCTTCCGGCGCAAACTGAAAACTCATCTCTTTCGACTCCACTTCGAGCGATAGAACTATTAACAAAGCACTTTTATACTAATAAAGGACTGGCTTTTCTAAAGCCAGTTGAGTAGCACTTGAAATGTTTTTGCTCTATGAAACCTGATGTACTTTTATGATTCTGTTTTCTTCAAGTTGTATTTTGTTGGACGAACGCACTTATTGTAAGTCGCTTTGGATAAAAGCGTCAGCTAAATGCAATGTAATGGTAGCTGACCAAATACTGGCAAATTTAGTAGACAATAAATCTGTCAACCATATCATCCCCTTGTTTCCCATAATGTTGGGTCTAACTGGTCAGTCCATACTGTGGGTGTAAATTGGGTTGACATGTTCCAAATCATGTTGGGGACTGCTTTTTACATCATTTTTATCATTATCAAATCATTCATGAGTTTCATGAACAAAGTTACTTTTTACAGATTTGCAGCTCTAGCTCTATTGAAATTATACTGATTATTGGCAGAAACAATGGTGGATAAAAATGGTTGACTTTGTGTTTCTATCCTCTTGATAGAACCAGGGAAAATGTTTCTTAAGTTACTATTTATTAAGGATTTTCATCTTCTTCTAAATGAAAATACCTGGCAAATGAAGAGGTGTACACGTGATTAATGAAGCTAGACTGTATGATTCTTGATGGTGTTGCCACTGCTGTTCTAATGTTTTGATAGAGTTAACATTGAGGTCTACGCTCACAGTAGAAGTGTTTCCCTGTGTCTTTCTGTTGGTCCTCAGCTGTTTCTGGAGGAGCAGAGTTTCTCCCGGCGCGAGGCTCAGAGGACACTTGGACAGCGGGTGCGTCTCTACCTGCTCAGGTTCTTCCTCAACCTACTCGTGCTGGCTCTGCTGGGCGGAGCCTTCTACCTCATCTACTTCGCCACCAAAACATCGCAGGACGTGGTGAGACTGTGTTGCTGATTTTTCCCCACCGTGTCCTGGATGTGGTGAATATATTCATACACTTTCACTCTCCTGTGTTTCTCAGATTGGACACCACTGGTTGGTCAGTCTGGTCCTCGAGTACCTCCCTCCCATAGCCATCAGCTTCATCAACCTGCTCCTCCCTCACATCTTCCGCAAGATCTCATCTTTTGAAGACTACTCTTTCACCATGCAGGTCAATGCCACGCTTGTGAGGTAAGGTGCACATGGAGAAAAACCCAGGTCACATGACTTGAACTCGATTGAGAACCGAGTCACAAATGATATGACATTAGAGTAAATTTGACAATATAAAAAAAACATCTTGTTGACTTGAATTTGAACTCCAATGACTTGTGAATTCAATCAGACAAAACCCTTTTAAAAGTATGTTATTTAAAAAGTGGACTCTCACAATCCAATTCATTTTCTGAATGGGCTTATGTTGACATTAATTATTTCCAGCATGTCAACACTTATTTTATTGTTTTTTATTAGCAATTGGCTTGAAACTTTGTTACTTGGAAAAAATGATACTAATAACAATTTAGTTTCAGTACAAATAGTGGGCAGTGGAAAAAGAAAACTAAACTATATGAAAAACTTGCAAGTCGACATTTCTTGGTGTATTGAGACTTTTTTCTTGACTTGGGTTTCGAAAGCAAATCAATGTCTTGGTTCCAAACACACACACACACTTGGTTCACCCTGTCTTTTCTTCAGGAGCATCTTTTTAAAGCTGGCTTCACTGGGGATCTACTTATTTTTCATCTTCAAAACAACCAAAAAGCCAGTAAGGAACATTTATGTTGTAACATCATACAGACTGATATGTGATCTTAGGTATATGTTCTTAAGTGTGTTCCTTGTAAACCCCCGTTTCTGCTGTGTTTGTTTACAGCATGCGGTTCAATGCTTGGAGAACTTGTTTGGTCGAGAGATGTACAAGCTGTGTATCTTCAACTTCCTCACTGCTTTTTGCAACGCTTTCTTCTTGAACTACCCCAGGAAGTGGGTTTGTTTGAGATCAACCGTCTCTTTCTTTCTTATTCAGTGCCGTGGTTTACCTATATTTCGTTGTAAATGTCTGCTTTATTTTATTGCTATCTTACTATATTTACATTACATTAATGTGCATTACGAAGTTCTTAATATAGTTCGATATGTGTACTTTTTAAAAAAGTTTTATATTTTATGTATGTACCATGACATCAAGTCAAACTCCTCGTACGTGTGAACCTACATGGCAATAAACCCGTTTCTGATTCTGATTCTATAGGGAAAGGTTGAAGTTTTACTTTCTATTTAAGATTCATGTCCGTTCTTTTCCAATTATCTTAATATCTGACAGGCTGCTGCATGAGAAGTATCCCTCATCCTTTCTGGCCCGATTGTGGGGAAAACAGCGCTTCCTGGTCCCTTTCAATGTGTTGGATCTGGTGTACAGTCAGACTGTATCCTGGGTTGGAGTCTTCTACTGCCCTCTTCTGCCGCTGATAGAAGCCGTCACACTGATGGCCACTTTCTACATCCAAAAGGTTGTCTGGGACGTGAGAGTTATAGACCCTCTTACACAAAACGGTGTCTCTTTTGGTCTCTCAATGTTTAATCATCATAATCAAGTACGGGCATTAATGTCACAAAATGAACAGAAGAACAACGCCCTAAAAATATAGAACTTATCTCACTATAAACTAAATAGTAATACTACTTCAATAAATACAAACATACAAGTTAATAGATACTTTGGATCAACCAAAATACTGACATTCAGGTGGATGTCATTATTTGTTTGGCAACATGATTCCTAAAATAAAGGAATGATTTTGGATAAAATAAGCTTTTTTACTCAGCTCATTTGCTCAGAAAGATTAGCTCAGCTTAACAAAAGGACTGGAAACAGGGGGTAAAAGATAGCCAGGCTAGGTCCTCTTTAGCTCTCATAATAACCTGTTTTATCTAATTTCAACTGTAAGAAAAATAGAAAGTAAAAATGTTTTGGTTTTATGTGTGGGGGGGTTGGTACAGTGACCTCCTAGTCCTGTCGTCATTAGGCAAAAGGCTGAAAATACATGAAATTACTGAATCCAGACAAGAAATAGTCTGTAACATAAGACTGTTTGCAGGTATTTGTTTGATGTAGATAGACTTGTGCACAAGATGCACTAATGACCATCAACTGTATTTGAACAGTCCATGTCTTTTTCTCTCTCTGTGTTCAGTTCTCGGTCCTGCGGTGCTGCGTGGCAGAGCAGAGGATGTTTCGAGGCTCCAGCTCCTCCGTTTTATTCCACTTTATGTTACTGCTCGGTCTCCTCATGGCTGCAGCCACACTGGGCCTCAACCTCTACCAGCCAGAAGGCACACACATGTACTTTTTAACTATAATTTTGAGTTGCAGCCAACATACTATTGTAACAGTGTTGATTTTCAATACACCCTATTTGTTTCTTTAGCCGTTTTAAATGTTATTTTTTGCTGTTTTTTTCCTCCTTATTTTTCCCTTCCAGGTCCTCATGTGGTCCATTCGGAAATGGACAAAGTGTGTTTAATGTGACAGGAGTGTGTGTGGACAGCCTCCCAGGCCCGGCGCAGTCCACTCTCCGCTACCTGGCCTCATCGGCCTTCGCCCTGCCGCTCATACTTGCTGAGATGTAAGTCTGCAACAGGTTTATTCAAAAACACTGGTTATGTTTTTGACCAGTTTTTCCGGTTTGAAATAAAACAAATGTAATATACTATCAGACTGTTATAGCCTTGGGTGAGAGAACTGGAAGCACAGTGTGTACAGCCAGTGGCGGCGCCAGAGATTTGCTCTAGGGGGTGCTGTGGGGTAGCTTGACGTTTCATAGAGGGTGCTCAAACATTAAGGGTTTCCCATTAATGCACCAGCGCTACAGTTGAATTTTCTACTGCAACACTCCCCACACACACACACACACACACACACACACACAGTGTAACCGCGACTGTTACAATGAAGGCTCGGTAATCAGCTCACGGCATATAGGTGTAAGCAGGGGTAAAGTGCTATTTTTACAAGTGGGGAGTGGACCTCACCTCCTCTAGGAGGGTCCTCACCTCCTCTAGTGGGGAAGATTTATTTTTAAATATTGAAGTTAAAAGCATCAATCTGGTGCACTTTGAGAGCCAAAATGAAGAGATCTATGGATATACAGTATCTCTCAACATACATATGAAACAGAACTGTAAACAGATTTTCTATTTCTTTATAGATATTTTACAAATCATTCCCCTTTTAAAACAAACCGTTTGAGACCCACTGAGATAACTAGACTAAAGTAAACTATCTAAACACTGAGAGTCCTTTACTTCACCTGAGATGAGGTTATCTGAGACTCTCCGTCTGACAGGAGAGAGTTCTCCCTCCACCTTGTTGTTGAAAAAGCTCCTTATATCCGTTAGCTTGGCTAGCTAGCACCAGATGCTAACCACAACGATCTCCGGTAGATACCCACCGGTGCGCTCTCTCTCTCTCTCGCGCACACACACAAAATGGCTCGTGCCACACACACACAGAGCAGAGCTTGAATGAAACAGACCCAGAAGTAAGCTACTTGTACTCACGAGGCCTATTATGTGTAGAATCCCTCTCGCTTTCAGGTGGTTTTGATTGAGTGTCCACACGTGGACGTTTAAGGACTAAAAAACTATCCATTTGTCACTTTGCTGTTAGCAAATCATTTGGGGCTCCAGCTAACAGGAAGTCACTCAAGTGTCACAAAGTAATTTACCCTATGGGTAGGTCAAAAATCGAATGGGTGCTGGCCATTGGCCTAATCATATCACCTGTGTTGGCTTTATGTTTTTGGTGAAACATTTATTTGTTTCACATTTGCATTGATGTAATCAATAATTCTTCTGATTTAATTTAATAAAAATAATAATATTTTTTTTTAAAAACAACAAAAAACACATATTTCTTGCGGGTGCTTAGGGGGTGCTTTGGCAATCCTGGGGGGTGCTTCAGCACCCCCTAGCTCCCCCCTGGCGCCGCCCCTGTGTACAGCTGCTTATATCATGTGAAAATAATAATCATCAATGGATATATTATTCTGTTTCCTCAGTCTAATCTTAACCTCATATGTGTCACGGGGACGAGCCAATCAGAAGGCCATCGAGAGACTGAAAGAAATGCTGGTGATGGTTAGTCACATGTTATCAAACGACTAACATATTTCATTTGTCATAGACAAGATGAGAAAACATATGATTTGGTTGTTGCAAGGGAATCAGTCATTGGTTTATGTCAGGGGAGTCAAACCCAATTTCATCGCGGGCCACATTAGAATTATGGTTGCACTCAAAGGGCCGGTGGTAACTTTAAGACTATATAAATATACATAGATAAATATATATAATATATATAAAATAATGTATTATTTAACAATATTTCCTCTGCATTGGATTATTATCGGATAGGGTAATAACTTCATAATTAACTATCACTACGTCTGAAAGCAGAAGTCTAGGGCAAATAATTGCAAGTATGGCATCTCTCTTCAGTGCGCATCTCACAAAATTAGATGCATTGTGGGACATGTAGTTTATGGGCAACGTGCTCCTATAAAGCTGCACGTAACCTTATAATAAACGTATTATATTCTTTGCAAGCTCTTGTGGGCCACATACAATGAAGTGGCGGGCCGGATTTGGCCCCCCGACCTTGAGTTTGACACCCCTGGTGTATATGGTTAGTGTATCAGAGTGTTGTTGTGTCTATAGACTTGTGTGTCTTCCCCCCCACAGAGCAGCTCTGATAAGCGCTTCCTGGTGAAACAGCATACCACAATGCTCAGACGTCAGAGAAACCCCTGCAGAGTGCGTCCTGCTACCATTGAAGAGAACCAACCACTGACTCCATCGCATGAAAACTAATTCAAGTCTGTGGCTGAAAAAGTCAAGTGGCTGAAAAAAAAAGTGAAACTGGAACTCACTGTTCCAGTTACATGATATGAAGATAAGGTTGTGGTTGTAGCCTCTTTCTGCAAAGTTTTTATTTTAACCTTATGTTTAAAGGGATTGTTTAAAGGGATTGAACTCTTTTTTTATCGTCCTTTTGTAACAGTGTTACATTTTTTTCCAACTTTCATTGTTACAGTAAATTCAGAATTCATGCAAACGAATGTTATTATATCATCATTTATATGATGTTCAAAGTATTAAGTTGTTTTCAATGACCTGTGAATGTTTTTCAAATATCTCGATAATTAAACATTTTTGGTTTATGCTTATTTTTGTTGTTGCTTCATTTGTTCTGTAAAATGAGCCAAACATGCAGCCTATTATGTTATCTACTTCCAACACATGTGTAACACCCCTAGCTTTTACACACACCACACACACACACGCAAGCAAACACGCAGACTGAACATATGTCAAAGATAAATGCGGAGCACTGTTATGAAGAGAGTACAAACTCCTAACTTACTGCCAATTTTGGGTGAGTTAGTCTAAATTATTGTAAATAGTATAATATATTTATATTATAGTGGATTAATATTCTTACTGCAATGTGTTTTTTGATTTCAGCTCTGGCCAGTTTCTTCATCAGGTTAGGTAAGTTTGTATAGTCGTCCTTCAGATGTGGAGCTCAGCTGGACAATATTTTTGCTTTAGGACTTCTCTGATGTTATTCTTTAATCTTATAGCTAATTCAAATAATGTGCCGCCTTTAACTGCTCAAAATCTCTTTAAAACTTGTAATGGGTACTTTTCAACCACACTACCTGTTTTACCAGGAGGGTCGATCTCTATTCGCCCAGTCCTGACTGGTCCAGTCATGGCCTACCTCGGCTCCAGGGTGGCTTTACGCTGCATTGCACCTAATTCCTCTCTGTCAGTCACATACGAGCTGATGGGGGGTGATGGAGTCCTGATGGCCACCGTTGCTGATCTCAAAGGGGAACAACCTGCATCATTCTACCTGAAGGTTACTGTAGCATTAGAGGGGTCGTACCGCTGCAGGGCGACAACAGGAGGAAGCACAGCAGTCAGCAACAGCATCAAGCTGACTGTAGTCAGTGAGTAATAGACAGAGATTATATATCCTGTTAGAGCTTTAGAGAGAGGGTTTGGATGTTTTGCAGTTGTGTTGTATGCAGTACTTTTCCACAATCAGTGTATTGCATATTGTAGAAGGCCGTTGGCACACCACAAATCTGGAGGAAGAGACAGAAGTTATTTCAGCCACCCAAAAGAAAGGCAGACCAAAAAATACATACATATATTTTGTATTTCCTGTTCGGAATGATCAAAGTCAAACCACAACCCAATCAGAGCAGCCATAGACAGGCTATTCCTGTGTTCTGTAAATTCAATTTCAGGTTTTTTAAATGGAGTCTGGTCGCTTTGGGCGAGATAATAGATTTTCATTAGAACAGTAAAAGACAAGCCAGCAATCTATCAAACTCCCAAGCAATTTATGTTTAAGTATCTTGGCCAAGTACACTTTAACGTGTAGGCTACAGGAGCCAGGGATCAAACCACATAGTGCAGGCCGCTCTACCTCCTCAGTCCAGTAACCTGATTTAGATAAAGGCTTCAGTTCCCTGTCAGAAACATAAACGGTATAGCTGTCTGACTGCAAGGAAAGCAGTGCCAATATTTTAAATACAGCATACAGTTCAAAACTATTCAATATCCTTCAATATCACGGTTATTTTATCTGAAAAAATCAATTAAAAACTTGAACCTTTCCTCTCCTCCCCAACCATCGATCATTCCCAAACTTCCAGCTCCAGCATCAAACACCAGAGTGACCTCTGAACCGTATCCCCCAGTCGCCTACGAGGGCTCCTGTATTGAACTGAGCTGCAGCACCACAAAGGGCTCCCACCTCTCCTACACCTGGTTTTTCAACAGAAAGGAAGTAACTTCTTCAACCTCTCCTCTCTTTCACCACACTGGGAACAAGCTAGTGATGGGGAAGGTGACTCCAGAGCATGCTGGGTACTACTCTTGCATGGCTTGGTCCAATGTGCAGGACACCAGGAGGTTCTCAAGCAGCTTTGAGGTCAAAGTGACAGTCAAAGGTATACATCAACAAAAGTATATTACAATAATGCATGCTTGATATTCTGTTTAGTTTTGTTTCACTGCAGCCTAACATGTATTGTATCTTCTCCTCTCCACCAGTCTATGTTTCAAAACCAAGGATCTCTTTCTCCATCTCAAATCTGGGAGCCAGTCCCAGTGGCAACGTGACCTGCTGGTCAACAAGAGGGAGTCCTCCGGTCAACATCTCTCTTCTACTGGATGACAAAGAAGTGGGATCAGTCACAGCTACTGAATCCCTTGCTGCGTGGTTCTCTGTCGCTGTGGTGCCGGGGCTGGACATGGGCACTGTTCGATGTCGGGTGAATACTGAGGTGCAGAAGCTGATGAGTGAGCCTCTGACTCTGGAAGTGGGTATGAGCTACACCGACATGTCAAAGAAATGTGTCTCTCTGTGATTGCCTACCCTTTTTGGTCTTTTTAATCTTTCTGTCGTTTCCCTCCCCTTGCTTGTCCAGTCCCAGTCGGAGGTGATGTGAAAGTCGAGGTAGAATATCTCTACAGAGCTGACTCCAAACTGACCGCTGCCAGGCTGAGCTGTGGAGTCAGCAGAGGAACTTTCCCTGAATACTCCTGGCTCTTGAACGACTCTGTCCTCCCCCCTGAGACTCACAGGGACTCCCATATTCAGCCCGACCCGCCTCAATATGCCCTAACTGACCATAGACGGATCCTCGTCCTGACTAAGGTTGGACCAGAGGAGTCTGGGTATTACCGCTGCAGGGCCAGGGACAGCTACAATGACTCGGGGCACTGGGTGGAGAGTGAGGCCGTGCAGATCCAAGTCACAGGTAAAATTGATCTAGACCAGGGGTGGGGAACCTTTTTCCTCTCAAGGGCCATTTCAATGTTTTCAACATCCTCCGAGGGCCGTACAAATTATTGACCTCTGCTTAAAAATACTAAAATCACAGCCCACTCATTTCACCTTTCTTTCATGTTGTGCAAAGAAAAAGCAACCTCTTAATCCAGATATCTTGCCATGACTCACGCATGCATGCACGTGCACAGTTGTGGCATGACCACCAAAACAGAAAGATATGGACACAAGATGTGTGCAAATGTATTTAGTTTCCTATCCATGTGAACATGATTTAAGTGGGGGGGGGACCTAACCTCCTCTGCATGCTCCCCCGGGAAGATTTGTTTTTAAATGTTGAAGTTAAAAGCATCAATCTGGTGCACTTTGAGAGCAACATTAGATCTATGGATACATCTCTCAACACCCATATGAAACATAACTGTAAGCAGATTTTCTTTTTCTTTATGGATATTTTACAAATCACTCTCCTTTTAAACTGTATTCTTGTTTATTAATAACAACTTGTTTTACTGTCATATAGTATTTTATACCTGTTTAATTTATTCTCTTATTTTTTTATAACTATAATGATCATATAAAGATGTGCCTTTACCTCACTGGTTGTAGAAAAAGCTTCTTATATTCGTTAGCATAGCTAGCTAACCAGATGCTAATAACAACAAAGTTATTGACTGTATGATTGATTGATTGATTGATTGAAAAGTGTATTAACAGCTTGTATATTGGGTACAGTACAGTACAGCTCAAAACATACAATTGTTAAGGGGATGCAGACCAGAGAAAGACTTTCGTCTTGTTTACATCAGGGTCCCCCATTTCCAATTCATCATGTCATTTAAGACATATAAGACATATTTGACATACAGATGGCTTATTTACAATTTACATACAGGTGGTTTTTTTACATACAGATTGCTTATTTACAATTTTCATTTTAGATTTCGTTCTAATACATCCTAACCGGACATTTAAGACATACCAAGTCTACAGATATACAGTTAGTAACAGAGTCTAAAATGCGAGTATATACATAGATGGGGGGGGAAGCTGTCCATTGAACGACAGGTTGAGATTTGTACCATTACCGGGGCCAGTTTTGCAATGCTCTCCCCCGAAGGTGCTCTTTAAGAGAGGTTTTGAAGGTAAGTATAGTTTTACTTTCCTTTACAGTTGTGGGAAGAGCGTTCCACCTTGATGTGGCATAATTGCGAAACGTGTATTCCCCCTTTTTTGTGCCAAATCTGGGTTTCACATGATTTGTGGAGCTCCCTCTGGTGTTATGATCATGGTATTCCTTGACCTTTGGGAAGAATTTTGACATGTACATGGGTACCATAGAGGTGTAGTGGATCTTGTAGACCAGGCCCATTGCAAGTAGCTGTACTCTGTCGTCTACTCTAAGCCATCCTAGGTTGTCAAAGTGGGCAGAGGTGAGGTGGGTTCTAGATGAAAGGTCAAGCAGTAGTCTGACCAGTTTATTTTGCGATGTTTGAAGTTTTATTTTTAGCGCCTTGGAGGTGCTATGGTACCATGACGGGCAAGCATAGTCATAGTACCCTTGAATGAGTGCTCCTGCCAGAGTTTTCAGGGTGTTTTTGTTTACCAGAGAGGAGATCCGGTATAGGAATCTAGTTCTTTGATTGACTTTTTTATTACATTGGATGCCATTTTGTCACAGGAGAGGTTTGCCTCAAGAATAGATCCTAGGTATGTAATTTCCTTCTTACTTGTGACAATAATGTCGCCCACTGCAACTGAGAAGTCGTCGGATTTGCTGAGATTATGTTTCGAACCGAAGAGAATGGACTCTGTTTTACCCAGGTGTAATGATAATTTATTATCGGCGAGCCAGGTGCAGATTCTGCCGAGCTCGGAGCTGAGGGTTTTTTCAACCTGCAACCTGTTCCTGTCAGAGACCAGCAGGGCTGAGTCGTCCGCGAACAGGAACAAGTTGCAGTCACATGCTGATGACATGTCATTTACATAAATTAGGAACAGTAACGGACCTAATATGCTTCCTTGTGGAACACCACAGCTCACTGGGAGGGGGGGGGACAGAGTACCGTTTACCTCCACCATCTGTTCTCTCCCCTCCAGGTAGGATTGCATCCAGCTCACCGATAGTTTATCAAAACCAATTGCTTTTAGCTTGTCAATCAGAATGGGGTGATTGACAGTGTCGAAAGCCTTTTGTAGGTCCAGCATCACCATGCCGCAGTACTTGCCCTCGTCCACCTCTTGTTTGATGTGGTCGCTCAAATAAAGAAGGCGGAGTGGAGTGGGATGTTCTAA